CTTGGTGACCTTAACTGAACTTATTTGTGGCTCTGGTATACCAATTAATCGGTAGACGGTAAAATTCCTATTGCAAATAATGACATGTCTAGTAGTTCACAACTTTAAAATGCTGAAGGGTATTTGTACATATTTCTATTGTTAGTTTAAAATAGGTTTAAATTGGAGTAATCGCATAAACGAGCTGCCAACATACAAGTAAATGTAGATGAAAGGAAAACTCTAAGAAAGAAAAAACATTCTGTTTTGTGGATTTATCGACCTTCTTATGCAGATAATGTTCACTTGGTTATCAAGGATGTGGTCAAATAAAATATTTTCAATCTTAAATCTTAACCTAGCTTTCGGAACTTTATTGTACCTTCTTCAGGGCTTGATTTTTAGTCAGAAGTAAATAACTTGAATTGTTTTATTTTCATGCAAACATTGAATGATTTTTTCCTCACTTTTTTCTTCACCTTTTCAACTATGAAATGACTAGACTAGTTTCATGTAATATCACAGACGTAGACATAAAAATACAATTAAAAAAAAGATTATACATTTTTACTTCATATGTTTATAGTTGTCTGACACTGCTTCTCTACATTTAGATCGTATTTTTATTTTTATTATTGGTCAGGTCAAAGAGGTTATGTTGAATTTTCTCATAAAATGTTTGTTATAATTGATGGAATTTTTTGCCTAAATTATTTAATATATGACAGTATGATCATCTCCGCAGGTGAATGCGGCCCAATTAATGCCAGTTTCTGAAGTGTCGTTTTGTTTGTATTTTTAATGATTACATAGTTTGTTAAATGAGCCTATGATATAACCGTTGTATGGTATTATGCTTTAATTCTTGTATACGTACTTCAGAGGTTAGAAGTACTGAGTTTACTATATCCGACATTAGTTATGATTCGTGTGGGTGATTTAAGCTAGCATGTATGATACCTAATGCTGCTGGGCTTTTCAAAAGTTGTGCTGGAATTGGAACATGGATATATTTTTGATACCAGATAAAACAACCAATTTTGCAATATTTTGCTGTAGGTGTTTATTCTGAAGACAAGCACGTGTTGGACAGAATATAACAAGATGATCGGCAGAAACATTACCAATTGAGTAATAAAGCCTTATCAGAATAATTTCAGGTTTACTGCATTCATTGCCATTGGTGGGTATTAAGTCCACATCCGATAACTGTTATAAACGAGTAAAACAGGAATGATGATGACTTAATTCCACAGTAAGTGAATTGTACAAAACAATGTCATGATATTGTTTTAATAGGAATATTAGCTGTAAATTAAAGCTCAAATAAGGCATAGTGCCGTCTGTTGCCTACTCGAGCGGATAATCGCAACATAGAAGAGGGTCGTGCGTCGTAGGAGGGTGGGCCGACTAGGATGGCTTCCCCATCCACGTGGCCAATTAAATGTAAATCTGTTTACGATGTTTCACCCCTCTTTTGAAAAGGATCGGATTTATTAATAAGTTAATTTGTTTTGGTTCTGTACCCTCTAAACACTTGGCTCGCGTGATGAATCGGGTTTGATATAACGCATCTTGTTTTTATTGTCAGTGGCATCGAGCTGATTCACGAGATGAAATACAATGAAGCTTAATTAAATTTGGAATCGAAATGAAACTGGGTTGCACAGAGATTTAGAAGAAATTCGTCTGGGTGTTGGGGCTACAATATTTCTACATAAACGTTTTTGTCGCTAGGGCATACGAAACGATAGGTCAAGCAGAACAAGTTGATGAAGGTAATCAAACTTTTTTTGTCACGTACAGCCTATAGGTAGGTCTTTTGGCCTGCCATCCTTGGTGGGTTTGAAGATTTGTGCCAAAACACCAATGAAGATGTCGAAATGCCAAATCGTATCTGACCAAAACATCGAAGTTGGTATCCTAAAGTGGAATCGACCATCACCCCACAGACCTCAGGAGAAAATCTAACAATAAGATTTCAAATTCAATAATTTTTTTTTCATGTTTTAATCCAACTACACAAATAAAATTGAGCACTCAATAAAGATTATAAATAATTGACTTCATGATATTGAAAATATTACTTATTTTTCGACGTTTGTACATATTTTAATAAAATCACTCAAGCAAATAAAGATCAAATTAACAAAGATAATACAAGCCCACATAAATTATGGAAGTTCTTGATCATCAAATAGTGCAAAGACAAACATGTTCAATAAATGGACAATGTTTTCATGGAATAACCGTCCAAACTGAGCAGAAGTAGGGTTAAATTTACATTTTGACCAGACATAAATAGCGAAGAAAACAAAAGCCCGGGGAAAAAATCGCTGGCCCACCGGAAATATAACGAATTGTTGAGGGTGCAAGTATTATTGACTTGACAAGAATTTGGAAATAAAGGAAAATAATATGGATAAACGGAAAATTAATTAACAGAAACAATAGGATAAGTTCGGTACAATATTAACTTACTACAATACAAAGTTACAAGATTAGTTTGTGGAGTGCAAGGCATGCACCAAAGCATCATATCTTAATCATGATCGATTATGCTAACAAATGAGGGCAAATTGAAAAAAAAAAAAATTGTTATGCACACAGAAAACTATTTATCTAATTCCCTATTCGTCTTTTATGGGGTTGGCTGGCCCAATGGTTAGGGCGTCCGATTCGCATTGCCACGCTAGCGGTCCTGGGTTCGAATCCCGGCATAGCCCGTGCATTTTTAATTGTGAATATATGGAGAATATATTGTAAAGTGGTTTGACCCTCGTACCCGACACCCAACGTATAGTTGGGCATTAAACAGCTGTCCTGTATGCAGGCCTACATTGGAGCACAATAAATCTTGATAATTTAATACATGAAGACACGTAATTTCGTATGGTAGGTAAGAAAAATGTAATTTTATTAAAAAATTGAATACAATAATGGGAAAGTAGTGAAAAAATATTAATTAACAATGCTTCTGAATTAAAAAAAGAAGAAGAAATCCTTAGAAAATTCATAACAGTATATAAAGAAAATTAATCAGAAATTTAATAGTGTGTAAAGTAAGTCCTGTCATATAGGAGGGCTTAGTTCAACTACCCGTTGGGTGACATGGACAAGTATAATAATAATAAATTCATGGTTGAAATGAAGCCGTTATTTTTACTGGGTTTTTCAATAAATAAATAAACAACTTGCTCCCTCCTTCTTCTACAACAGGAAAAGGTCTATTTGAACAATACTAGTTTCAAAATCAAGGATTGTGCCTTTTTGAAATACGCTATCCGATTTTATGGCGTGCCAACCAAATCCTTGGAGCGTTTAACTCTAGCACTGATTCTTTTGATTGTGGTTTCCGTTGTAATATGTCAACCACAACCTTCAAAAACTGGCAACCAGTGGAAATCATCAGAACGTATTAGACCGGAAAGTATAAGTAATTTGTCATTTCAAAACATAAGAATGTTTAGCAGTAACATCCGGGATTTGAGCGCAAATGTTTAACACATGCGATATAATTTCCTTGGCTTAGTTGAACAATCATGGCTATATTTTCCATTGTTAGAAAATTAAATTGACAAGTTTTGAAAGCGGTTACAATTTAGCCTGAAATATTAAAACTAACTATGCGTTCTCTGATAATTAAGCTTTCCACAAGTTAAACTATTTTTTTAAATTTAATATAAAGACTTTGGAGTAATAAAAACACATTCAGGATATTAAAATTCACGTTTTATTAAAATTTAATAATAATACACCATCGGTTGTAAAAGGTATCTCTTTGTACTCACAGATTTAGTACAATTACCTATTTAAAATGTAATGAAAAGAAATTTTATTTTTTAAAAATTAATAAATAAAGCTAAGCGTTTAAATTAATTTGTACAAAACTATTGTAAAATATATAAATATTTCTTTAAAAAATAAAGTTATAAATATAGGGATGATATGAAAGTAACATCTTTCTTAAATTCTTTTCATCGTAAAGAAGAGTCAGATATGTCTTTAAGTTTAAACACTAATCCATTTATGTTTTAGAGGTCAATTGACCAAGTTACTTCTTTCAATTAATTATTCTTTTTATGTAAGGTCTTGATTGAGATAAAAAAAGTCAGTGTCACGAGCGGGATAGACCTTACATAAAAATAATATTTAAATACTAAGTTTCTCATAATTCTGGTATACAACGAAAGCTGCTATATTGCAAGATTTCCTAAATTTTGCAATTTTATTCCTAGATTTTGATTATGTGACCGCAACTCTCAGTGAGGTCCTTTAACCATTGCGTCAGGGGACAAGTGCCTGTCGGCCTTCTGTCTTTCAGAGAAAAACCAGATAGTAAACCACATCTAGTAAATAAAACAAGTAAACTTAACTAAGTAAGTCTTATGTAACTAAGACTTAAAAGTTCATTCATCCAAAAGTTCGGTAAAAGAAAAGGACTTTCTGATTAACCTACTTCGGTTTTATTCTGGCCTTCTGGTTCAAAATGATAACACATAATATTAATGGAAAATGATTTAATTAATTATTAATGGACTTAAGTAATTAAACAATCAAAACTATAAAACTTAACGTACCATGTCTCCTGTTGTCTACGAATTCGTTATATTTTATGTTGAACCTTTTTTTATTAAGCAAGATCATAAAATTAAATCTTATTAGTACATGATTAAAAAGATACGATAATATTCGACTAATTCCTCTGGGAAAGTCAACTGGACTATCATAGATTTTCGATTCCTTCCGAATTGGATACAGACTCTGACTGCCCTTGTGCTAATTGCCGGTCTCGCTTGTTGGATGACTCTCTTATCAACAACTGAGTGTCGTTTAACCGATTTAATCCACGGTTTTAGCTACGCTTCCCGAACTGACAAAACAGGAATAGCGTAAAGTAAAACCGCGAAATACGCCGGTTAGAGCCTGGTTCGGTTGAATTAAGGGACGTCTATTCACTTTGAAAGTATGTACAAATAACACACAATAAATGACACAATTAATAGAAAATGGTGAATTACCTCCCTGACGTCCAGAGTTGGATTCGTCTGCAACGTCACCACCTCCATAGTATACTTCTTGACCTGATGGCATAACTCTTTTCATTTATATCTGAAAATTGAAATACAATTAAAATATAATTTATTTATTCTTACACTAATCATTATTTATTTATAACTGTACAATAAAAGTTAAAACTTAATGTAACACTTATACAATGCAACACAACCTTTTTTTTCGATTGTTGGTTATTTCCAATCTCTTCAAGACAAGAAAATGTCGAAGTGCAACGGAATACCAAAGGCGTAGAGATCCTTGAATAGTTATCTATGAGAAAGATTCACTCAGAACTGAACCTCAAAATTGAAACGACCACGAGGAAATAAAAAAAAGGGGGCTAGCTGTCAGAAATACAGGAAAAAAATATTTGAACCAGTCCATTCGATGGTCAAAGGCAAAATGAAAAAATGGGGCCTAGACAATTGGCAGAATCGATGGACTACAACCTCATTTGAGTATTGCCTGACAAAACAAGGTCTAATACCATTCTCGTGGATAAATCCTTGGCTTTAAAACTTTTGGCTCTCACAGATCCTGAATCATTGGGTCATACTTGCACGGATTCCCCTGGGATGAATCAAATCCGAACATGCCCAATTTCACTGTGCTTGGTACGAAATCCGCAGAGTCCCGCTAAAAAAAAGTGTTCTCAACTTGGCCACTAAAAAACCTGAGGCTGGTAATAGAAAAAAGAAAAATATAAAAGGCATATAATCAAATCAGGCAAGACTGTCCAAAAACCAGGGATCCAGAGACATTTAACTCTATCATAAAATAATTATTCAGAAATCGTGAGATGCGGTCTGGTGTGATGTAGGTTTCAGAAAACCATTTTCTTTATCCTGCCAACGTTTCGATCTTTATTGAGATCATCTTCAGGGCTCAAAGTGTTTGTGAACATACTCTCAACACATCATCGACTAACGGTCACTAATCACCACACATTTCTAACCTAAATAAAACCAGATCAGTCGACGGTCAAAGTAAAAACGGAACCTTGACAAGTGGGATCAATGGACTACAACCATATTTGAGTAATTTAAATACATAATACAAACCATAAATTGAGTAATCTGAATACTCCCGATAGTACAAGGGCTACAAAAGTTCATCCTCGTATTGTTGAGCTTTACAATTGACGTTCACAGATTATGAGAGGCTGTACTTGCACACATGTAGCCTTATACCACCACGCACCAGAACAAAAGAAGTTGGTAATAGAAACAGAAAGAATAGGAAATAGATCACAAGGTTGGGACTGCCTATACCATCAAAAAAGAATCGCAGCTGATGGACCGATTGATAAGTGGTCCGATTCTGTAAGGAAATAGGGTTGAGCTTTCACTCATCTAATAGGCTAATCGTCCGATAGATATTTGTTTAAAAACTTAAGTGTCGACTTCCTTTGAGTGCAAAAAGGTTTGTTCTTGCCTTGGTACGTGATGCTTTCATAATAAAATACCATAGTAATTTTGTTCAAAATGTTTACGGTTCCGAAGAAACCAAACTAAGCATATATAAACACATATTTGTAATTGTTTGCTGTCGTAAAGACAAACGATATCGTGATATGGAGGTCATTGCAACAGAACTGAAAAAATGTAAATTAAACGAATCTTTTTATATTTTTATAACAAAAGCCACAAAGCAGCAATGCATTCACAAAAAAAATCTATTTACATTTTTTAAATAAATAATTTTAAAAATAACACTCAATAATGGATAAATATGCAAAATTATAAAAATGAAAAAAGTATTATTCAACTGAGAGTACATGACTCAATGGGTTATCTCTACTGATAATTAACGACAATAAAAAATTATTGTGAAACAATGTTGGTTTGCGAATTGTTCAACACTCTTTGACACTTTAATTGATCAAAATCCTGGACCGCATAGTCTCGCTGAACTTTCTGGTAAAAACATCTCTAGCCCGATTTCCTAAGAAAACACAGCGAGATTAAGGGGTCTAGAATCATTACACACAACATACGAACAACAAAAATGTACCTGATATAAAACAAAAGATAAAAAACAATGACATTGAACAAAAACTTGACTACGTCTCGCCTGTCGTTCATAAACATTAGATAAAAACATAAAAAGATGATAGCAACAAGACAATCATCGTTTTTTAGAAAGCGGATTTCAATTTTTTAACACAAGGAGGAATGTTACAAAGAATGAGAAATTTGGTTATTAAGTAAACGTATCATTTACTGCCAGGGCTGGGTTAAAAGTATCAATTAAAATAGTAAACGGCAACGGGTTCTCGGAAGTCAGACAGATACAAGCCGGCGTCACACAAGGGAGCATTTTTAGTCCCGTCCTTTATATCATTTATACCTCTAACCTACCTGTACACCCTAATACCATCATCACCCCCAATTTAACCTCTTACGTGAATCCTACATGTACTGGAGTGTACGTCCAACGTCTGAGAAAATCCTGTAGTCCGATCGTTACCGACCATCCTGGTCTGCCAGAAGATGTTGGTTGTGTGATCTGACAGACGAAAGTAGCGACGATAAGCAGATCTCAGTTGTGAAAAAAACAAGAACCCGAATCTACCCATTAAAATATCTCCCGAATTGTCCTGTTATCGCTCTGTGCATTAAAAAAACTGATCCACATACTGTTAATTCAACCTATGGATCGCGTATGGATGTTCCATCTTCTGGTTCAGCAGCTATCAAAAATAAACGACGACGATCACGCCATACCCTTTGCTACAAGAGAAATTCGACAATCCGCCAGAAAAACACACGGATCTTAACAGCATACAATAAAAAGTTCGTAATAGTGACATTCCACAAATTTAGAATGTAGACTCATCGTCAAAATTATAAGGCATTTCCCGTGTCAGTAGAAATGTGATATTTGATACACAAGTACAAGAATCTGAAAATTGCAATTTTCTCTTCTTACAAGAGAAAATCTACAACATGCATAATCGATCCTGTGTCTCAAAAAACGGCGTCAACGATGCTGAAGCGAACATAAGCACATGATATCCCAACAAAAACCTAACCCTGAACAATGGGTCAAGTTCCAGAACAAAAATTACCCTATCAATGTAATGATACCTACACTATGACCAAGAGTGAAGATTACAAGAACACGGCCATGTGTGCTCACACGGGAGAGGTGGGTGACGAGAAGGTAGAGAACTCAGAAGAAAAGAAAAACGTTTCACACTCCTCTTGCTCATTCCGAAACTGGCCAAGTGTTAAGTAATAAAAATAAAAGGACATTGTTATTCAATAAAGTAGGATTAAGAGAGGTTGGTCACTACTTGGATAGACTGACATTTTTGAGTCTGGAACTTTTAACTTTTTTTAAGTTCGCACAGGTTATGGACTCAAAAAAGAACGGACTTGCCCACATTGTAGATATCAATACATTGATAGGCTGTTTTTATGGAGGGGGTCTGGAACTTGGCCCTTTTTTCACGGTTCTGCTTTTGTTGGGATTATGATTGTAGGAAGCGCAGTAAAGAAACCTATTATTACTGATACATATTTTTCAAACAAAAATTTAGTCAGCGTAACAATATAAATAATTGAATCTTTATGTAAAGATAAATACCTATAGTAATCGGTGGAAGTAATCATAGAAGTTTGTCTTAGTTGTAATTGCAGATAGCTCGTTGTAATAAAATCAAAGTTCATGTGAAATCATATTTTCAGCATAGGCCCATGGAAGGAAAAGGGCCGCATAATTTCATGGAAGAACATGGCTGCCGACGAAAGGGATTGGGCAAGGGGCGGCGCATGTTCGGATCTGCCCTTCCCTATGAGCAAGGGCTACGCAGGGTGGATGAGCCTCATTCGACGGGGTTGATTTTTAACGGAATGGGGGGTGGAAATCATCCTTTTAGTATAAACATGAGTTCCGACCTTTCAACTTGGGATGTACAGTCGTCTCAGGCGAACGTAAGTAGATACAGATTTTGGTTTACGGTTGGAGATGTTGATGCCGTTCAATTTGGGACCTCGAGACCGAACAGTTAGTAATTCCGTCAAATAAACCCTAAGATTATATTTAATGCAAAACAACTCGAAAAAACACCATGTATTTTCGTTGGAATCTTAAAACGAGTGCATTCGGCGAAGTAAACGGTACTGTGATATCCTGTTTTTTGTTTGTTTTTATGCGTAAGTAGCTTCAATTATTGTGAATTGTGTTTACCGCAGCTAGGTGAATCGAATTTAATCGTTAATAGGTACAAGAAGACGAAAATGATATGTTGATATATTCATTCCTGACCTTTAAGGTTCAGCAGACTCTTCCAGTGGCATAGCCATCAGGGGTGCAATGCAGGTTCTATTTATAAATAGAAGGGGCCCCAAAACGGACAAGTTCGAGAAGAACATAGAAAAAGAAATTGACATTCAAAATTATTGGATATTTGGAATTGGACAATATAGTAAGGCAGGACCCTGCTTAAAATTCAATTCGACCTCAGTTGTAAGGGGCAAAACCATATCATATGTTCCGTTCAGGCCAATTTGAAAAGGCAAAATTTTACCTTGATTCAAACTGTACCGCAATCAAAGGAAATATATAATATTAACTCACTCCTGATCTTTGAGATTCAGCAGCCTCTTCCAGAGGTTTAAGTATCAACGTCAATTGTAGGTAGCAAAATAATTTTCATAGCTTACGTTAAGGCCAATTTGAAAATAACAAATTTTACCTTGTAAATAAATTTGTTTCAAACTGTACCGCAAGCTGAGAAATGATCATTAGGGCTTCAATGTTGGATCAATGTCTGCATAATATGGCTTCAATGTTGGATCAATGTCTGCATAATATTCAAACTTACAACATAAACTTTCCTGAGTTATTAAACGTGGCAACTATTATAGTAAAAGAACGGTTAGTTTTCCAGTTTTTCAGTTCCAGATAAATAAATAAAAGACTTCATAAAGGATTAAATGACCAAGATCAACGATTAACTGACCCTGAAAACTTTTACTACTCGAGCATTTTACTATTTCTTAGACGTAATTGTTATTATTGTTTCCAATTAATACAATGTTTCCGCCAATGGAGAATATTTCTAAAATTTCCGCATGAATGTGTCGTGCCATCATTTTAACAAGACATTAAAAAGAATTTTATAAGCCAGCATTATCAAAATATTTTCTATCAGAAATCATCAAGACATGTAGCTTTACTGGAGAAGGTCCAAATTAGTTTTTACAAAAGGTTACTATCCGTTTACTCTACGAACCCGGATTATATAGTCAGTCAGTAGGTTGGGTTGGTATCCTTCATATGTCGGTTCGGGTACTAAATTGGTAATTGGTTGGGTATGTAAAGTTATAGGAAAGGAAGCAACCAGATACTCTCGTATTTCCTATATGTTCTCTAGACTCTCAACCAATTAATGGGACGAAACTTCACTGGGTTCATAAGTTAAAAAATTGTTTACTGAGTTGGGTTTTTAAAGCTTAAGGTTTCGGCAATGCCTATCCTCTTTTAAAAATAATTTCTTTTCAGCAGCTCCTAAATAGTAAGGATCTAAAATCGTCTAAATCGAGGTACAGTCCAGTTTATAATACTTTGCTATTGAAAAGTAAAATTCCCCAATATTACTGTTAACTAAAATGCCATTTGCAATTAGTTAACTTATTGTGGCAAAAGAGAACATGCAATAGTCACTACATTAAATTAAACATCAATGGTTATTGTTATAATATTGTCGCCAATCAGAAATGTAGTTTGTAGTATAATATATAATCTACTATACAGCATACGTACCATTACATAAACATTATTTCCAACAACTTAATGTTACTAACAACTATATACTTAACATATTAAATATATTGTCCACAGGGTCTAAAGAAAAATTAATTATTTTCTATCAATACGCGAAAAGCATTAATAGACTCAATTCTTTTTATGAGCTATGCTCTACAACAAATAAAAATTCTATTATATTATAAACATCCAATTAAAAAATAAACTGAGAAAATAAATGAAAGTATAATCAGAAATAGTAAAATATTTGGCGAAAGTTCAGATTTCATTTTCAACAGTTTCCCGAATGACAATTTGTGAATGTTGAAGCATATTTTTTTTCAAACTTAAAAATTAATGAAAATCATACATCTAAGAACTACTGTAAGAGAGCACAGATTTTCCAATCAAGTGCTAATTAAATTAAAAGTTACGAACACTGGATCAAGGTATGGTCTTTAAGAAGGGAGCAAATTCAGTTGCTACCGCTTAGCTTTCGATCTATTTTAAGGTCATCAGTGCAAAAAACCAATACAAAGCAATACTGTTACAGTTCTTGGCAATGTTGGGACTGAGTCGGTCTTCAAGGAAATTTGAGATCGCCTGTAAAAACTTAAATATGTCAAGCCGTACCCATATTTAAGCTTGTTTTGCCCTGATAATGACCTTAAAATAGGTCGAAAGCTTGGCAGTAGCAACTGAATTTGTTTTCTTCTTCAAGACGGATCAGAATGTTCGAAAACTACCAACAAAAATGGCAGATCGAAATCCTACAGTTTGATCGTCATCGACCATTCTTATCTGTCAAAAGATGGGTTGTTTTTGATTTGACAACTGTTTGATCAGGGTGGCCGGGTGATGACCTATACGAGAAAATCTTACATAAATTGGTGAAACATATCGGAAATGCTCGTACAATCTCGATTGTGAAGAAAACATATGATCTAGTATGTGTCAAATTGTCAAATATCATGATGTCTGCGGTATAATTTTTTTTATGTGAACCTGTTATTACATACTTCATTTCTAATCATCCTGGTCCGTCTACATTCACTTGTAAAACGCATGTCAGTGATAAACTTTGATTAATTTTACTATATTTTTTATTGCTTTCTAAATAAAAATGCTGTAAATTGATATATTTACATTTTGTTTTGGGCCAGTAGAACGGCGAAATAAAAACATTAAAAAAACGGAAAATTTCAACTTTAATTGTTTTTGCGAAACTAGGGCCTATTCGCAAAAATTGGCGAATACGCGTCCAATATTTTTGAGTATAGAATCACCAAAAAAAAGTTAGGTCCAAATCCGTGACAGCCCAACCTGATCGTCGCATTGTAAGTTGCTTTTGGGCGCATTTATCCTCATTCAAAATTCATTTTCCACGGTTTGCATACTTCTTCAATTAGCTCAAGACACTCCTGGATATTGGAGGTGACTCGGGTAAGATTTGAATTAGGAGATAAGACGGCAGTATCGTCCGCGCAGTTTCAAAGGATCGTTTTGGGATATTTCGGCAGATTAGCAGTATAAATTTTATATAGGATGGGACCAAAAATGTTCCCTTGAGGACGCCGTCCTGGGTCTGTCTGACTTCCTCGTTGCCGCATCTCACTTTGAAGGAGCGTTCGGTTAGGTAGGGTTTTACGATTTGGTAATAAGGAATGGGTAGGTACTGCTTCAGTGCAGACCTCATCAAAAGCTTGGGGCATGTCTAAGAATGCACCCGAACAGTACTCTCCTCTCTCAAAAGCAGAAATAGTTATAAATGAAGTTACATAAGAATGCGATAAGACGAACCTAGTGGTTATGTTACACAGTGTTGGAAGTCCATATTTCTACAGATCAATGATTTCTTTACTTAACATAAGGTTCAGAGGTTTTTCTAGTAAAAATATTCTTTGAACGATTTCTGTATCATCTGCACAGAAACAAGAGTCCCATCCCTAACCATTTCAATTTGATATGGACAGTTCTTGATAATTCAAACAATTATTCATCGGGTAAAAGCCGTTTAAATCTGAACCGTATCAATAAAAACGACTGAATTAAATTAAAAAGAAGGATTATCTTCTGTTACTACAGGCACATAGATAAAACAGTTAAGTTATTATTATGCTTCATCCAGCGAAATATCCGTTTGACTTAGGGCACGTCAAGTGGCAACCTACGAACAAAGGTTCCGTTAAAATGAAATAAAAATTTATGTTGTAGTGTTTCTATTTCAACCAATATCAAACATTTCATGGATGAGATTCTATCATAAATTCATAATTATACTTTTTTCAGGGTTGTACAGAAAACGATATGTACTGCGGCTCGGGCGTCCAGTCCCATGGAGTTTGGTCACATGGAAACTACCCCGGGCTAGGCTGTCCGACAGATCTCTGGCCTCCACCTCCCAATCATCCAGCTATCTTACATCACAGGTAAGGACAAAGCACTATATCTGACACTCGGAAATTAATTTCATAACAACATTCAATAGATCTATCAGACTCTTGATTTTTTAACGCACTGTTACTTTTCACTGAACTTGGGACGTAGTCATCTTGGATCTTCTTACTAACCCTGCACGGGCAAGGAGCTGAATCGCTACTGTACTACAGATACTTTAACTCCGATACGAATCAAATTCATAAGAATCAAATATCCCCTGACTAAGATAACTCGCGTGTTACAGAACATGTCCAGCATCCAATGAAACGTATTATGTGCTGATCCAACCCATTTAATACTTAGTTATTAAAAAAACGTTTAAATGCAAAACAGTGACTAGTTAATAGATACCAGGTCAAAGCAATTGAGAGAAAAGAAGCATATGGCCTTGCAAACAAGGGTAATACCTATCGCTATCAGAATCCGAACACTTCAGTACGATTTCAATAAACACATTAGACGTTATTGCAATAGAAGATGAGGTAAAAGTCAAGCAATCTTGCAAGATTTGAAAAAGGAACAAGGATGAAACTTGAAATTTTAATAGGCACCTTGACAGGACGACTCAGCCGACTCAATGGTCAACTGTGGAAGTTGAAGTCAATGAACACGGTTATGCAGGATTCTATCAACACCTCTTGAAGGGCATGGTATAACTAAACATCCTGACTTCTAAATTCTAAATTTTAACTATGCATTATTTTAAAAAAGATTTTTATAATAAAAAAAAGCCGTCCTAGAGGTACCTACTTTAACTACTGAAAACAGATTTCATCATTTGAACGCCATTTAGAAACGTCAATTGCAGCTTGAACTGTAAGAAAAGGCTCTCTGAAATTGGACTAACGTTTAATCGTCCAGCAGCTGTTCTTTCTCACCAATACTGTGTATCGAGGCTTTTGTTTGCTAGACAACATACAATCAATTCAGGGTTACTTTTTCGGAAGGATGGCGTAATTTTGAGTGCGCCCACATCTGATGTGTCTCGACTAAGGCTTTATAGCAGCCGAGCCGTGCATACAGACCTTCTGAGCGTGTGAAATACCATCAGCTCAATTTATTAGCAAAGAAATTTTGTCCGGCTATGAATGAAAATCTTTACAAAGTGCAAATTAATGTTTTATCGTGGCAAGCCACATGCCCAAGAGTGGGGCATGGTGAGAAGTCACGCAAGAACTCGACAACACAACCTACGTTACAAAAATTGGTGAAAGAATGGGATGCCACAAGAATTCCTGCACTTTGTAAACGCTAGAGGAGTTAACGCAAAGTGAGATGAGGTCTGTGGAGTGATGAACCTATAGTTTGGCCGTTTCGGATCATTGGTTGGTCTAATTGTTGATTTGAGTCTGTCAGACGAGTTTGGGTTTCTCGCCAACTTCAGCGGTAGGTCTGTAAGCAGAACAATGATGAAAAAGACACATACTTAATCCGTCAAAGACGACGATAGGAAAGGAAATCATCAATACCTTCCTTTTGCCACCTTTCACTAACTTATAAGATTCACTTCTGAAGATGGCGAGAATCAAAAGCTTCAAGTCCATCATCACACAGACTCAATAGGAAATCTCACAATAAAGTCATCAATAAAGATCCATATTATTGGTGTACTAATTGTTTCGTTGTATCGTCATTATTCCATGTGATAATTTTGTACTGGATACAGTACCGGCTTTTTTTTCTGTATAGAATTGTTTAACTGTGATAATGTTGCATATATTTTAGAATGTTACGAGGTAGTGGACTGGGCCAGAACGGAGGGATAACTGGAAATGGGAGTGTGCCCAACGGCAACCCATTGGGATCGCAGAGGAAGCCGAGGAGGAGGGTGGCGACCATAGCACAGAGGAGGGCGGCGAACATCAGGGAAAGGAGGCGGATGTTCAACCTCAACGAGGCTTTTGACAAATTGAGAAGGAAAGTGCCAACGTTCGCCTACGAAAAACGACTTTCGAGAATAGAGACACTACGGCTGGCGATCACTTACATCTCATTCATGAGCGAATTGCTCAACGGGACTCACAAAGAAAGTGAAGGGACTTCTTCCCCGATTTACCAATCGCACAGAGATTACATACCATACTCGATTCTCTCGTAAAAATTACAAGAAATAAATCGAAAATTGGTGAGACTTCGGTCAAAATACAATCCACGGAGGTTTATTTAATTTATTCAATTTTTGCTTTTTTTAAAAAGATTCCAAAATTACCAAACAATTGAATGATTTAACAAACCTCAAGGAAAATACCTCTTATCAATGTGCAATATTATATTTACGAATAATTTTTAATTATTAGCCAAGTAATTAAATATCCCAATTTTTTAAAAATATGTTGTGACTAGTGAATCTTGCAAATTTTATTTATTGTTCTTATTGTTTGAATGTCAAGTGTTTGGAGTACGGTAATTCGTTTTTCGGCTTGTTTTATTTGTATTATTCCTGCTAATGTTATAATAAAAAAGCAATAAGGAAGTTTTGGTTATTTGCTAACATACATCAGCCTTTAAACTATAAGTAACATTAAATTGGACTTTCACCTCGAAGGACTGTCACTTCCCGATGTGCTGACCCTATGGTCTATACCTCATGGGATTTCACTACCGAGTTATACGGATGGTTCATTAGTACCTACCTTAAGCCAGATGCCAAAGAGATTGTCCCTTCCACCCAACGGTGGCTTTCGACGGTTAGGTCATTTCAGTACCAAACGCATGCAAGCTATTCCCTAGCCTAAAACTACTGGTATAATTCAGTCGCACAAATAAATACATTCACAACTATGTATATTGATTACTAGATGGAATACTCGATATTCCTCCACTAGCAACTTACAACATTAATAATTTAATCTAAAATAGGGTTGATGGGCTCCTTAATATTCCGCCAACGACCCGAAACACACACATGCGCTCGGAGAGAGGCAGAGAGAACTGGAAAGATGATGGTAACGCTATATTTACCACTCTCACCGATTTCAATAATAAATACAGCACTCAAACAGAACACATAAGACAGATCTGTGTACGATAAAAAACACCACGTCCTTCAAAAAGTAGAAACTGGCTACTGCGCCCGAGATACATTCTTAAATACAGCATGCCTCCACGCTCTCCGTAAGGAGTAAGTAACATTTTTAAAAAATCATTAAGCGAAAAGCAATATATCCTTGCTGGTATATTTTATCGAATCATAAAAATTTCTAGACAAAATGCTTTAACTGCGTGTAATAAAATTTTTATTGATTTTTCCTGTAATTACCCTGGATAAACTTACCAACAGACTGGCCCAAACGGCCTTATTGAATTTTAATTAACGGCAAATTACAAATTAAAAAACAGCGAACTGAAGTCAATACGAAAAGAAAAAACTAATAAGCTTTTAATTTATCAACCAATCAATTAATCAAAATTAAAATAGGCACCGGCCTTGGAAAGAAGGAACGTGAAACCCCCGTGAGATTATCGCCAGATTGGAAACCTAATTCCCAGAGACTATGACTATGGGAAAAGATAATGACCCTCATACTGTCTATTCTTTTATGGACGATTTATTCATTTGAGGAGAAAAAGAAAAAAAGCTAAAAGTAAAAACGTTAGTGTTAAACGTTACAAACTGATAAAAACTGTTTGTAATCATGCTACCTGACCGACAAGCCTAGCCGAAATAAAATCTTATCTGCGTGCTATAAAGAAGCTGACCTCTGGATATGATTGTTACCTTGACTAAACACTCCAATAAATAAATAAATGCAGGAACTACTGTTTAAAATGATTGACTAAACTGTAGATTCATTCTGTACACAACTAAAATCAGATATGCTTTTGTTAATTATTGAGCGTATGCATTATACAAGTGCCAATAGAAGTTAATAATAGCATAAAAAATAGACATGCCTAGATAAGGGTTTAACAGTTATTTGGATGAACTCAATAATGATGTAGGACTTTAATTTCAGTGCCTCTTTGAAAAAATTGCACGAATCACTAATTTGTATATAACTGTAATATAATAAACTGATCAATTGGTGTTCTTGAGATCCTGAATCTTTTAAATAAGATAACATAAATAACTTCTTAATTGTTTATAAATTTGACATGATTTTTGAAATTTGTAAAAATTTAGAAAAAAGAAAGGTTTTCCTGCTAATATAAATTGCAGACACTGCATAGAACAGTAGAATTTATTGTATAGCTTTTTGTATATAAAAATTTCATTTTGTAAAATCTCAATCATCTCAACGGCATGATTATTCTGTTATGTGACTATATTGTTATACATATTCTTTTCCTTACAACAACAAACTTGTCGGAAGAGAGTATTACATTTTGAATTTAAAATTCTTTCAATTGCAGGGGAAAAAAAAGATTTTTCCATCGCTCAATTATGTTTTTTGAAGATATGTTTCATTGTTTAAGCTGGCAGTGAGGTGTGTGTGCGTGTGTGTATAACTTACGAATTTATCATTATTTTTCATGTTTGGGTGGAACATATATAGTTTCAATTTCTAAACATGTTTATTCCATGCGTAGCATGCGACACCAAAGTGAGTATTAGAATATTCTAATTAAAACATTAATTATTCAAAACAACGTTATTTTATTAATTTGTAAGTGTTATTTCCTTCCATAACTAAATAAATTGTTTGTAGATCAAATGGAATAAAGTACTTCAATCCTTTCAAATAAGAAATTATTTAAAAAATTTATCATTGCCCATCATTGATGAATCACCATGACTAAATACCACACACTAAAGTCTTTTTATTAATGAGCATTTTTTAACTTATAATTTAGATTGGCAAAAACAGTAATACCAATAGCAGTTGTGTCAACCTCCCAACCGTACAATTAATACTTGACTACACTGTACCTTGTACTATGTACTACAGAAAAAACGATAAAATGTCATAAGTCATGCACAATGTAGATATATTGCTGGAAGAATTTTGTCAGATTTAAAAAAAAGAAAGAAATTTGGAAAACAAACTCAAATTACATATAAAAGAAGGTAGGTACTGATGAATGACAAAATAATTCACTCATTGGACAAAAACAATCCAAGAACCTTCTGGCGAATATAAGAAAGAAAGAAGCAGCATAATGCATCAAAGCTAGCAGGAAAAAAATTCGAATCCTAAAAGGATTCTTAACAGGACACTGCAAACTGAATGGACATTTGAAGAAGATTGGTAACATGTAGACGAGAAATCATCACGGCTACTAACAACATAACCATAGAAGAAATTCAACTGCTGAAATTAGGTCTACTCATCAAATTCCTTGATGAATTAGACTCACCAGTGTGGAGATAATGTAAATATCTCACTGGAAGAATCTCCTTGCCAAATTGGAAATAAAAAGAAATTCGGAAAAACGAACACAAAGTACATAAAAAATAAGGTCAGCATCGATGAATGACAGAGATGTAATATAGATGAATGTAAAGGTTCTGAAAATAAGCAGAGGAAAGATGTCAGGATGACATATTCACTATCATATTTACACTAAAGGAAACAATTTTGTGGCTAATACCAAGATGAGCTGAGGCAATAATTAATTAATCAGAAAAATCAGGACCCACTGGTATACTTTTAAACAGAAAAGTGGATACATCGGCTCTTCAAGTGCATATATACTTATATTGTAGCATAGCCCTTGAAGTCTCCATTTTATATTTAACTGTTACAAAAATTCTGCTGGACCCTTACAAATGAGATGTATTAGCGCCATTTTTATTTTTCTTCTATCATAGGGTTTAAATCAATTGCAAAATGTGATTATATATTTAAAAATGGTAGATTTCCACCACATAATTTTACTAATAAAGTTGACTGAAAACTGAACTGAAGTGTGATAATACATACCACGATTGTAAAAATTAAAATCTTTAAGGATCTTTAATTTTGTCTTACTTTTAATTGGATTTCATGATCAATCAACTATTGTTTAAAAAATCTTGTGGTCTACAACACAATTTTCTAGAGGTATGATTTGTATGAAAAAGTATACTATTCAAAACTGGCATTAATACCATTCTGAAAGTGTTAAGCTATGAAAAGGTAATTAAATAACTTGTATAATACCAGCATCTTTTCTGATAAGAATCCTGTTTCATTTATCTTTTGACAACAGATAAACTGTTCTCTACTTCCCAACTGTTGTGGGGGGGGATGAAAAAGGGAATTAAAAGTAAAAAACATACCATATATATAAATTAGGTTCTGAAACTTGAACATTTTACATATCTTTTAATTTTGTTTTGCATTTAATTGCTACACATTACCTGCATTTACTATGGTGCTACACTTACATGCAGCAGGAAGTACAACATAACCATAGAAGAATAGGTACAGAATGGGGAAACAATAGTTCTCAGTGCTGCATATTACATACCCTAAATACTACTTCTACATATTTATCATCTGCATCCTTTATTGAATGAGACATATTAGCATTGTTTAAAAACGTGATATGCCCACAACTTAACAATTTTGGACTACAATGTTGTGAATGAAAACCCAATTTACACAATTCAAAAGCGTTTTAAATAACTTTCTGAAAGTTGTTAAATAAATGTACCATAAAACCAGCATCCTTTATGAGAAGAATTAATTTAGCTTTCGATAGCAGAAAAACCGATTCTCTACCTCCATATTAAGAAGAAAGGTAAAAGGGGGAAGTAAAATCACAAAATATAACATCCATATGAATTTGGTTTTGATATTTAAACCACATTTCAATTTTATTTGTTTTGCATTTATCTGTTGTGCATCACCTGCATCATTCAACCGTTGAAACCGGGCCTACTAATGAAACTTCTTGTTCAACTAGGACTCACTGATGTGCTGTAAGGTACAATAGCTCTCAAAGGATCAATGTATATTACACACCACAAATATTACATATTCATCTACCACTTTAAGAGAAAATAGGAATTTCTAATTGAAAAAAAAAAAAAAAAAAAAAGCTCATGTCCAATCATTGGCAAGATGTTGTTGAACAGAAAGGATATCAAAATAAAATATTAAAGTTCAAGGAATATATTTACTTTTTTTTACCCATCCACCTTCCACCTCCCCGCCATACCTAAGGGAGATCCCATAACGGCGTACCACAGCCACTAAACTAATTCAAATGGGATGCAAGTTTAGGAGATCTTATTGTGCTTAACGGCTTCCTTCAACCTTGCCCTGAAAGGGAAGACCCAAGGAAGGAGGGAAATATTTTTATTATTATTAATTTACCTAATCTACTAGGTCTCCCCCTTGCTGGTTAATCCTTTTGAATACACTTTCTAATGAATATACAATATTTTAATAAATAACTAACAATTATGGATACAAGGAGTAACCAGCCTGGAATTAAAAGTTCAAGGAAACACTAAGATCTAACAAGTAACTTAGCTATCATAGGAAGAAAAATAGAAAAAAGAAAGAAAAAACTAGTCAGGTACTTTATCGACTATAGCTCGGCTAACAGGCTTGAGGACCTCAAATTCGAATATATTTACTCATCAATTTTTAGGAGGTGTCCAAATATTTTTAACATGATAATCTGAATTGTACCTTTTTTGTTTTTGTTTATTAAAGGGGGGACTAGTTTGTACCTCAGTAAGGATCATACATAAGACTAGTGTGTCTTAATATAACGCAGGCAATGCATACCTGCCCCACTGCAGCAATGGAAACCACACTGATTTTCCACCTAACATTAGTACAAAAGTTGACTTTTGAGAGTGGTAAAAGACCCTGAGATACAAGGGTATAAAACCAGATCTAAGGAAGAGCCCACAAAATGCTGGAGAGAATTAAAATAAATGAGATGGCTATAACGTTATCTTACAAATTGAGAGAAAAACTAACCTTTGACAGACCCTTCCAAGTGGGACATAGATAATTGAGACCTTTGGAAGAAAGGTGGCCCCAAATCACAAGAAGAGTCCCAATATGCCCTAAGATGGATCAAAGATGGAACAGAGAGGTCTAAAGGGAACTATATTCTAGGACAAATCCCAACAATTTTCCAAGGTAAGCTCCATGCAAGCTCTGCGCACAAGATTTAATAAAGAAAAACATTAAAGGTGCACAGATTTACATACTTTCATAAAGTCAGGCAGCTATAAATGCACTAAATGCATATGCTTTCAACTTCAAAATTATCTCGGAGTGCCTAAATTGCCTAATGGCCCTAGAAAAACATAACAAGATTACTTAAAGTGTGTTCCAGGACATGAAGGTATAGAAGGAAATTAACAGGCTAACTAACTATCCAAAAAAAGTGCAGCCTTCTCACCCATGAGACCATTAATCAACCACAACTAGGGGCAGAAGAGTGTGTGTTTAAACTGTAACTGGAAAAATGTCTTGAGAAAGAATAACTCAAGCACTGGACAAAGGGCAAGCCAAGGGATTTATCAAGCTCACAAAATGGAAGGTGAAGTAACTCCTCTATCTCACCAGGCAGGATTTGAAGAAAATTATAGGCTTCTATACCAGCCACTACTGTATTAACTACCACCTAAATAAGATAGAAAAAGCAGAGACAGAAACGTGCCAACTCTGTCTGGACAAATCGGAGAAATCAGCATTAACCCTGTCACAGTACAGCCGCTTTGGTGCGTGAAGAGGCACCTTAGCCTTTAGGAAAATGTGCATTTTCCAAAGTATAGTTATAATTTATAGGGCTTCTATAATAGATCTATATTTTTTTTAAATTTATTCAATCCCACAAACCTCAAAAAACTTGTTTTTCCTTATGTAGCCTAAAATTAAATTAAGGGTCAGGTTGTCGAGAAATTACAGTCACTGTAGTTCATCACGTGCCATTAAATTAAAGAGAAAAATGAAGTTTTAAAATCCTTACATAATTAAATATAAAACTATGAAACTTTAGGTTAAATAAATTTAATATCAGTTCATTGCTGAGATGTGTAAAACTATATAAATAAATAAATTATGAAATATAATGACATAACATCAATTATATGAAAATTTAATATATCTACAACAAATAAGTATGTTTAATTACATGTATGAACGTTTTATAGCTTCACAAGGTCAATAAATTAATGCGCAGTGTATGAAATACGCGAAGGGAAATAAATAGAATAATATTTAAAATTAAATCTCTTATCTAAAACTATATTTTTATTTATAAACGGGCTTTTTACGAGGCTAACACTTTTGTACGTTAGACAACGCAATACCTACAACTGAATTGTCATTCGATTAGTGTTTAAATTAGCCTGTCAGAAAAAATTTATCTCACCTTTTACTGGATCGGACGAACTCTTCAAAAAAGAAGGTGTAAACAAAACAAAGGGGGTTGATGTTGTAAAAATAATAAAGAAATCTACAGTCACAGTCTTTACAACGGGGTTGTGATGTACATTTACATTACACACGGTTTGCAACCTGCTGGGACAAAAACCGAACATTCGTAGTTATTGAGAAATTGTGTAAAAAACAAAAAAAGACTTTCCCACGCGCATTTTTTCCTAATTATTTTTCTTTAAATTGCAGTTATTTTTGTTATCGCCCGTTTTGAAGTAGTTTCGCTTGAATAACAATAAATTCAAACTATCAAAGGTGCAGTGAGGCGAACGCTACTGTAGGGACGTGGGCGATTTAAATACTTACCGCTATTATTCAGAAATCGTGAGATGCGGTACCGTATCTCACGATTTCTGAATAATTATCGATTAACGGTCACTAATCACCACACACTTACCGCTATGTCGCACGTGCAGAAGCTGGTAGCAATCAATCAATCAATCATTATTTTATTGTATTAAAGTACAGAACTTTTTTTACAAGTTTGAAAATTTTTCAAAACAAAAATATAATATAAAAACAATAATTTAAATTAATTTGTGTGAGCAAAAAGAATAAAATAAAGTAAATAATAATAAAGCAAGTATAACTTTCTATTTATTTAATACTGATAAATACACATATATAAATACTGATAAATACAGTTGAAAGTTCTATAAGAGCTTCCAAATAGTAGATCTTTTTATGTAAGGTAGTGGTTGAAATGAAAAAGTTAGTGCCATGAGCGGGATTCGAACCCATGACATTCGGTTCAATATGCTGCTGCTCTAATTGGACCACAAAATATAATGGGTTCTATAAGAGGTTGAACTGTACAAAAGTAATAATCAATATTTGAAATATAAATAATATACTTGTAACAATAACTAAAAATAACAAACACAAACAATTGAAAGTAATGTTTCAATACATATATACAGGTGTCCCAGAGATGATGTTAAAAAAAAATTTGGATGATAGTACACACTATTTGCAACACCTTCCAACATATAGTCCCTATACCTATCTTCAGTTCCTAGGATTTTTTGTTTGTTTTTCCATGAAAACATTTCTCTACTTGAGAAAACTACAATATCTATCTAGGGCTACCACAGTTTTGGTTTTGTCACTCACCACTGTAAAGTAAAGGTCCCGGGTTTGAATCCAGCAGCATTCAAACCTGACATTTATAAATGGGCTTTATTAAAAAAAAGTTTTTCTGTGCAATGAAAAAACTAAGATATCAAAGAGAATGACTAGCCCTTTTTAATAATAGGGCTCATAGAGACATGCCATATACATGGTGTAAAAATAACACTGAGATTTTAATTTTAGTACAAAAATTAATATGAGAGTGGTTGATATGAGAGGGGAAAGGCCATATTGAGTGTTTTAGAAATTAATAAAGGCTTGAGTTTGTTAGGATTTAAAAAAATGCTGTTGATTGAGAAAATTAAGTTACAGTTGAGCATGGAGAGAGCTTCAGTGATGTTGCATGCAGGGTATTGAATAAGGGTCATCAGCTTATATATGGATTTAATTATTATGGAAAATCATTTAGGGACATGGAAAAAAGTAAAGGTCTAAGACTAGAGCCTTGGGGTACACCAGCTGAAATCGGTAGAGATGAGGAGATAGAATTTGAAACTTTAACTCTCTGAGTTCTCCTGTTGAACCAGCACATGGCCACTTATTGGGTCTGTCTCCACTTGTTTTTTTTTAGTTGCACGGCATTGCACCAAACCCGCGAGTACTTGTAGACCAAAACCCACCATCTCTGAGTTCTGTCAGAGTAGAAGATAAGATTAGTAAGATAAACAAAAAAGATGCTTCAGTTTCTAAATAAGCAAATTTTGCAGGCGTTACTGTCGATGCCTAGGGAGTTATCATCTGAGATTTTGAGAAGGGCTGTGTCATACTACGAAACTTGTGGAAGCCATATTAAAAAGGAGGGATATAAAGTCAAGGGAGTCAATAATCAAGTAAATTAATTTATTAAATGGTACAAAATTGTTGTCTTGAGAAATGGTTGTAGCAAATAAGATTAAGATACATAGTGATTAATAAGAGGGACATTTGTACAGTATATGTTCCAGATTTTCTTACTTTTTGCTTCTGCACATATAAGTTTTAAGTCTATTGTAATATATATTCATGTTTTGTTGAAATTTTGTTGAACTTAAAATTGAATGACGAGACAGCTTTTTTTCAAGGACAGCACAGAGATGTATGTAGCCAGAAAAATAAATAGCTTGATGAAATGATTATTGCAAGAATTTATGGCTTTTTCAAATTTTTTTTGTTTTATTATAGTTTCAATTAGGTCTGTTTTGTGATGCTTGGCTTGGGTCCTTTCCCAAAACCAAAATAACTGTTTCATGCAGCTAACCCAATTAGATTTTATATGGGCCGCAGAGTCTTCTAGAAAAAGCCAGTCATAAAAAATCCTTGGATATCAGTTAGAAGGCATCAACAGTAATTTTATTAACCTATTTATACTCTCAAATATATTTGAGTGTACAAGTGTAGTCCTGAGTTTCAAGCTGGACAAAGAGATGAGGTGTAGTAGCAGCCAGGTGAAATATTGACTTAAAGAATCACATTGCCAAGGCTTCAGTTTTTCCTACATAGAAAAGTGACCAGACTCCAGCTCCATACAATAATGTGGATAAAAAAATCGCATGCATATGTTTCTGAGTGCCTACATAAGCCTTCTCACTAAAAGAAGGCATGTTCCACAGTCTCTTCTTCTTCCTGCCTTGTTTCTGCACTCTGAGAGTGTACTTTGCCTTGAGTTAGCAGATATGCCACTAAAGGGTTCAGGGACAATAGTTGTCCTCATCGAAGGTTCATTGGCCAATTTATCGACCTCTTCATTGCCCCTCTGCCCTGTTACTCAGACAACAATAACTGTTATTTTCTCCAATATTTATGCTCCCAAATGACTCTACCTTGGTACAGTGTTCAATAGCCACAGCTTCCACTTGAAAGACAGGGCATATTACTCAAAGCATATTATTTCCATCATTTCTTCTTTCTATTCTTATTAAAAACCAACTCTTGACCCATATTTAATTTTAGAGCCATCTGCCCCTCCCTGGATAAAGGTATGTAGTGGTGTAAATTTAGAACCTACAGGTCAGCAGTAGGAGTTGTTCTCATGGCCTTAGTAATGCTCGGGCATGCTAATCTCTGAGCAGTACCAAGGATCCTGACTGCCTTTAGATGTAATGTCTTTGTCCACCAAACCAACAATTAGTAGGCTATTATAATATATGAAAAACTGGAATGCAGCTCTGATTGATTTCATGCCTTTCTTAATGTAGGGGTTAGACATATCTTTCATTCCTAATCTGATTAAAATACAATTTAACTTTATTCAAATTATGTAATTATAACATAACAGGAATAAAATAACAAAATAATTACATAAATATGTTTATTATTTATATATTTAACAGTCTTTATACAGGCAATTTATTTGAATTTTCTTTTTTTTTGCCAATTTTACTTGAGTTTAAAATGGAAGAATGAACAATATGTTGTGCATACAATAATATATAGTATTGTTGACAATAAATTTAAAAAACAATTTAAGTACATATATCCATTTAGACACATACCAAAATTTACTAAATGATATTTTATGTTTTTCTCAGATACTACTTATAGTAAATTCATTAAAATAACTCACAGTGTTTCCACTCTAAGTTTCTTGTAGACATGTGAGGGATTCTGATTATGCCAATAAATGGAAGTTATAGCTAGAAGAAGGAAGACAATCATCGTCGTTGTAACGATTGCTATAAAAAAAAAAATAAATAAATAAATAAATAAAATCAATGCATTGCCTCTAATAATAACATAAAATTTAAATAAAGGTTAAATAACTTAAAATCCTTAAGGCAGAATAATTTTGAAAGAAATGGTTTGAGGTGGGGTGAGTATGGCAATTCACTTTTTTGAAAAGTCACTTATTTCTGAATTTTACTGGGTACTAATTATGCTTACCACAATTTCACCAATTTTTTTGAGAGGGGGAGAGAGAGAGAGAGAGAGAGAGAGAGAGAGAGAGAGAGAGAGAGNAGAGAGAGAGAGAGAGAGAGAGAGAGAGAGAGAGAGAGAGAGAGAGAGAGAGAGAGAGAGAGTGAGTGAGAGAGAAGAGGATTTAATTGTGCATAGCTCTTCTTTTTTTTGAGAATGCATTGGTCCTTTAGAAAAGGATGTCAAATCAAGGGTAATATTCATTAACAGGAAAGGGTTAGTACCCAGGGTGGTTTAGGGGAAATACCAATTTTTTTGGTGAGGTGTAGATTGACCTTGCAAGGAAGTGTTTTTTTTACACATTAATGTTTCTTCTAAAGGATATATATGCCCCTTGTTGAAACATGTCAAAAAGCAAGTGAGATGAAGGCATATTTGCTTTACACAGAGGTATTTATATAGCGAACTAACTGTGCTGTTATGGTATCAAAATAACAGTGCATCTTAACACATTTGATGCTGGCTGGAATTTTCTTCAAGCAGAATAGCTGTCCAGAAGGCTGAAACACACCCTGAAGGTCAGCCTCATTGAATATGTTAAGAATTCAACATGTGATAAGCCTGAATAAGAACCATCCTTTGCAAAAAGTGAATTGACATACTCACTCCACCTTTACTATTTTTATTATTTCTTTAAGAATTTCCTTAGCTTAAGAAAACAACAGAAATAAATTGAACAACCTACCAAAAATTGCAAGCCCATTATATGGTTGGTCTAGTGACAAATCAAAAGCAGTATGCTCGTGGCATTCAGTATCCCAATCAACAGGTATTAGAGGTTGCATAAGTTGAGTAAGTTTGTCTAAAGGACAAGCTTCATCACATCCCGGTACAGTCAACAAATACGGTTCAACATCTCCAGTCAAATTTTTATAAAATATCTACAGATAATAATAATTAAATTAAAAGTTACATATGTATTACATAAATATATTACTTACAGTGACCAACGATTGGTTTGCAGTTTTTCTAAGTTCAACCATTACCGATGAGGTAAATGGAGGTGGAAGAAAATTGAACACTCCGAGAGTGTTGAGCAAATAAGCTAGAGTTATATCATGGCCTGAATAGACTGAAATATTTCTGGCAAGTGGATCTTTCACATTCAACTTGTCGTGCATATTATTCAACATTTCCTTCATCAGAGGACCTAGATTATAGTTTAGTTTTAAAGAAGGGCTAATCTCTGACAGTAAAATTAAAATTATACCTCCTTTCAAGCGTTTTAATTTTGTTATGTAAGTAGGGACTGCAAAAGCAATTCCAGTTATTTCTTTTAACATATCGGGGAACACCTTTTTTGTCCATTCGGGTAGAGTAAAATTAGCTAAACTCTATTTTTTTAAAAATATATAAATAAATATATGCGTTTGTGTTTTATTCACTCAGAGACAAAAAAAATTATGATGATGATTACATGTACATACAACATAAATATATTTGAGTAAAATTTTTTTTGTAAAATAATGGTTTTAAATTGAGATGATCTCGCTCAAGCAGATGCTTTGACCAATGATGGATGTAGCGGTGTTAAATAGCTTAAATCCTGGGCCTGCTGCACATGACCTATACCAATGGTCTACTGCGGTTTAGGGCCACTGGAAGTCTCAATAAAAGAGTAGGTAGTGATTGACACAATGTACGATGATCATTTTAGAGGCGACCAGTGGCCCTAAATTATTGTAGACCATGGTTGAAGGTCATGTGCGGCAGGCCCAGGATTTAGGCTATTTAACACCATTGTGACCATCATTAAATGTAGCCGATCTTCTCAATTTAAAACCATGCTTTTACAAAAAAAAAATTTTATTTTTACTCAAATTTATTGTATGTTGTATATTTGTGTAATCATCATTTTTTAAAGTACAAAAACAGAACATACCTCAATGTGTAAAGTGCTGTATATATTTTCAATATCGTATGGATCCTTGATTTTACTCCCAGTATTTCTAGCCACATAATCAAAAATAGGCTTATACTTACTATTGATTTCTTTCATAGATTTTGAATGTTTAAATTTCTCAAATATGAAATCATACTTTTTGCAAGGAGCTTTCATAGCAAGAATCTGTAAAACTTGTATGTTATCAAACATTCAAAAGTTGGCTTTTTAATTTTTCACTCACTTTATCCAAAGATTCAGGAGTGCTATGGATTGGAATAGGCTGCCAGTTAATATTATACCAATGATCGTCTGGTCCAAGTGGGTACATTCCCGCAGCATTGGCCGCTGCGCTCATCAGCGTCCTGTCGACATCAGTACTCCTAACAAAGATGGTTTTGTGATCAAATTTGTCCTCAGGAAACAGATGATTATATCGGCGTCGGAACCACTGCCCTAATTGGTAATGGTGTAGTTTTCCTAGATTCGTCAATTGGCCCCAGTCAACTGGCCAAAAAGATATATTCCTGTACGGATCTTTGGGATAGGTCTCAGTCGGTGTACGATCTCCATGTCGGAATAGCTAGGAAAAAAAAATTATAAAGCAATGCCATTTACACAATATGCGCAAGGCCACATTATTTTGTTTGAACAGTTGTAACTAAACAAGCAGAAATACAATCGATGGAATGTTCAAATAAACTTTTTCTTGTTCCATATTGTATCACAGATAGAAGGGAAAAAAAAGAAGCCTAATTCGCAGCTCAACATATTATGTATAACTGAATGACTAAAAAATGCAGTTGTGAACATTTCTGCTAAATTGATTGTTCACTTGTTAATCATTTTATGTTTAGGGGTTTTAAACAAATTTGCATTAACTATGGTAAATTAAATATACTTACAATATTGACATAAACAACTTTTCCATATTTATCGTTCAATATTTTCTCCGAAAGGCCGTAGGAAGGACTTATTAAACAGAGGTATATTACAGCTAGTAAGCATTTCATGTTAAAAGATCCCAAATTGATGAAACAATCAAACCGACAGTGTTCAAATAGAGCTAAATTCGCTAAACAATACTACTAATTTCTCAGATAATTTGTATTTTCCGCATCTAAATACATTTCTTTGGTTGATTTATTTAGATATTCTGACCAGTCCGTGGTGAAAAAAAACGAAAAATAAAAGTGAAAATAAAAATTCAACTAAAACACTCAATCACAGAGTCGTTAGTTCGTTACAAATGTCAAACGATAAGAATTCAGTGTTCAACTTTCTTCAGTGTTGCCACATGTCACAGGCGACTGTTGCACTACAGTTTGTCCCCGTCGAAATGTTTCTTTATCATACACTTTCCACAAAAAAAATTTCAAGCAAACAGATCATCCTTGACCCTATCATGAAAACATGATCTTTTTTTTTGCTTTGCCATGTAGGCATCCACCACTATGATCATATTTATAAAATTTAATAAGGCTAAATTGAAGATTTTAGAATATTTTTTATTATTAGTTACTGAAGTTCTCTTGTTTTTAAACTACACGAATGTAATTGGGCTATTAGTTAACAACAAAATATTTTTGTTTGCTTAAGATATAAAAATACTTCACATCATAAATAGCCTTATGTTGCGTTAATTTTTCAAAATAGCTTATTGCTATCGAACAATTACTTTCAGGAGGTCAACTAAAGGAATTAACACTCATGCAAAATTGCTCTTTTCTAGTCACTTGACTGTAATCATTTATTTATTTTAAAAGTGCAAATTTTTATATTGACATATACGTATATTAAAAATAAATTTAGTTTTATAAACATACTGAAATAATAGTTACAGTAAAACATATAATAAAATATACAAAACAATAATACATTCTTTGAAATATTAATTTTTAATATAATTTTTTTTATGGGGCATCCGACTGCTTGGACATTTTAGCCCCAAGCACATGCAAAATATTACAATACACATTCAATACGCATTCACCCAAATAAATACATTCACACCTATATATTTACATTAATTTTATTTGGTAGATGGAGTACTCAATATTCCTCAATCGACCTACAGACAATAAGAAATTAATCTAATTGGGTTCGACGGGGTACTCTTATAAATAAATATTCCATCATCGACCCAAGTCACATACTCTCTAATAAATACACTCTCTCAGCTATAAACAATATAAAAAAATCCCAATTCCCCTAAAAAAACAGAACAGGGTACCTTAAGTACATTATTCTTTTAGTTTCAGCAGGTTTTTAAAATCTACAGGAACTAAAAGTGTTGAATTTACCTAAACAATAATATATAATGAGGGTCCAACTCAGAGGTACAAACTTTAAAAGAAATATGAAGAAAGATAAAATACTGGCTAAACAAATTATGAAAGAAAACTTTTACTGGTTTAAAGAATTAATAGATTTTGCTAGATAGATACATTTGCTCAGTTTTGGGAGTGGAGTAATTGATATTCCTACATCATCCTTTACATGTATTATATAACTAATATAATTTATGGTCGATGGAGTACTCAATATTCTTCATTGGCCCTCTCACACTACACTTTCACACCTATAAATATATTCACTCCCAACATATGCTAAGGAGACTTATTTACTCCCGAACTCAAATACAATTATCATGCCGAGTAGAATTCCTACAATATCTGTATGAAGCCAGGTAGAGTACCTTCAATTAAGTGTGTCACATTGAGCAACCTTTCTCTACATTCCAGACATATGCGAGCTTTGGCCAAAAAGTAAGTGCCCATGTATCAACCTCACATGGCCTATTCTTAATCGGGTGAGGATGACTCTTATATGAATCAGGTCCTCCAAATTGTTCTTGATATGAGTAACTATATACTCACAGTTTAGGCTGAGTTGAAAGATTTGAGGGAAATTAATCAAAATCTTCAAGTTTGTAAAATTGATGCATTCTGTCGAACATTTGGTGAAATTGAACTTGATATTTGGGAAGATGCCAGGTGAAAACGATTCTTAAATTTAACAATATTTATTTATGCTATTATGAAAATTTATTGTGATTTTTATGCTGTAATAAAAATTCTTTCTCCAAATTCGCCAATATTATGGATGAATAATGGAATATAGAACTTAGTCTGCAATTGCCAAAAATTCTTGTTTTACTTATAGCAGGATTTCTTTGGGACTTTGCATTTAAACCTCTTGGGCATATCACTCAATATTAGTATAGACAAATGTTATCTACTTAGATAGGCAAACTAGTAAAGTACAGCTCACCATCCATTTCATCTATACACAGTACGTTTACAAATAAATTCCTTGGATAAGCAAATTCAAACTGAAGTTATTGAATTTTACAATGATACCATTATATATTATTTATATATTTTTATAACAGCTTACAAATTTATAATAATATTAAAAAGAGAGGAAGTGATAAGCCTGTTATTATTGTAACTAAGTTATTTATGGTTTAAATAGTGCAGATTAGATTAATATAAATCTACAACATTTAATGCAAACATTTTTGAAATTGTAACTAATTAGAGGGGGCGTCAGTGGCCGCAACGGTTTAGGTGTTGACACGGCGCTTATCACTGTAAGGTGAAGGTCCCGGGTTCAAATCCAGCGGCCCTGCATTTGAACCCGACATACTTACAAATGGGCTTTTTTTCACAAACACCGGCACCCTGAGGGTTTATACGACTTATTTTCCTCGCTAGAGGTTCTGGGTTCAAATCCCAGCAGAATTCATGGCTTTTTCATTGTTAATGGTATGTAAAGTGGTTTGACCACTTGTCTGTGACACTGTTATTGCCTCCTGTTTGACAGAAATTAATCAATGAAAGGTACAAACTATTCTGGCAGTTGTGGCATTTTTAAATATTTTTTTATTTTATTTTTATTTCTAATTATAGAAACTGGACTTTCACATAAGTAAAATAATCATCTGTGGATTAAATTTTTATTATTTCATTGTTCATTTACAAACTTAAAACCTTTTGTAGTTCCCTTTTTTAAACAAATCACGTTTCCTACATCACAGACATTAACATCGTATTTTTATATATATTTGAACATATATTCGTACAAATATCCTAGAAAATCTGTATAACATATTAACAGTTAACAAAACTTCTTTGATTAGTTATCTTGATATTCATGCACTGTAAAATTATTCATTGTCAACCTTAAACTTAATGAAAAATAGGTCACCTACAGAAAGACATTACAGATGTGTAATATACATTTTATTACAAAAATATATAGTTAAACATCTTCAAGGTTAACATAACTAGGTTCATCAAATAAACATTTTAGGTATTTCTTTTAGTGTTTTATATAATGAGTTTCATGTTCATAATTATTTCTAATATTACTACTATATTTTTTTTAAAAAACTAAATTATACACAGAATTTTCAAAAAGAAAGAATAACCTGTTAATTCCGTTAATAAAACGGACATTTTAATAATACTGCTGTACTGTTTGTATTATTGTATAATATAAAATAGAATTTCTGTTCTCCAAGAAAATAAAAATACACTTCTTCACAGAAAAAGTGGTGCACATAGTTTTTTGATTTAATTTTTTCTTTTGCAAATATTTTACATTTATTGTGTTTATAAAATGTTATTTTATATTATCATTTGTCGTTTTGTTTACGATGAGGAATAATCTGTTTAATCCTTTATTACACAGGTTTCAATTATGTTTTTTATTTCAAAACAAACAAATCTCAGTTTAGTTGTGATCCATTTAGGTTAATAATCATTTAATTTTAAATTTATTTAACATTTTATTAAAAACAGTTATTTCTGAGGAGCAAGTAGTACGTGCTTTTGCATTAGTTGAAGGAGGGTTAAGTCAACGGTACGCTGCGCATGTTTTAGGATGCCCAAAACAACCTTAAGGAGAGCCATCCAACGGTATCGGAGACTTGTTTTCTTGTCATAAGAGGGCAGGATCAGGACAACCGAGAACAACAGAACCTAGGGATGATAGATTTTTGTTAATGCACACTCTTCGAAACCACAATTCTATGGCTTGTGAGACAGCCCACCAGCTTCGAATTGCTTGCAATTCAACATTTCTGCCGAGACTGTTCGAAGAAGGCTTGCAGAATTAAATTTAGCCAGGAGGCCATCAAGTGAACCACTTCTCATGAAAAATCATTGAAGAGCCCGTGTGAAATTCGCTAGAGTACATCAGAATGGGACAGAGAATGATTGGAGAAATGCAAGTTTTCTGATAAGTTCCCATTTTGCTCTGTTATCTCTAGACAGTCATCAAAGAGTCTACTGAAGGCCTGGTGAATGCTACTCAAATGGTGCAATTCGGAGGTGGCTTGGTGATGGTATGGGTAGAAATATCTCTTGAGCAAGAACTGAAACATCTTCAGCAGGCCGTCACTTAATGCACATGTATGTAACAGACATTCTTTAGTGCTATGTGTTGCCATATGTCTCCTTTATTGGCAAAAATTTCCTTTTAATGCACGATAATGCAAGACCACATGTTGCCACTGTGTTGTTCAATTTCTTCAGGAACTCGGCATTCGGACATTAAGATGGTCAGCTTGGAGCCTTGATCTAAACCCAGTAGAGCTTCTTTAGGATGAACTTGGAAGAAGTGTTCAACAGCGAGAAAACTATCACCTTGCGAGAATTAAAACCTGCATTAATTGAAGCAAGGGAGGAAATCCTACAAGATGTTATTGTAAACTTAATAAGAAGTATGCTATGAAGATTAGAGGCTGAGATTCGAAACGGATGCGGTAACACTGGCTATTAAATTTATTTTTATCTGCTCCAAGTGTTTATAATAAATGTATTCTTTTCAAGGAAGTGAATTTTTTATTATTATTATTATTTTTTTTTATAAAACTTATTTGCTGTACTCTTCCTTCTCCAGTTCTTATAATAATGACAAAAAATAGAATAAAAAATCAATCTTGAAGTAACAAATGTAGTATGAAAAAAAGAGAATATTTCAATATGCACCTTTTTTTTGAATGTGAAAGAGTGTACCTGTTCTCCAAGAAAATAGAACAATTTACAACAGTAACCAACCAATGTAATAAAAAATATTACAGGCTCATTTAATAAAATATATCGACTAGCTAAAGAGGTAATTAAGAGCGTTTTAACACATTAATAAATAATTCTACATAAATGAGAAATTGGAGTGTGTGATATAATATTCAAAATAACAGTAAATTGTGGAGTAAATTTATATTCCAAATTAATTGTAAAATTTAAATTAAAGTATTAACCATAATTTTTAAAGTATATGAAATAATGAATTAATTTTAAGTACCAAAAGCCATTTTATTAACTGTTTGGTTTTGATATTGATTCAGCTGATTTTCAATCCTTCCTATAGCTCCATGCAAGTTTGGTTCCAAACTTGCTTATATGTGCTGCATTCTTTGCTTGATACAGAAGCTAAAAAATAGAACCATACATTTTACCACAAATATAGAAATATTATAAATATAGAGGATTATTGGAAATTTCATATCTTTCTCTTAAAACATTCGTTACAGCTGTCATTCTGGAATGATACCCTAAACCCTACTCAAAATACAGATGTTCCAGAACACCTCTTCTTAAACATCCATACTTTCGAAGCATGTTGTAGGATTTTGGGTGTATTTTTGGAATCAAATCAGTGTCAATGGCAGGCCTTTAATATCGCTTTTGGAATGTTACTGTGAAGACTGTCTTTTTATTTGTTATTTGACCTCTGGAATGATTATTATTATTTATTTTTTTAATAGAAAAAAGTGTTTTCAATCAAAATTTTCACCATATCTTGGGAGTCTTTACAAATCAGTGCAGTAACGAATGTATTACATTTGAACACATGAAAAGTGAATGTAGCATTATTCTAGTTAAATCTTTTCCTTTTATCCTGGTCAGACCTATTCTCAGTTTTAAACCTTGTATTGGGACCAGAAACCTGCGAAGGTCCAGTTTCAACAAGTTTGTCTGAATAGTCATGAAAACAGGCGAATGAACCATATAAGTACATATCCGAGTCAACCCTTGTCTATTGAGCTTGCCTCATTCGGTGGAAATATTGCATAAAGTTGCAAGAAACAGACAAAAATTAATTCAATTAAACATTATGGGACGAAAGGGAAAAATTGTTTGCATTTCATTTGTATCACAGATTAATCTTTAATCTAGCCATAAAAACATTAGGTAGTAATTTTTAAATGATTTTAAGCTTTATTATATTTTTAATATTCCAGGCAGTCTAGAGGTAAAATTTTATTTCAAAAATGGATAATTCTCCCAAGTCATTTTCCCCCAAAAAATGTGTGTTCTGGTTCGTTCAAAAATACCTCAAGTTGTGGTTCTCATCATTTTGTGGATCATTATTAGTGAGTAAATTCACTGAACTCTTTATTTTTACATAAATACTATTTATCCACATTTTTCATCTTCTTTGTCTTTGGTGCACGATGAAGCAAGAAAGGTGCTTCTAATGTAATCAATACAATTTCAGAAATGTGGTAACCAACTCCATATTAACAGAACAAAGTTTTGACAAATATTACGGCAATGGGCAAAGAATGCACGCACTAATTCGTGCATAGAGATTCAAATGAAATTTTTTCGAAGTTCACAGCTTTCTGCTCCCAGTGAATGCGAGGCCTTACACTATCAGTAATATTTTGGCATTTAGCCATCTTCAGTGGTGGATTTGTCTGCTATTTTGTCCGCAGTAGACACAAATCCACCATAAAAAATAACGACTTTGACATTACTAAATCAATTAAAACTCCAGAATGATCAGAGATAATCCAGATAAATATTTCAATTGCTACATTACCTGATTGTCTATGTAAGCCTGACAAGGGTAGCACCAAACAGATAAGTCAGAGTAACTTAATGCGAGAGGGTGTTCAGAGTTTAAGTTATGATATAACATATGTTCATTGATATATCGTCCACATTGAACCTATTAAACAGATAAAACAAAATTATAAACATTCACAAAACACACAAGCACATACTTACTGTGTAACATGTCAAGCAGACCCAATTTTCATTTGTGTCTCTGCAACTAATACATGGTGCTGTGTGGTCAAGGCCCTGATCTGGAATATCATTGATTTGGGGTAAATGCGGGCATGTTTTTAAAGGTACAATTGCATACATCTCTTCGTTTACCAACGCCTAAACATTAAATTAAAAAAGTGACATCTGATATAAATTGACCACGCAAATATGTTCAAACAAGTACCTGAATGTTATCACAAAAGAACTCTGTGATGGTCTGAGACCTGTTAGGATCTCTGTTACTATTTGACGCCGAAGCTGTAGACTCCTGCGGTGGCACTCCACCGCTTCCTTCTTTGCTCTTGTTCTCATCTTCATTTCCATCTGTGAGTTTTTCTTCGCTCAATGTCAAACCTCTCATCAACTGTACCTCACAGTTCGTCTGTGTCATGTTTTTTGAACTCCCTTTAGTTTGGGGCGTTTTTAGCTTTTTTGTCTGCGTTAGCACGTGTTCAACCGGAAGAAACTTATTGAATTTTATGGCAGGCCAGTAAGGAGAGTGAGCAATTATCGTTTCATTTATTGATTCGATTGCCGATTCACATGGGGATAGTCCTTAAAACAACAATCATCAATTAAATATTTATATTAAATATAAAATGAGCATAAAACATTAGAGTATAAATGTGAAACTAGTTGTCAGTCACATACAATTTAAAATGTCATTTTACCTTCTTTTAAGCTGGGAAGTGGGTCTCCCAATAAAGCCTTGGTGCACATAGTCATTGCATACGAAATTGAATTGATGTTATACCCGCCTTCTAGAGAAAGAATTATTCTACCATTTGCTAAAGGCAAAAGCCATGATGTCATGTGTCCAAATGCTTCAGGGGTTACTTTACAACCTAGGAAAGAAACAAGCCTTTATACTACTTTTGCAAAGTCTGAACTTTAAATCACCGTTTTCTTATTAATAAAGTTCCAAAGCATTTATTCAATTATCCTACCTGAACTAAACAGTTCTAAGTAAAAGAAAAATCATTTAACCAAATTGGAAAACATATGATTTTTGTATACAATGGGCAAGTTGGAGAGTTTCAAATGGGCTAGATATTCTTTACCTGTTTACACTAGGAATTTTTGATTTATTATGTTTTTTGCAAAAAATAATTCAATAGGTCGAAATGGAGCTATGAAACTCAATAATTTTTAACATTGAGATGAAGTTATATCGTAAACTAGTAACAAGAGAAAATTAATAGGCAGATATACAATATTTAAATATAAAATTTGTTCAAAAAATCAAACCGCCTTAATAATTTTGTATAAAAATATAAAATTACCTCCAAGAGGATCACCAACAGCTGCATCAAATCCAGCTGACACAAGAACAAGTTCCGGTTCAAACTGGTATGCGATGGGCAGGATGACTTGAAAAAAGGCAGCACAATAATCGCCATCTCCCATTTTGCTCTGCACAAAAAATAATATTAGTGAACAATTGTATCGGGTTGTCCGGAAAATAATGCAGGATTTTAAGTTTTCATTAAAAAAAATCTATATAAAATATTCTGTTTACGTTTACAGGATTACTCATTTGTATTTATTAATCCTCTTCCAAATGATATTGTTTGTTTACCTCTGTAGCATTCCGCTACTTGGAAATAATTCAGTCATCCTTATAATGTCAAAGCGAGAATTTCGTACGATTTTCTTTTACGAGTTTAAACTCGGCCGAAGCGGAGCCCAAACGGCTAGAAACATTAACCAAGTCTGGGGCGAGGGTTGTGTTAATGAGTGCACTGTGCAAAGGTGGTTTAAAAAATTTCGGGAGGGAGATTTCAGCCTTGAAGATGAAGAAGGTCGTGGAAGGCCTTCCTCTCTTAATGATGATGTTCTGCGATCAGTGTTGGAAGAAAACCCAAAAACAACTGTTCGAGAACTTGCAGAGCAACTCAAAGTCAGTAAAACGACCGTCGCTGACCACCTCAAGGCGATTGGAAAAGTGAAAAAACTCGAAAATTGGGTTCCACACTCATTAAACGATCGCCAAAAAAATCAGCGCTTTGATGTTTGTGCATCACTTCTTTGTCGAAACAAAAATGACCCATTTCTGGCCAGAATTGTTACATGTGACGAAAAGTGGATTCTGGACAGTGGCTCGACAAAGGAGAAGCTCCAATACATTTTCCAAAGCCCCCAACTCATCAAAAAAAGGTAATGGTTACGGTATGGTGGGCTTCATTTGGTTTAATACACTACAGCTTCTTAAATCCTGGCGAAACCATCAATGCTGAATCATACTGTAACCAAATTAATACCATGCATCAGAAATTGGCAGTAATGAAGCCCTCTTTGGTCAATCGGAAAGGGCCCATTTTGTTGCATGACAACGCTCGACCACATGTGTCACGTGTAACGTCACAAAAATTATTGGAGCTTGGCTATGAAACTTTGCCTCACCCACCCTACTCTCCGGACCTCTCGCCTACTGACTACCATTTTTTTAGACACCTGGACCACTACTTACAACACATAATATTCAAAAATCAAACGGAACTGGAAAATGCATTTATTGACTTTATCAATTCTAAAAATTCTGAATTCTACTCAGACGGAATTAATAAGTTACCAACACGTTGGGAGAAATGTATTGAGAGTATGGGAATTATTTTGATTAAAGAACATTGCTTTAAAGTAACTAGTTTCTTTTTTTTTGTTTAATACCAAAATCCTGCATTATTTTCCGGACAACCCAATAACAGGCAACTTGTGCAACAGATATATTTTATAGATTTGTGAATGTGAAGTAAATATTCACTGCACACAAACATAGGATATACATGAGCAAGAGATAAGCCCCTTATAATTTTGCTTGCACTTTTAACCATTTCAGGACGGTCAATGCTCTCTTTGTTCCCCAAGTACTGAGAGAGTGATATCACACTCTCCTATTATTTTTTTCCCCCATTTATACATATGCCAGGTTCGAATTGTTGGCCACTGGATTCGAAACCGGGACCTTTGCCGAGTGATGCGTGCCATGTCAATGCCTTAACTATTGCAGCCATAGACGCCCATCGCTTTTAGATTCAGATTATAAAGATTAAATTCATGGAAGCTGTGTGTGGTTTATATTATTACTTTTAGCACTAGTGAGACTGGTAAATTTAGAAAAAATAACACCACTGCCTACTGTTTTAAGCAACACACTGCTTTTTATAATTTCAATATAAAAGTGAGAGAAAAGAGTGCAATATCACACGCTCACCAACCTGAAAGGGCTAATAATTTTCTGCCTTTTATTTAATTTGTAAAATTCTCTATTAACAATTATCAAAGGATCAGACAAACAATTTTTTTTATACAGTTTTAAATCTTTAGTTCTCGAATGGAGAACAAAATTCATTTCTTCAAGGAAAACAATTTTTCTTTTGCTGGTTTAGTATTTATGATATTTTCGTGTTTACTGCTAAGTTATAATCTTCTATTAAGACAAATTAATTAACATGTTCAGTAGGTAATGTTCCCGAATGATATAGCAAATGATGTAGTAATAAAAAATTTATAAACAAAAAGACAAAAACAAAAGTTTTATTCAACTTAACAACAATAGTTAAGTGGCAGTGTCGGTGGGCTGGGTAGGCAAAGAAGCTCTCATGTATCAAGAGCACTGTCAGGGAGAGGGATCATCCTCACCTGATAAGGCCATGAAACGTTGACATATGGATACAGTTTTGGGACAAAATCTGCATATGTGTCTGGCATGTAGAGAAGGTTGTCTGAGTGTTCCCACTCAGTTCATGGTGTCGTTACTTTGCTCCATATAGTCATGTAAGAATGCCACCAGATATGAGAATTAAGTTTGAGTATTTGGGCATCCTATTACAATTTTTGGAGGAAACGGTTGTTTTATAGTCAACAGTCGTATATGTGTATATATTGTTTTACATCCAATAATATGTGTTGAGAGTGAGAAGGTCGATGGCAGAATAATGGGTACCCATTTGACTCTAAATTAAATTAGTTATATGTATGTACAGGTTGACAAGGAAATGAACAAAGTTCTCCACCGTCAAAACTGAGTGAGATGTAAGTGGGTTTGGATCTAGACTGATTGCATTGGGGGCAGAATTGACCCATCTGTTGATAGCCCTAGAACCCAACTCAGTGGGTAGATGGATAAGACCAAGTTATGACCCTAGACTGCCAACACCAGGGGAGGGAAATTCTTGAGGCCTGCTAGTAATTATTGGAAATTACAAAATCTGGAATTGCCACTGGACTGAGAGAAATGATAGGCTCAATTCTGTACATGTGCATGTGTAGACTTATATAGACCAGTACTCAACAGTTTACCTTGTTCCAAGGGATGTTTACTGTGTATCCAAGTCCTTCTCCCCGACCGATTTGAATAGCAGCTCCATCTCCAGTGTGCGGAAAGAATTCACCATTGTCAAAACGATGAATTGACATGTACATCACATTTGAATCTTCCAAGAAAATCTCTTGTGTTCCATTTCCATGATGAACATCCCAGTCGACAATCAGAACTCTAAACAAAAATTCAAACAAAATTATTAATTACAACACACACCTCATCCCTTTCTGCCAAATTTAATACATTGTTAGGCACTTAGAATTGAAATTTCATAATAATATTTCACCTTTTGAGACCATATTTCTTTATGGCGTGGTGAGCTGCAATCGCAACATTGTTGAAGATGCAAAATCCACAAGGATCGTCAATGTCTGCATGATGACCAGGAGGCCTGATAATTGCAACTCCAGTAGCACTTTCACCTCGCAAAACATTGTCTACGACCTGCAAATGTTCCCACCAGTTATTAAAAATTATTTGCTTTTTTTTAATTATAAAAAATGCATACGTAAAGACAAGAATAGACACAAAAATGTGAAAATACATATCTAAAATGATTATTTTATCATGACAGTGGAAATCTAGGTAGTAGGGTTTTTATGTCCCCCCAAGCACAGTCTTTTGGCTTATTGTACTTTTCCTTGTTCCTCAGAACAACTAACTCAATCTTTCTTTTTAAAAGTATATGGACATTAACTGTCATTTCTATAATTCCTTTCTCTGCTTTTATTTGTATCCCTGGTTGTCTCCATTTAGCCATAACTTTGCATTCGAAGATGATATGAGTATCAGAGATGTTTTTCCGATGTCAGTGACTAGCATGTAGTCCAACTACTCCTCTGAATTTGTCTTCTCTAAATTTAGCATTATGTTTGCCAGTTTTAGCCAGAGTTCTTTTTATAAGCTTACAGTCTAGCACCTCTAGAGTTGCATTTCTTTTGTCTTTTTTTGGATCCATTCTGACATAGAGGATTCTATGTTTATTTTTGTCATCCCAAGTACAGGAGGTGTTTTTGTTACTCAAAATTCCTTTGTGTCTTGGTACCTAAGATATCTTCAAGTTGTTGAGTTTTTCCAGGTTTTTGGAGATTTTGGATTTTTTGGTGGATGCATTCACAGATTAATTTTGATATTTTTTTGCTTTAATGGCCACTTGGTTATCTGATCTTTTGAGGATTTTCATTTATTGTAAGATTTTCTAAGGCACAAGCATTGATGGCATACATTTCAACTTGAAATATTGTAGAGTATTTCCTTAAAGAGTTTAACTGCTTATATTTTGGGCTGGTAAATACAATGTTTGATCCTTTCATTTGTTTTGGAGCCATCTGTTTCCAGTCTTTTTAAGATGCCTAACGTTTGAGTAGCTTGTTTTTGTTGTGCTTCTGATTGCGTTGTGGTCCATCAGATTAGTGAGCCTGCAAAGACATCATATTTCAATGTTTCTTTTTCTAGTAAATGCAATTAGTGTGGTTTTTGAGAGGGTTTGTTTTTAGTCCTCGTTGTGAGCACCATTGCTCTACCACGTTGAGTGCTCTTTAGGTGAGATCTTTTAATGCTGAGGTGAATTTTCCCTTGACTAGTATTACAATGTCATCTGCATAGATAGCCCTGCCAATAGATTCTGTTTTCATTCAGTTTGCATAAGAGGTCATTCACAATTTCACAGCAGAGGCGAGAGTATTACTCCTTGTGGATATCCTCTCACCACTTATTTATTATATCACAAAAATATTTTTGTGATAATAAATTGTTCAATCCATAAACAATAATAAAAACACAATTCTAGCAAAAAAAAAGTCATTTAACAGTGTTATAATTCCATATTTACTGGATTACTACTTACTATAAAAAATTAAAAAGATTAACTTTGAACAGAATTGTTTTCAATGATTTACGTGTTAGCTTTATATTAAAAATAGTCAAAGAATACCTCAAGTAAACATCCGGCTGCTAGACAGGCTGCCTTGTATGTATATTGGTGGAAATAAACTGAGTGGTAAATTTCTTTTTTTTTTACTAGTTGCTCGCCAGTCATGTAAGCCAACTCTTTCATCTCTAGTATGTGGTCTTTGCTGTGTGCATACAAAAGCTCCTCATCAGTTGCTGACCTTCCCTGTAAATAAATTAATTGTAAATCAATACATTCTTACTTGTTAAACAACAAAAGGTACTTACTTTTATCATATGAACTCGTTGCAAAAGGCTATACTCTTCGTGCATCTTGTAAATTGATGAGATTCTAGCAGGCTTCTCAATATGGTCCCTATTTAAAATGTACAAATTAAATTGTTTGCATCTAGGACACGGAATAAAACAACTCACCGGTCTTCATAATTTTTGTGTTCCATCATTTTTGTATCATATACTAAGCATACTCGGTGTTCAGGTCTTAAAAGCGGACATTCTAAAATGTAAATGTAATTTTTTAATGAATAATTTAATTTATAATAATATACAAACCAGTCTTACTTAAAATAATATCATCTAGTTTCAAATTAACAGATTTAATGAATTCCTGTGTTTGGATGGGGTAGCAGTTTCTTGTTTGATATTTTTCTGGCTTTGGCTCATCATATTCATATCTATAATTTAAAATATGTATGTTATTTTGTTCATTTACAAATTTTATTACAAGTAAAATGTATTTTTATACTATCTATATTTAGCTGTTGTTTACAACATACCTGACAACAGGTAAATGCCTTTCTTCCTCTTCTCCGGGTGGTTCATGAATGCTACAAACATTATGGTAGCGAAAACATTTCCAATAATCTCGGTGTATGTATATAACATTAAGTATTGTCTCTTGAATACTAAAATTGAATAATATAAATAAAGATCACTAAACATACTACTGATGTTCTACAAGTGTACACACTTCTCGCATGGAGAACCAACACTTGGCAGTTTGGGGCATGGATCGCCCAAAAGCGCCCTAAGCGTAAGGGCTGCACTTTCCGAAAGTGATCTTATACAGTATCCACCCTGAAATAAAACAAAATATCAACCAACATTCTAGTCTGTGGTCTTGATGGATATTTTTCTTTTATCACAATAAATTATTTTAAAAAATTACATGAAATTACCTCAAGTATGACAGCTACCTTTCCTCCGGCAAGCCCCATTAAAGAGGTGATTAAATGTGCGTAAACAGCCGGTGATAATTCCATCTCACCCTTAGAATATAAATATCAATGAAACATTAACAGCTACAACTATAATAACAATATATACTTTTACCAATATGTTTATTATTAATATTTAATTACTCAAAATACTTCTACATTAAGGGCATAGAATGTAATAAGATTTAAATAAAAATAATAAATAACAATATCAATTAGAATCGTAATTATAGAGTTTTTAATCAATTAAAAGTTCATTGAAGAAGAAGAAACATAATGGAAGATTAATAATTAAAATATTCTAAATAAGTTGTTTATCTTATAAATGGTAAAATTTAGTTGGCAATAATTATTCAAATTGTATGACTTTTTTTAAACCTTTTAAGTACAAAATAGAAATGATTAAAGCAATTAGTCAATAATATAAATAAATTAAACTCAGTTAAATACAACTAAGAAAATAAGTTCTGAAAGTAACTTCACAATTTTTTTTAAAAATAAAATATCCAAATTTAGAAATAACATCTAAGTTAATCGTATTTGCTACATTCAAAATTATTTCAAAACTGTACAAAATATATAAATGGATTCAATACCTTTTCATCTCCTAATGCTGAATCATATCCAGCTGATACAAGGATAAGCTCAGGTTGAAACTAAACAATAACTTGAAATAAAACAAAGTAGAAGATCATTAATTAAAAGAAGGCTAGACACATTTTTTTTTTTTTTTTTTTTTGTTCCAGCCAAAATTGCATTTGCCAAAACTGGATGAACAGTATCTAGGTATAAAATAAACATATTGGAAAAGTAGTTTTGAAATTTGAAACGGAAAGTACCTCTGGGCAACCAAGGGCAGCATCATACCCTGCTGACACAATAACCAATTCGGGCTGGTACTGAAATTGACAGAACACTAAAAATATTGTGGAGAAATTTATAAATTGATATTTATTATCCACCTATTTCATTATGTCAAAAAGTGATAAATATATTTAAAAACTATACCATTTCGTATAAGTTCGTGCATAGTAATTAAATGTTTTAAGTTGAACAGGTGTGTAATAACTTACAAATAATCTGAATCAATGTAAGGTCTGAATGAAAAAACAAATTCAATTGTTATCTGCCAAACTTTTGACCAAATTTTAAGTTCAACATCAGGGCAAAATAATCTTAAAGATGTCTACAAATTTTAACTTTTATATATAACTTTTTAATGAAAATAAATTAACTGAAGACAGATTCGGTCCCAACATTGTCAAGGGATGGGAGCAATAGACATCTTTAAGACTGTTTTGCCCTGATGATGACCTTAACATAGGTCGAAAGCTAGGCAGACAATAACTGAATTTGTTTTTCCATCCAGACTATACCGTGATACAGATTATTCTTGAGTAAAAAAGTGGTCAATACATCTAACACTTTCAACAAAAATAGTTTTAAAAACTTTTAGAAATAGCTTAATCCTACAAGTATTTACCAATTATAAATAAATAAATTATCTCTCTTTTTTACGTATATTTTTTATATTTTCATATTTCACATTACTCGCCTCATAAGCTATTCTTAAGAGCAGTTGATGAAAAATTGCTAAATAATCTGCATCTGTCATCCCCGTTGAATTTAGTGGGATGTTGAAATTGAAGCCCCTCCCTGGCCCAGATCCAATGTGGTCAAAGTCAGATTCACGCAGATTTGGCCAAAATAGACCGTACTCATATCGATGAATTGAAAAATAAACCACTCTAAAATATTTCGAAGTACCATTAAATATAAAATTAGAGGATAATGTTTTGATATTCCTACCTTGGGTCTTCATAGAACATCTGTTGCGTCCCTTGGCCGTGATGAACATCCCAATCGACGATCAAGATTCGTTGCAACCCTTGATTCAAGGCATGTTTTGCTGCTAATGCGGCATTGTTAAAGAAACAGTAACCGCAGTAATCATTTACCATTGCATGGTGACCTGGGGGCCTACATACATAGTAGTTCAAAAAAATGACATCATAAGATAGTTTATTTATTAATAAAAAATTTAAAAAATCTTTAAAAATTATTTCTGTATAAGAATGAAGTCCAAACCAATTAACAATCAATCAATTCTTAAGTTGCAATAAATTTAGTGTTCTGAAAGTTCAAGGGTTCATATAAAAAAATATATATGCACTTTCTTTTTCCCCAAATATCTAATTCTCCTATTAAGACCGAATCCCTGACTGATTAAAGTACCCAGTGTATTATTGTCTCACCTTATCAAAGCCATCCCATTTTGTACATTTTTATTGCAAATAGAATCAATTAATTTGACTGCACTCCCAGCTGCTATCAAACTACATTCATAAGTACTCTAAAAAGACACAATACCATCATAGTTAAATATAAAAAAAATCCTGTCATTATATTTAAATTTTTTATTGAAATATTTACAGGATGTATAAAAATGGAGTCAAAATTGGCTGATATGTTTTCTAAATGGTTGATATCATTACAGTTTTGGGTTGATTTCAGTAGGGCAATCTGTTTAGATGAATGTAGTGTCAATATGTCGGCATCTGATGCTTTAGAAGATTCAATAATCTGACAACGGTTAACTAATCCCAATTCTTTACACCTGTGAATGATGCTGGTCAAACGGTCTGGGCATTCAGGGTAATTCTCATCCCAAAGGCATTTGTGCTCAATCATTTTGTTGTCGAACACTAAACCAGTGCCTGAATAAACATGTTCTTTGGATTCCCTAGCCTAAAAAAAGGTATTAAAAGACATCTCATATAGGATTTGGAGCATAAATTAAATTAACAATGTGCTTCAATCGATGTTCACTAGATCAATAAATTCAAATTGCGAATCATGCAAAGAGATATATTGCCAATATCTTTTCAACAATATCAACTAATAATTATCATTGATTTTTCTAAGTAAAAACAATTAATAAATTATTCAAATATACAATTTTTAAATAATGTTTTGTGTGCCTCGAATCTGAATATTTTTATACCAGGCAACCAGAAAGGTTTGTATGGGTTTGAGCGGTATGGTATTTTAAAGTTTTGAATATTGATCAATTGCTTCTCTACAAAGAATAATTTCAATTACAAATGATAATATTGAATTTCTTTAATGAAACTTATTCAGTTTTATTTCAGTTAATTTTAATTGTTATTTTCCCATTGGCAACCTGCTGGAAAATCAGTAGTAAAAAATAATTATTAAAATATATTGTTAAACAGCATAGCTTACCTATAATCTTAAACAAAATTTATTTGAGTTTAGGAACATTTTGAAACAAATGTTACACCTACACAAATACTAAAAGATAATGAAAACTTAGGATAACACATTATTTATGATTTACTTTGATTATGTACAACACTATTACTACAATATTATTTCAAATATATACAGATTTAATAAAGCACAATTTTATTCACATACCACTTGATAAATGTCAGCAACAAATGAAAAAATAGGTTGCTTCTTAGAATTTCCCATTTTTAGTTGTGCATTTTTCTTTGCAGCAACAAGATTCGGGTTCGGCTTGCCCTAAAAACAAATAAACCTTATGTTCAACACTAACAAACAATAAATACATAATAACAAAATGTGAAAATTTTTAATAATATTTAATAAAATAAGTAATTAACATTTAGGGGATTCCAAGTGGCAAGGGGATTTGATTAAGCTGTATTTGCCCCTAACCATTCTGGTATCAAATCCTAGTAGAATTTTACTTAAAAATAAGAAAGGTATTGTAAATGGGTTTGACACCTCATCCATGAAACCTAATGATAGTTTAGGGATAGTTGGATGTTAAGCAGGCATTTCTAATGTAACATATTGGGTTGTCCGGAAAATAATGCAGGATTTTGGTATTAAACAAAAAAAAAGAAACTAGTTACTTTAAAGCAATGTTCTTTAATCAAAATAATTTCCCATACTCTCAATACATTTCTCCCAACGTGTTGGTAACTTATTAATTCCGTCTGAGTAGAATTCAGAATTTTTAGAATTGATAAAGTCAATAAATGCATTTTCCAGTTCCGTTTGATTTTTGAATATTATGTGTTGTAAGTAGTGGTCCAGGTGTCTAAAAAAATGGTAGTCAGTAGGCGAGAGGTCCGGAGAGTAGGGTGGGTGAGGCAAAGTTTCATAGCCAAGCTCCAATAATTTTTGTGACGTTACACGTGACACATGTGGTCGAGCGTTGTCATGCAACAAAATGGGCCCTTTCCGATTGACCAAAGAGGGCTTCATTACTGCCAATTTCTGATGCATGGTATTAATTTGGTTACAGTATGATTCAGCATTGATGGTTTCGCCAGGATTTAAGAAGCTGTAGTGTATTAAACCAAATGAAGCCCACCATACCGTAACCATTACCTTTTTTTGATGAGTTGGGGGCTTTGGAAAATGTATTGGAGCTTCTCCTTTGTCGAGCCACTGTCCAGAATCCACTTTTCGTCACATGTAACAATTCTGGCCAGAAATGGGTCATTTTTGTTTCGACAAAGAAGTGATGCACAAACATCAAAGCGCTGATTTTTTTGGCGATCGTTTAATGAGTGTGGAACCCAATTTTCGAGTTTTTTCACTTTTCCAATCGCCTTGAGGTGGTCAGCGACGGTCGTTTTACTGACTTTGAGTTGCTCTGCAAGTTCTCGAACAGTTGTTTTTGGGTTTTCTTCCAACACTGATCGCAGAACATCATCATTAAGAGAGGAAGGCCTTCCACGACCTTCTTCATCTTCAAGGCTGAAATCTCCCTCCCGAAATTTTTTAAACCACCTTTGCACAGTGCACTCATTAACACAACCCTCGCCCCAGACTTGGTTAATGTTTCTAGCCGTTTGGGCTCCGCTTCGGCCGAGTTTAAACTCGTAAAAGAAAATCGTACGAAATTCTCGCTTTGACATTATAAGGATGACTGAATTATTTCCAAGTAGCGGAATGCTACAGAGGTAAACAAACAATATCATTTGGAAGAGGATTAATAAGTGTTGACATTCATACAAATGAGTAATCCTGTAAACGTAAACAGAATATTTTATATAGATTTTTTTTAATGAAAACTTAAAATCCTGCATTATTTTCCGGACAACCCAATAATTTCACTTTGTGATTAAGTGAAAAATTTTAAACCTGTTAAATGACAAAGTTCATTGAAACTACAATATTTTCTATTCAGAAAAAGTTCTTTTTTTGTTCCAAAGATTTTATACCAGCACATAAAGGAATTAATTTTTTTCGACTGTATATGTGAAATAAAAATCGTTGGCCCACAAAAGTAATGATACATGACTAACTTTCTACGATTTTAACAACTTGGACTATGCTTGAATTGTAATGAGCAGTCAAAAGAAATTGCTAAATGGCCCAGTGAACAAAACAGAAAGGAAAAACAAATTTTTAACTTAATCCATATTGTAAGAAGACCATTTACATTATTACTAAATTCTAATTAAAATTTGGAGATCGTAAGATGTGGTCTGGTGTGACATAGATTTAGAAAAACATTTTCTTTATCGTGCCAACATTTTGATCTTTATTGAGACCATCTTCAGAGCTCAAAGTGTTTGTTTTCTGTTTACATGTGTCATTATTGTGTGTCATGTTGAGAGTGCCTCATTAGTGCCAATCATTAAACACACACTCACACGCACGCGCACGCAAGGCAATACAGATATTTTTATGACAATGAAATGAATATTTAGCGTTTGTATAATTTAATTTCAATTTGTTTTCTATGGTTTTTTCTTTTTCTTTAAACTTAAGTTTTTTGGAAGACTTTTTTTCAATTCACATTTTGTGTTATTCAGCATTTTTGTTGCCCTATTTACCTACGAAAGATGGAATAATAATACTTACTTAGTAGTTGTAATTTTAATTGTACATTATTAGATTATAACAAATAAAGTCCCTTTGTTATTATAAACGTCTATTTACAATTTTAAAATTATAGCTTCAATGAGATCTACCACCTGTCCACTCTACAAAGCAGACCACATAGATTCATTATAGAAGAGAGGAGAAAAAGGGAGGAAAAGAGAAAAAGAAAAGAGGGAGAGAGTGGTCGATTAATATTTTATTTATAGTAACTAGCTTTTACCTGCGACTTCGTCCATTTTAATGTATCTAATGCGATGCAGAGTGCTAGTATGGCTTTCTAATATAATGTCTCTTCTTCTGTTCATTTCTGTCTATACATGGTAAACAAAAATTATCCCTTTAGGGATGGATTTCAAGAAATCCACTTTGCAGCTATCCATGTCATTATAGGAATGCACTGTCAAAATTTCAGCCCTTTAGATCCAGCAGTTTGGTCTGTACGTTGTCTGCCAGTCAGTCACAAACTGTTCTGTACATACAGATAGGGCTGGAATTTCAAAAAATCCTTTCTTAGCAGCTATCCATATCATTATAGAAATGTACTGTTGAAATTTCAGCCCTTTAGATCCAAAGGTTTGTCTGTCAATCAGTCACGAACTGTTTTATATATATATAATTTTTTTTTTAAATCCTTTTTGACGACTTTTACATCCAGCGACTAAGGAGGGTGGGAAAGGGAGAGAAGGGAGAAAGAAAGAGAGAGCACATGAATTAAAATATTTCAGAAATGGAACATAAAAGACTGTCGTACCATTACTTGAGTGCATTATTTTATGAAATTGTTAATTAATATTTTTTAAAAATACATATTTTGTGAGGTGGACAAACTTTGTAATTGTTTGATTATTGTTGTTATTCAAATAACCAGTTAAACAACTGTGAATAAGAGATACAATTAAAAATCATTAACATCATTTGCAAATATAAATCATGAAAATTAAATTTAACTGTTACGAATAGGAGAGTGTACTAAGATTTCTGCTTAACAAAAAAAAAATTACAAAACAAAACGATTTAATTGTTATTGTCTTACCTGACTCTGCAATCTCGTTGACCTTCGAAGAGGGCCATCTGTTGTTTTTTTAATATTTTTTTTGGCGTAGCTTTCCATCTTTAAGTCCCATATGAGCCAGCCAAACTGTTATTGAAGTTCTGCAACAATCCAACGTTATCTGAAAAAAATCTCATCTATAATAAATCACAGTAAAACTCAATCACTGTGTGATACGCACTTCTCTGCTTATCTGCGTGGGTACATCTGTGACTCAAGGATATTAACACATCTCAACGATTTGTAAGGTCACATAAGTGCACATTCAATTGAAATCCGATGGTAAATTGCGCGAAAATCACAACGTGCAGTCGTGCTCTCACTCTTCCTGACGCCTGTTAGAAAGTTCAAACAAAACGGAGAAAAACAAAACTAAAAAATGAACCGCGAGATTGGATTAACCGCCGTCTCTTTCGACCAAAAAAAGCCAAAAAACATGTCCTATAGTATAACTTGAAACTACATTAGCCACAACTACCATTAATGGCAATTACAAACAACAAATGGAAAGATAACAGCCCATGGGTTATCGACCGGATGAAATCGGAGTCTACGACACACGATGATGTCACGCCTATGATGAGGTGAAGACTGCTTGGATGGCTTCAAAAATTATTTTTATTAAAATCCCAGTTATTAAAACAACGGATAATTAATTTAATTTCATTAAAAACAATCCTGTCAAATATAAAAGATATACTTGTTTCTTCTTACTTGAAGCTGTTGATTAACTGCTTATTATCCTTCTGAAGAAGGAAGAAAACCAGTTAAATAGCAAGCACCAGCAACCAGTTAACAGTTATAATATTTAGCATTTGGGGTAGGGACAAATGTGGCAGCCACAAGGCTTTCTGCACCTTGACCTGAGTAGACCTATTATGCTCTTCTATTTTTTATCTCGCTGGCATGCTTTGTAGCCTTCGTTGTTAGCCAACCTCCATCGCCTTGCCAGCAACTCCATAGAGTAGGATCTTGCTTGCTGCTTTTATTTTTCTAGTTGTAAGAATCTACATCTATATAGTCCCTCACAAAAAGATAGAATGTGTTCTGCTCCTCTTCTTCCTGACAGTATCTGCACAGTTCTTCATCTTTTCCTATCCAGTGCATGTGCCTTCTTAGTTGGCAGTGCCCTAACCAGAAACTTGATTTTGTTTGGGTTACATTTTGGTAATTTCTTTGTAACTTTTGTGGATAGCATTCTATGAATCTCTTCGCATGCTTTAGACTTGGGGTTATGCTCCACTTATAAGGGATCCATTTTTGGATGTGTCCTTTTCTGTGGCAAGGTGCGAGGCCAAAGTAGTGTTCATATTGGCTCCTGTTTTGTCCAACATGTTCACTTTCTCATAGCCTCTATGTCCTGGATGTCTAGGAACCATGGATCAGGTCACTGGTGTCACTGACTTCTGCCAAGGATTCCATGAAATTGTTGCCTCTCACTGCCGCATCGGAGGGTTTTGTAATTCTATTTAATTTGATGTTCTTAATAGTTTATGTTCTACTTTTTTATTACTTTTTTTTACGATTTCATTTTCACAGTGGGTCTGTCAGAATAACAGTCCTTTGGTATGGGCATCTATTCTCCTTATTTATGCCTTTCTGGTTGCATTGTACTTTTGGCAGGGGATGTACTTCGTGGCAGCGGTCTGCTTTTACATGGACTTTATGTAGCATCATACGAAGGATCAATTTTTGTTTGTTATATAACTTGCAAATTCCTAACTAGTTAATAAATAAATGTATTCATAAATAATTAGTTAAATAAATAAATATACATGCAAAAATTAGTACCAATTTTCAAAAATAAGAATAAATAAATATTTTACAATAAAAACATCAAATATTAACCAGAATTAACGACGGCATCAAAATCATAACAGCGGAAAATGGCCGTAAATAATGGAACTCTGTCTTACCTGTCCAACCACCGAGATCGGGCTCTGGGTGCTGTCAATAGCTAGGTCAATTCAGCATCCAACGTATGCAATTCCAAACCCATTCATACTCACATTCATTGTTAAATACATTCACTACTATTTACACATTCACTTAGGATGGTGGAGTATTCGATATTCCTCCATCACCCTTTAGATAGCATATTAATGCTCTAGTAGTAAAGAGAAAAATAAATAAATAAAACTTATATTTAAAGGTTTAAGTTGGTAAACAAGCTGTTGTACGAAGTGGTCATACTCCCAGTACATATCTATTCAAGTGCAGCTTGGCATGTGGCAATCGCAATCAATTACAAAAAGTCCAAAATAAATTCCTGTCCATGTACAGGGTCGCCACAAAATGCAAAAATTGTTGATCTAATCAAGTATAATAATATTTTGGAAATTACAAAATCTGTGGCTTTATCTACAGTAAGTTTCACAGGCATGTGTGAAAGTAGCTGAAGTGACATGGTAGTTGGTGCACACTGTGAGAACGGCAAATTCACAAAACAAATTGTAATGGCAAATAACTTCAGAGGAAAGAAAAAATCTTTCGTGTCAATTTTGGGTTCTTCCTTTACGTTTTTTTTTCTCCATTAGCTGAATCAGTTTTGGTTTGTTAATTGGTGATTTTTAATTTTAATTATACTTTTTGAATATAACTTTTTAAACTGAAATCATTAATTTATACAGATATACATAGCATATAGCAAAAAAAACCCAAAACATTCAAATATAAACAAATACAATATATTTTTTCATATTTTAATATGGAAAGTAATAAATTAACGAAAATATCTGATATATTCGGCTTTCTTTTGTTTACAAAAATATATTTTACACAATTCCATCAAATTCCTAACTCTCGAAAGATTCTACTCTGATTAATTTATAATCTTTGCATTTTAACAGTTGGTTTGTGAAAAAATAAACTGAACTTGTTAATCATGTCTAGTTGACAAAAATCAGTATTATTCTCAACAATTGTTTAAGCAATTGCTTTGCTGTTAGTTTAATGCAAAATTAATTTTTATCACAAAATTACTATGCATGGTCAGTCACTTATCAAGTGCTTAAGAATTGTGGTTAACTATTTTGTTGTTCTTTTCACAATTGTAGATAAATGCGTACACAGTAAATATATTTCAAAGGAAAAATAATAATAATAATAATAGCTGGAAAACTTTTAAGATATCCCATGAACTTTGTTTCAACGCACTCTGTTTTCTACTTAAAATTAATAAATGAATTTATTATTTTTGGGCTTGAGTAAAAAATAAACATGTAAAACTCATTGAAAATAAAAACAAAATTTTGATCGTTGAAAGGAAGGATGAGAATATTGAGGTAGAACACAACATATCATGGTGCATAAAGATATATTTTAAGTCTTCATGTACAAGCAATATAGATACATAATTGTCCAAAGCATATTGACAGTTGATAAACTTTATTCTTTATACTGGCAACATCTTTGGAACATTATTTTTCTTTTTATTTCCTAACCTGACTAATTCTGGGACAATTCAAAGTCCCTCCATTACCCCTAAAATCGCAGCCGCACTACTTTTTTTTGTGGTATAATAGTATAGTTTAATCAAATTCATGATTTTCATGACAAGCTAGACGTATTAGCAATTCACATATGTATTTGAAAAATGACAATTTTTCATCTTTATACATGTTAATAATATTTATTTACGTGTATATATAAATATTATAACACATATAATATCATTATTATTAATAGAAAACATAAGACCATATGATCCCTCCATGAAAAACCATACCTTTAAAATAAAATAAAAAATAGAAAAAGAAGCATTTACACTTATCTACCAGAACATTGGGAAATGTAATCAAGTTTCAATAACTTCTTATCATGTATTCTTTTTGTGTGAATATATAAATAGTCATAATAATTGTCACCATTTCTTATTAGAAGATAATTTTATATACAATAATTCGATATATTGATAAAGCAACTGTACAATTTTTTTTCTTTACTTTTATTTATAAGTATGAATGAGATTACTTTCTTTTTTTTATATAAAACAAAATGACAACTTTTTTTCTGCTTAAATATAAAGCTAATCAAACAAAACATTATCTGGTAAAAATAAACATTAACAAATAAAAGTAAATGATGCAACAAAATGATTAGCTTTTTGGACTACTTGTAGTCTTCAGTGATCGTCTCATATCGGTGATGTCTTCTTTTGTATCGGAGGAAGGTTGACGTAGGCTCTCTCACATGATGGAATATGTACAGACAGAATTTGTCATAAAAACAAATTTTGCCAATTGACAGGAATGCATTTTACTTTAATGGCTCCATTTGGTGTTCCATCCCTGAGATGCAGAATAATACTACATAAGACAATAATAACAAAGCATCAGTACCAAGGCAAAAAAAATGTTCATCATAAAGTAAACAAATATAAACAAAAAAATATTAAATTATTAGAGACAGTGGAGGAAGATGGATCATTTTGTACTGAAAATTTTTATTATTTTAATATTTTAGCATTTTTATTTTTCCTTATGGTCAAATCATTTGATTTTACTGTTTTGATTGTTTGTTAACATTAATTTATTAAGTAGGATCAAACCAAATTATTTAAGTTATTACTGATGATAATTCTGAACCTGAAAAAATAGCAATTTGTTAATTATCCCCTTTCATCATTAATGATTAACCATTTTTAAAACAAATTGCTTAAGTGCAAATCAAATTCAGAGCGACAAAACAAAATAAAATTATTGATATACTAATCAAACTTTAAATCTGAACGTTTTTGCCATACTGATTTTTTAAAATTAATTTTAGATGTAAAATTTCATTACGGCAAAATAATTCTCATATAAAAAAAATCAATTGAAAGTTTATACATATATTTTTACATTATCATGATTTATGGGCCTTTTGCACTTTTAATTAATCTCAGAACTGCTGCTTTTTTCGATAAAGAACATAGTGCTACAAATTGACACCTGGCTTGACAGAGTAACAAAAACCTTTTGTAAAGAACATGGAATTGTAAAAGTTACAAATTTATCAAAAAAATTATTTAACAAATTAATAAACTGCTTTAATCAAAATTTAAGTGATTTTTTATCAATATTATTTGCTTTTGCATGGGTAACAAATCCTGGCTAAAACAAAAAAAATATAAAAAAATAAAATCCACAATAATTTTTTTCCTTTCAATTTAAAATAAAGCAGTATACCAATATTTTATTACTTCTGCTACTTAGCTATAATTATTTATAAATTTAAAATCATTTGTAATCTTTCATACTCACCTTGATTGACAAAGTTGACCTCAAATGTATATAATTTTATTACAAGGTAAAGAAGTATAAGAAATAAATAAGTTATTTCCTTTATACTTCTTTTCCTATTGTTTTTTTTTTAATTTTTAATTTTTAGATATTTCATAAAATTCTTAAAAAAGAAAAAAATCACAGAAATCAATTTATAATATTTTGATTTAATTATCTCAGGTTCACTATTATGGAGTTTTTTTCAGCCAAAGATGTAGAAATAAGAATGAAGAGACTTACATTTCATAAAGTATATATTTATATATTATAAGCATACTTATTAAAAAAAATATATATCTCATTATCATTTTTTACAACTTTAGCAAGAGAAACTCCATATAAATAGTATGCCCCAAGATGATTGATATTTCAAGATCAGCACTAAAACATAACTGAAGTAACTTTTCTCAATAAGTAATTAAAAATAAAACAAAACAAATGAAGGCACAACAACACTACTGTATTGCTGTGTTGTTCATTAATTGAAGAACAATTTTTTGAACAATCCATACATATGATCGTATACTTACTTTTTCTTTAAATCAAACTAAATAATCACTAAATGACTTATGCCCTACAGACTTGACCACATATTTAATTAACATTCTAAAGTGTTGAATCAAAATTTATAACAATAGTTTTGATGAATTTTTCCCCCACAAAGAAACTTTAATTTGATTACAGCAATGTTTATTTTCTAATTTCATCTTCTGGTATGTAAATGGAACTTACTGAAGGCGATTAAATGACAAACCTTATTCTCATTGAAAAGTGTTGAATATTACTTTAAAAAGAAGTTTTATTAATTTTTTCAGGCCATTTTTATTTTGAAATGCCTTATTATGCATTCTGTTTATGCATAGAAATTTTATTAGTTTACTCGTCAAATTAGCCATTATTTAAAGGAAATTGACAAGAGGATCCATATCAATCTGAACCTTATCACAACACATCATAAACTATAGTTCAATGAAGGCATTTCTTATAAATATAATTTATGTGCCCTTAAATCATCATGTACTAAGTTGTTTATATTAATATATAATTTTTTTTATAGAGGTATATTTTTAAATATCATTAAATATGAGAAGGAAAGGTAAGTTTCAATTAAATTTTTTCTTTTTAGCCTTTTCACATGCATTGATACTTCATAATAACATATTAATAAGAAATATAGATTTTAAGGTTGCAAACAAAAATTAACTGAAGTAGTAGCTTAAGTTAACAGAGTATTACCAAAAAATAAAAAAATAAATAAATAATAATAATAAAATAAAATAAATAAATAATTTATTTGAAATCTACTTTTTTTAAAATAGAATAGTAGTTATATAATATAAACAGTCGAAACAATATAGAATTTCCCTGACTTCATTTATTCCCTTTCACACACAAGTGAATGGAAACAATAAATATTGCAAATAAGGAATAATAAAAAAAGAAGAAGAAAAACCAAACAAAAACAGATGAAAAGTTGATATATATATTCTGCAGGTGTGATCTGTATTGAAGTGACCTGCTTTGTAGATTAACGCCCTGCTAAGCAAGATAAAATTAAAATTTTTGGAGTTACTAGTTCCATTGCTTAAAAAAAAAAAAAAATTCCAAAGAAATTTGTTCACTCACAACATGAAAATTCCACATTTTATTTATACATATAAGAATAATGTACAAAAGGCCCGAGGGTAGTAGACCCAATCTGAAAAAAGATTAAAAGTTAAATAATCATTTTTCTAGTTTGTTTTTCTATTGTATTCTATAAATATTTAATAATGTAGACTTTAACTTAAGCGATATGTTCATAAAATGGTTAATGTAATAAAGTTTTGAAAAAGGATGGATTTTTACTAACATTATAAGGAGTATTTGAACAAAATTTTTTTTAGTGGTTTGAAATTTATTTTCATAAATATATAAAATTTTTTGACATAATTATGATGGGGATATATCCTAAAATAGCTTGAGTTATAACAAGTAAATATATTACTGAGTATGATTTATATAAATAATCATGTATATGCACCATGCACCAAAAATAATATAGCATGCAATAATACATTCATTTCGAACATTCTAACTGTTAAGAACAATCGTAAAATAAAGGTTGAAGCTTTCTGTATTGTTTATTTTGAGCATGTTTACTTCTTACATGTGTTTTGTCCTGAGGAAGTTCTTGCATTGGGAGCCTTGCTTGTTCCCAATCAGAAGCTGAACTCAATTCTTGACCGACTGCAGCTGCAGCTGCTGCCACAGCAGGTACATTGTAATGTGGGTTGATGACGGGAAGAGAATGCATCATTGAGATGCCAGCTCCAGCATTAAATTGACCAGTGCCATCAAGACCAGCCTGAAAACAATTGATTAAAATGTTAAGAAAATAGAAAACAAAATTTCAAATAGAGTCACATTGTAATAATTTCTCAGTAAATAAGTTAGTAATGAAAAAAGCTTTGTTTGTAATTTTTGTTTAATACACCGGAAGTGCTAAAAAAATTGAAAATTCGTTTATTTTTTATAATTATAAAGAAAAAAAAACTTTGTTTTATTATTTTTTGTGGGGATTAAACTATATCTTACCTTCATCATTAGGTGTATAAGATTTGCAATTCCAAGCACCAGAAGTGATCAAAAATAATTTTTTTAAATTTTGTCCAAAATTTTTAAATTTTTATTAAACGATATTTTGTGTTTGGTGTTATGGATTTGCAACTTTGAGCAACAGAAGTGATCGAATTAAAAATTGGAAGGCCCACACAGATTAGCCTGGTGTCTATCAATTTATAAATCCTATTATAATGGGAACCCAACAAGCCAGCAGAAACGACACAATATAGGCTTACTGTGTGGTTTTAACGAAACGATGTCACAGAAAACTTCCTTAAAAAAAATTGTGAAAAGTCAAGTTGTTTTACTTTCATATTCCTTTTTCTTGGCTTGTGTTCAAGATTTTGAATTGCTTATTAATTTTTTTAATTTAACAAGGACAAAAAACTAAAGCTTCTGTCGAGCACTTTTTTGAAAATGAAATTCAGGCCTTCGGAAAAATTTTTTGAATGAGAATAATTAGGGGCAAATTTTTACAAAATGTTCCACGTCATATAAAAAATAGTAAAATATAATATCCACAAAACGCCTATTTGCATTGAAACGTATCAAAATTTACAAAAGAAAATCACAAAGAATAACATGAGACAAATCTTGTTGTGATCGGATTACTAATTCATAGGATATAGAAGAATGAAAAATGGAAGGATTAAAAATCCGAGAATAGTCCCCCCCAACACACTATCTTCCTAACCCGAGTAATAACATCAAAAACTTCATTTTAACACTATTCAAAACTTGCCTGGTATTGGGTGTCAATTATGTGAGGTAAGTCTTCAGGCTGAATTGGTATCCTGGAGAATGGAGGTGGTGGTCCTGGATTAGGAGCATTTCTGTACATATGATGTCTGTCTAAGCCCTGGTTTGGTCCCATATTTGTGCCTTGCCAGGACAACTTAGGCTCCAACAGCCATGGTTGGTTCATTTCCATTTCTTGTTGGGTAGAGATGTTATAATTTTTCCATGCTCTCTCTGTTCCGATTGGTCTTGGTGGTATTTTTCTGTCATCTTGCTGTTGTTGCTGCTGTTGTGCTGTTTGAGGAGAGGAAGGTGAAACATTGGGAGAAACTCCGTTTTCCAATGTACCAAGAAGATCTCCTGCCTGGCTCATTGCTAAAGATGACAAGTGGGTTACGTCTGTTTGAGGGTAACCGTGTGCAAGAATTGGCCACCTCTGTCCATTTGGTCTCGCCCCTGGATATTTATTAATTGGAAACGATATCACATTGCTGTTTGGAATAATTGGCTGCTGTAAATATTGGGCTCCACTCGGATAGATTTGCGGTTTGAAGTTTGTCGCAAAATCTGGCGCCCTGGGATTAAGCCTAGAGATGGTAGCAGGCGATGGGTGATAAGCTGTATGTTCCAATTCAGTCGATTGGGGGGCAGTGGAAGCATAAACAGGAGGTGGAGGCGGTGGTCTAACTGTCTGCAAGGGCTCAGAAGGTGCAGGATAATAATTTTGTTGAGTTGACGTTCCAGAGGAAGTTGTAGGCGTTGAACCTTTGGCCACTGGGGAGCAAACTGAATTTCCCCTATAAATTGGGTATCCTGGTGCTTTTGAGGCATCGACCTAAAAAATTAAATACACAACCATTAGCGAAAATGAAATTTCAGAAATTTGTGTGTAATTTGATCAAGCAATACACTCAAACAATCAATATTAAGTTTTTTCCACAATGCAAGGAGATGAAGTACTAAGTTCTATGTATCTAATAAGGAGACAAGTGACAATTAAGAAGGAGAGTGGCAGACATAAATAATTTAAACATAAATTTGATTGCTAACCTGTGGTGGTGATGGGTCAAGATATTTGTTTGATATAGTAGTCATAACCATTGGGTTAGGCATTCCGTTTGCAGCTACACTTGCAAAGTTCATGCCCTTTTGCTCGTTCTCACGTCCACCCCACATCGACTGTTGTGTCACCTTAGTGAAGTTATCATTGAAAAGAGAATATTCAAGAGTTGTAGGATTTGAAGGTGTAGTTGGTGCTGTTGATGTTGGTGGAGGAGTAGGCGATGTTTCATTAGGAGATATTTGTGAAATTGAAGTAGCAGTAGATGGAACTGTTGGGCTAGAAGTAACGAGCTGTTTACTCGGCGTAGGAGGTGTAACTGCTGTAATAGGTGGGGATGGCTGAAAAAAAAAATATATATATAAAAATGTAATTTGATATTTTCTGTGGTTGGCTTATTTATCAGGTCTACCTGTCTCAGCTGAGGAGGAGAAGCAGGAACAATAAGTGTAGAAGGTGGTGTTGTGTTCAATGTTGTACTGCTTGATGATACAAGGACAGTAACAGGTACACTCAATTGAGAGGTGCCTGTGATGGTAGATGATGTCGTAGGAGGTTGTTGAGACTCAATAGTTGAAAGCTTTGCAGCAAACGTTTGGGAATTTCCTGAATTTGACCCATTCTTTCCGCTAGAGCCACTACTCCTGGCATATGTCATTATTGCACTTGTATATGACATAGTAGTTTTTGTTCCTGATGCAAGTGCATTGGCACTCGTCGTTTGCTGTCTTTTATTCACTGTAATTAATCATAGATTAAACTGTAGAAATGAAAAATCAAGATTTTATAAATTACTTTGCTAACAATTTTTTTCATATACATGTTAAACAATAACTACAATTTTTCTATTAGTTTTCAAATAAATTTTTGACCGATGCAACTTTAGTTCAACATTACCTGCTGTTGCATGGCGTGGTGCCAAAATTCTTGGTGAAGAAATTGATGGATTAACAGTTGAAACTTTAGAAATGTATGTTAGAGAATTTCCATTTAGATTACCTGAAATAAAATAATAAACGTTATTATGTGATAAAATTAACAAGTTAATTAGGATGTTTTACCAATGGTAGTAGTAGTTTTTGTAGCAGCGCTGCTACTGCTCATGGCCTGACTCGTCTGTGAGGACTTGTTTGTCAATTTTGATTTAGCAGTGCTCTAAAAACAAATGTAAAATTATTGTAAGCAGATAATACAGCTTGTTATTTACTATAAATGGATACATTTTATCACACACTTGGGTGGCTTATTTGCAGTTACGCATGTAACAAATACGTGTTACAATATCTTAAATTTGCAAAAGTGACAGAGGATGATAATTAGTCTATACAATTGTTTATCTGTGGTTAAATAAGAGATGAAAAATCAGGGGCTGTGACAGGGTACAAGGCTGTATGTTTAACATGAAACGTTAATGTTACTGAGTCACTTTTAGCGCATTGTAATGAAATGAAAATGGGACAATGAATGTGTACCAAATTTTACTTTAACATAAAGCAAACACTGAGTGGTTCAACATATTTATTTTGACGATGATTAATACTACTTTTGTTTTGTTGCCAAAATATGGAGGAGCAGATAGGACATAGCTTGATATCTTCAGTCGACACTTTGTAATGTATATTTATGGCACTGAGAATAAAAAGCGTACAAATCTCTGACTTTCACATCGACCAGGCATTCGTTGCCTGTTTTTTACACAAGATTCAATTGTGCCTCAGTGATGGCATCAATAATGATGCATAGCGATATTGTTTGCTTTTATTTAGAGGCCGTCGAGCAGCATAGTTTTTGCACAGCACAATCCTTTAGAAAGCAGAGACGATCAAAAGCCGATCACAAACGCTGCCAGATAGACAAAAGAGATTGGTTTCAAATATAGTTTTGGAACGTTTGTCAATTGTAAGCTGATGGTCCTGCTTCGTTTCAATTGGTCGGATGATATCCACCAGCTGAGAGACATATTCGACAGATATATGGGTGTTATGTTAATTTACACATTATATCCATTGGTTTAAGGACAGCAGCAGTAGAGGGGCCCGCACAGTTGGCGACTTCGTTCACTGAATGGATCAAGTCAGCTTTGTAATGCTTCGTAAGGTTCTTGCTCGCTCAGACATGTTTACCTGTGTGTCTAAGTCTCTCTTTTTTAAAAAAATGCATAATTTATATTTTTGTCCGGCTTTTGCACTGGTTGAGGCTGCCTTATTAAATGTGTATGCGTAATACGAATTAAAGGGTGTATACACCCATGTAAATGGCATTACAATTATGCCCCTGAAACTAATATTTAGGGACTTATTAATTCAAGACAATATAGACCATTTTGTTATGGGAAAACTTCCTGTTCTGGTACCCATATGCTTTAGGGTGATTTTAAAAAAGTTTCTCATCGAAAATGGAACCTTTGTCAGTCTATTCTACTGTGATATTATCTTTATTTATAAAGTTGTTTTTATTTAAAATATGCCGACCCAGATTCTAGACAAAGGATATGCATGTGTGATTGGGTTTGTATATAGGAGTATGTATGTATTTATTGTATGAGTAAGTGTGAGAATGACTGGTTTTAGGGAATGTAAGGGCGCCAAAATGACCAAAGAAGTTGATGGCGCCCGACTAGAGCCTAACCTCGGAGTCACTCTGGCACCAAGGTGGGTGACTCCCCCTGATCTATCAGGGAGAGGCCAGAGGCCTCCTAGGAGGTCTCGTAATTCTATTTCTATTTAAAATGTTATTTTTAAGACTAATCACTGTTGGTTAATGTCAGAAAACATTTCCTTGGGTGTGGCTTTTTTTAAACTAAAAAAGTAAATACATCATCTTACAATTGTATTAATTTCCAATTTATTAATATTCATATAATTTTAAAAGATATGACATTTGCCAAGTGGAAGAAGTCCAAATACAGTAAACCCTCCATTATCTGGGGTTCGATTATCTGGTCCCCCAGGTCTCCTGTATACTATGTATACAGGTATATATTTTGCTCTGCAAAGTCACCTCTGATTCAAATATCACCATGTTTTGTCTTCTGCCTATGAAATTCCCACCGGTCTGTTTACATTGAACACATTCGTTCGGACGTCATCCTGGAACAACGCACTAACCCTTCTGATGATGTTCCAGAACAAAGTACCTCTTCTAGAATCCTCTGTGTCACAGCCTTTTAGTTTTACTATCGCTTTGTCGCTATGTTACTGTGGAGACCATTTTTTAGTTTGACCTTTTGGACATTTTTTAACGATTTTTTTAAGAAAAAAGATTTAATCCATTTTTTTATGTTAGATCTGTATTAAAAGTAATATATGTACATGTCTTCTTAATTCACCTTTTAGGCTGAATTTTTCTAGGTACGTTAAAAAAATAAATTCTGAAAATAAATTTTCTGTGGAATACTTCCCTATCATTACCCCAGATAATGGAGTTTTTACTGTAAATAAAAATAAGTAATGTATTTATTTATTTTTTTTTTTAATTAAAAAAAGTTAATGTTTTCTGACATTAACCAACAAATCTTTATTTATGTACAAATGTGAGATCTGTGTAATGAAAAATGTTAATTAAAAGTAATGTGAATGATAAATGTGACAAAATAGCTTACCATTGACTTCTCCCAGACAGCAACAGCTGATTTTGATTTGGGAATCATCTGAAGAATGTCGACATCAGGATCATTGATGAGAGTTGCAATGAGGAAATGTGCTTCTTTGGTCGCCTCGGCTGAACCTTTAAGCGTTATTATTCTTTCACCTTGACCTTTACTTTGTTTTTCAACTTCGATGTTAGCACCAGTAACAGCTCTTATAGCATTAATATTACTGCCTCCTCTGCCTATTACTCTACTTATTGCATTTAAAGGAACTGAGACTTTTTTGGATCTGTACGGCGAATTGAGATACTTTCGAACTACTTCCTTCCAGCCTTCTTCTCTTTTCCCCCCAGCAAGCTTCGGACTGGTGGAACTTGCTGTTTTAGGTGGACTGAATTCATCACAGTATGGCCTGAAATAAATGTTGCTTAGATTACCACACTGAATGCACAATAAATAAATTTAAAAAATAATATATTTGTTAAATAAACCAGTAAGGTAAAATTTATACTTACATAGCATACTTTTTGGTTTTAGCTGAGGAATAAACATCATTGCCAGTTGCTTCAAAATCTTCTCTATCTGCAGGATGCCGAGAAGGTTCGAAGTTGAGGGACGGTTGCTGCTGCTGTTGAGCTTGCAGGACTTTGTTTGATTTGGTTTGTTGTTGCCTGGTACCTTTAGTTTCAGGTTTTTCATTTTGTTTACCCTGTTGCTTTATACAAGTAGTTTGTGATATTGTTACACTTGTAGTTCGCCTCTCCTCCAGTTTGCTCGTTGATGGAGCGATGGGAGAATTAACATTTTGGCCTTGCTGATTACACTTTTTCTTCTTCTTCTCTTTCCTCCGGTTAATTCCAGTTTTAACTTCACTACTGCTACAGCTTCCCTGACTGTTCGCATCAATTCCACTATCTCCTTCTTCACCCTCAACATTGCCATTTGGCCCGATTCTCGCTGGGGAATCGCTTATTGCAGCCACTTCGCCAGGTGTTTTGTCTTTTATTTCTATAACAATTTAAGTTTATTAATCTTTTCTTCTTAAAATAAAGTAATTCCTGTCATATAAAATGGCTTAAACGCCTAACTGCCTGTTGGGTATTGTGAACAAAGGACCAAACCACTGAACAAAACATTTTTCAAACATTATCAATTAAAAAGCCCATGGGGATTTGTCTTAGAACTGCTAAAGTGACAAATATGATTCGGACACTCAGCCACTGAGGTCTTCAAAAATCTCTAATAATCTCCATTTTTTATGTATGGGATTCCAGGTGCCCTATCACATCTTCATAGATTTTATAAATCCTTATGATCGTCATATGCCCAAGACTGTATATTTCTTGATTTCTTCATAATAAAAAACCTGCAGGGGTACTCGACCCCTTACAGTCTTTCGCTCCTAAACTCTGATCACAACCCTGACCTTCTAAAGCTATCCTTTCAATACAAAACCATTCTTAAGAAAGCCAGATTCTGCTAAGACAAAGCCAACTAGAAATAATTTTGCAACATACTCAATAAAAAATCAATCTCCCTCCAACACCGTCAACCACAGAATCAAATTGAATCAAATCTGAACTATCAAATTTCACGCACCTACAGCCAAACAAAGTATACCACAAAGAGTGCCGACACACCCAATAGGAGAGCTTCCATTAGGAATTTAAAAAAATCATTACTATAAAAAAAGAGTACGCTGTCTGTATCAAAGGCACAGGACAAATCAACTGAAAAGGCTACTGTACAAAATGCAAAACATAGTTCAGAAGCTTGCTGACGGGTGGAAAAACTCGACAATTGCTCAAGGGAGGTGAACTTTATTATCGGGGAGTTCAACAAGAAAAAACATACTGGCATGGTTCTCAATATGGAAAAGGCTTTCGACACTGTCTGGAAGCTCAAATGATTAAAAGCAATCCTGCACTAAATAATTTGTATATACACATGTGTTGCATTTATTTATCTACTTAATTATTTATTTATTCTTAGAGTATAGATACATGTACATTTGTATACTTGGTTATCTGTCAAATTGATGACTCAGACTTGCAGATATTTTAAATTGTTCGCATAATTTAAAATTATTAACCATGAGTCAAAAGTGACAGTGGGTTTTAAATCAATTTTTCCCGGCTAATGTAGAAGCAGGCAAAACAAGAGACAAAATGATTACATTGTTAAGATTGCAAAAGGTTATAAAGGCCAGTGTTTTTCACACTTTTAACAGGAAAAAAAGTCACATTGCAATCTATATGTAAAAATTATAAATAAACAATTACTTATCTATCAAGACTGTATGAGGACCTGAAAGAAATGAATATAATATCTGAAGTCATTGGGTTGGTGAAAATGACAATGAAATGTGCAGTCAGGATCCAGGAAGATGCATCCCTTTCAGGGATATATATATATGTAAATAAAAGATTGAGGCAAGATTACTCTAGCCCTACAAAAGGGGGGGGGAGGGATCTAGACCTCAGGAACTATACACGTCAAATCCATTTAGCTTATGTCCTATACAGATGATGTAAACTTCATAGCATGTTTTCAGAATCAACGACTTTTATCTAAATTCCTTTAATAACATCTGGGAGATCAGCAGGAGATCAAAGCTGTTAATAGGAACTATTTTGGCCTTTCAAAATATATGAAAAGCATTGTGATCTCCAGGAACACAAATAGGCTCTAAACCCCTCATCTGTCTATTAGTATGCCATATGTACGCTTCTCAAATTTGGACCATCACCAAGACCATCAAAACATCTCTAAATCTTTGAAAGGAAAATTCTTTAAAGAATTTTCAGAGCCATATAAGAAGGGATGAATGATAAAGAAGTACAAATAAGGTGTACGATATATACATCAAGTCTCAAGTCGGTCTAAATACAACACAAAGTTATCAAGATTAAGCCAGGCTGGTCATGTTGTGAGGATGAAGTAGTGGGAAGCACCAGCAAAGATGGACAAATGGGCACAAGCAGAAAAGTTAGAAGGCCTAAAGGCTAATACACACCATAAACAAAATCGCACAACTCGTGTCTATAGACAAAGTTCAGCGATTGTCTATAGACAAATTAGGAACAAATCGCTTGTTCTGCAACTACCCATAGTCAAAAATCGCAAGTCTATGGTTTCCCAGCACAGATGGAAAACTGGAGACATGTTGCACAGCATCAACAACAGAGAGTGTAATGTTTGTTCTGAATCTTTTTTCTTCCTTGCATATTTTATTTCCATTCATTAATTCATAAGTAGCAAATTTTCCAAAGTGTGGTGGTTAGCTAGGTGAAATTTCTAAAACCTGAACTATCTTCTAATTTTATTTTTCCAAAAGAGTCAATCCAAATGTAGGACTGTCCGCTAAACCTTGTCCACCAACATTTACAATTAATTTTCTTTTCTTGACCAAAAATTAAAGTTGTACAAGCAGCAAAGCTACAGGCCACTATCTTGCTTGACATGTTATCATGGAAACTAGTTTAATTGAGCTATGCAGGTGTGGACGCTTGACAAAGGTTCTAGATCATTTTGGATTTGTTCCACAACAGTCTACAGACAAAATCAACTAACTGTCTGTAGATAGTCGTGCAATTTTGTCTACGAGTATGTGTACTAGCCTTAACCTAAGTGCCTTGATGGCATACGCAATGATGTGAATATTACTTTTGGAGCTTGCAACTAGAAGGCATCTACAAATATTTAGGACATAAGGAATTTCTGACATAAAATTATTAGGGGAGCCAGGACCAAAAAAGGGTTGTAGTGCTCTTAAAATTGATTACAGACATGAGAACTTGTTTTTAGGATTTTAAGTAATATGTTATGTTTTTACTTTTTCACAAAAATTAAAAAATAAAGTAAGTAAAATATTTTATACGATTTTTCTGCACTGCATAATTAAAGGTTTTAATTTACTTTCTACTATGACAAGATGATGACATACTTAAAAAATCAGTATAATGAATAAAATAAATTGAATTATAAATTTACCTTTGATAGTCCTCTTTACTTCTTCTTCTTCCTGGTAATCTTCTTCTTCCTCTTCTTCGTCTTCAACAGTGTATCTCTCATTTTTCTGATTTTCTGCTTGTAGCTTTCTTTTTTCTTCTTTCTTCTCCAGTTTCTTTTTTTTCTTTCTTTCTCTCTTTTTAGCGGCTGCGGCCTTTTTACTCTCTTCTCTCGTTTTCTCAAGATAAAGTTCTTCAAGAAGAATAGTCGCATTCTTGTTTGCCTTCGCTGCTTGTTGATCTTTTGCCGCTCTGATTATCTTTGTGCATTCCTGACATTTTTCAAGAAGTTCCTAAACAGAAATATTATTTGTAATCAATAAAATAAAATCTAGTAGACATTTTTTATGTCGGGTGAGTAGAACAATTAATTGGATGAAAAATAAACTGTAAGCAGAACCACTCAGCCGATTATATAAAATCTAGTTTTTCCATATTTTTATGGCCTTATATTTTCCATATTTGCCAGAGAATGGTACTTATGCTTGTTATTTTACATAGGGGAAGAAAAATGTGATAGAGCATTCCAGGCTCAAAATGGTGGGAATAGAACCCATGACTACTGGGATCTACAAACCAAGAGGCTAAGCTAATTTGGCTATGTAATCCCCCATACTAGTGATAACTAAAAAAATAGTACCTTATCATTTACAGTAGAGATATATCGAGTCATTTCTTGATCACTAGGAAATTGCATGACATGGTTTACCATCCACTTAACGACTTTAACATGGCCTTTCCTGAATGCAGCCATTAAGCAGGACACCTAAAATGAAATAAGTTTGTAAAAAGTTTTCAACATAAAACCTTTTTTAAAACAATACATTGCTATTATTATTACATACTTTTCTATTATCCTGGGAGTCTATATCGGCCCCTGCATTATACAGAAGTTCAACAACTGCAAGGTGGCCACCATTTGCAGCAAGCCATAAAGGAGAGTTACCCTTCTTGTTTTTTACTTCCACTTGTGCCGATCTGAAAGGAGATGTTTATAAAAGCACTTAAAATCTGTTTTACATTGATTGAATACAAACCTGTTAAGCAATAGTTCGACAAAGCGGCAATGGCCTTTATCAGCAGCGATTGTGAGTGCTGTATCCCTAGATGATGGAACAGGAGGGGCATTGACGTCAGCTCCCTTATCAAGGAGGACTCTTCCAACTTCTACATAACCGCCACTAGCAGCTTCCATCAACGGAGTCAAACCGGTCTACAGATCAAAAATTAATCAACAATAAATTCTCAATTTAAAAATACAAGTCCCATTACCTTTGCTCTGTGCTCAACATTGGCTCTGCGATCAAGGAGCAGACTTACAACCTCATGCCGACCTTGAAAACAGGCAAGGGTAAGTGCGGTATTTCGATTTGTCTCAATTTGAGCATTGATATCGGATCCCATATCCAGTAGAAGTTTTACAGCAGCTGAAAAGTAAAGAGATAATGTTACTTATTATAATAATGTTATTAATATTACAATAACTTATTACAATAATTATTAACATCTTCTTGATATATTTAATTGAAAATCTACCTGTGTGACCATTCATTGCTGCCAACATTAGAGGTGAGATTCCTAATTTACTTCCTGTTCTTGAATTGATTTCAGCTCCGTTTGTCAGTAACAGTTTGATTATGTTAACATAACCACCTGATGCTGCTAGACTTAGAGGAGTATAGTCTGATACATTTCGATGTTCTTTATTTGCTCCTTTTGAGAGAAGTAATTCAACAACCTAAGACGCATGCAGACAGCAATGTATTTATTCAAATTTTTTTTACAAATCACAATAATTTACTTCGTATCTTCCTCCTGAACAGGCCAGGGAGAGAGGAGTATCTTTTGTTCTCTCAGATTGAGCTTCCATATCGGCTGAATGGTTCATGAGTGTTTCAACAACTTTTTCATGTCCAGCAGTGGCAGCTAATATAAGGGGTGTGAACCCTTTCTTGTCTCTATGTTCTAGTGAGGAAGAAAATAAATGGTAAATAAACTGAATATACATTTAAATTGATATAAAAGATACACACCGATGTTGGCCCCTCTTGACAATAGAAGTTCGACAAGTTCTTCATGACCTCCAGCACAGGCAAGAGTTAAGGCAGTGTCATTGTTGCTGTCTGTTGCAGAATCTACGTCCATACAAAATGGAGGAGTGACAGTAGGATTGGTGGCAGGTGTTTCACATCCAGAATAACCTGCTGATTAAAAAAAAAAAATTAAGTTTACCTATGCAACAAAATATTTTTATCAAAGTAAGAACTAAATGTTTTCTGTACTACTTACTGTTTTAGATCTAGAGAAAAATAAAATTAACCTAACTTTAAACATTTGACAAATGATAGTTTTCTTATTGCCTCTAAAATAAACTTAAGTTCAGAAGATAATAAATTATATATGAAAATCAATATGAAACATGGGTGTACAAATTGAAAACTAATTTTCTAAAATATAAGATACAAAAATGTTCTAACTAACATTATTTTAGAAGTCGTAGATAATAAAAACATATAAATCTTTAATGAACTAAACACTTTGTATCACAAGTAAATTAGGCAAATAATGAAGTTTTAAACAAATAAATTATTGACAGTAGTACAACTGTAAACAAAATTAACATTGTGATCATGCATGTTTAGATGACAGTAATTACATCCTAAAACCACATATAACAAATAATGAAGTACATTTGGCCATTTGTAGTACTACAGTGAAACTTCCCTATAATGGATACAATTGGGGAATGGAATATGTCCACTTTTGTGAGTGAAAAAGTGTTTGGTTTATAAGGTGGACCACAATGGAAATAACAAGATATCAACACCTTTGAAAAATTAAGTATTTTAGTATTTCCTATGACCAGAGGGTTTTCAAATTCACAAAGCAAATGAGCAAAGTTAAAAGCTCCTTTGAAACTTTTCCTCCATGACAACACTTATTTTTAACTCCATAGTTTGATCTGGAAGTGCTTTAAATATAATGCTGTCTCTCTCATCACAATTAAAAATGTTTTCGGGTTCAAAATCAGAAAAATATTGTTTAAGTATTTCCATCAAATTTTGTACAACCTCATTGTCTACTAATCTTATATTATTATTTTGTAAATTTGTCAAGCCAACTTGAAGATATTTTAAAATCCATATGCCTTAAATGATTTGCAACATCCAAAGACTCGCCTTGAATAAGCAAACCAGCCAATGGTACGTAACAAGCATGGAAAATCATTCAAAATATCCTTGTTTTTGGCCAAACCAGACATTTTAGGAAAATATCTGTGGAAAATTTACAAGATCATAAAATTTATCTTATTTTTTGTTCAAAGGCCTGAGTCTTTCCGATGGAAAACTTCACGGCCAAGTCGTGCCACTTAGTTGTTCACTTACACTCACTTTAATTTTTTGCTCATTTAAGCGTCAAATGCAAGCAGAGAGGCACCGTCGGTATTTTTGCATCAAAATTCAAAGTGAAACTGAAGAAGACAAAAAAAGTACTTAAACATGTTTGCAATTTAATCAAAATCTAGGAATTCAAGACAAAGAAGAAAACTAAACTAACTAGAAAATTAAAAAGGGAACAAAACACATAGGGGAAACACCACTGTGTTTATCAGGAAAACATTTATTTTCAGGAGGCTGCTGTTCGCTTTTGTGAATGTTTTGGTGTCAGAATATAGTTGAAAAAGCTGTCTGCATCTTTTATGCGAGTGTCTGCTTTATAGAAAATTTAATATGAGGAAACTAATGGGAAAAGCGCTGGGGAAACAGCATTTGGAAGTTTCACTGTATTATCTTATGTTCAAACTCTAGAATAATTTACGTACTGTGGTTGTTGTCTGAATGGACTGGTGGGGCTTGAGTACTCTTCTGATGAAGGTATCGTGGCTTCTTTTTTGATGCTGCTACAGCTGTTACTGCAGCAGCTGCAGCAGCAGCCATGGTTTGGGAAGGCGCAGCTGAACTATGGGATTTCTTTCCGGGCTCTGAACTGGTCTGAGTACCAGTCTGGACTTGTTCCCTCGTGCCGTTTTCAGTCTTCGCCCCTTTGGAGGTTCCATGATAAAAGTTAATATTCATAAGAAAAATATTATGTCGCGAGATCCATAAGTGCAGATGGGCAGGAAATACAACAAGATTTCATGTACACAACTTGCAACACTTATACACAGAAATGGACACAAAATAAGAAGATTTTATCTGTGTAACTTTCAATTTCAGGAAATTTTGAATGATTTTTTTTTCTACTCGATTCATGTAAAGGAAATTATTGTTAAGCACAAAAGTAATCTATGCATGTATGTAATATATAGCATATACTATTTAAAAAATTTAAAACATTTATAATTGTTATTATAATTTTATTTTTGCTTAATCAGATTATAAAAATGGTAAATTATGAACGTACAGGACTAATAAATTATTGGGGTGGTGGGGGAATGAATACACAGAGATTGAAGAAAGAACCAACATATAGGAAAAATACTGAATTTGTTAACAAAATTTAAATTTAAAAATGTTATGTATATTTAGTTTCTGCAAAATATTGAGATGTTACTTATTTTATAAAACTATACTAAAAAATGAAAAGGAAATATTACTAACTACTACAATTATTGACTTACAAGGAGGTGGAGCCTTCAGGATGAGCTGAGGTTGGTATTGCTGTTGTTGACCAGCCACTGAAGTCGCTACAGAAGTAGGTAAGACTTGGTTAGCAGGAGCTGGTGCAGGAGTGCACACAGAGGAAGATGCATCTGTTCTTGTCCTCGTTGAAGACGATGGAGAAGTGTTTTTATCAGCAGTCAGTTGTGCTTGAAATTCCTGACAGGGTATTTGGAATGCACTAGTACTCTAAATAATAATTAAAATATATATAGGACTCAACTTTTCAAACTTCTATATAGCAGACTAAACTGTACGTTTTACCTGAGGAGCTGCAGTTCCAGTTGTAGAAGGTACTGCTGTATACAGATACTGAATAGGGGCTGACTGATCAGGATGATTATGAACTACCTGAAAATCACCATGATCTGTGGGTACAACTTGGAATGGAGGATGAGGGCTCGGTCCAATTAATTTGGATGCAGCTTCAACACCGGCCATAAATGCGTTTGCAGCAGAAGCGTTGAATCTCATTCTCTCAACCTCTTCAGGTGATACTATAAAAAAGTAAATTTAAAACACTGCAATCTCAGACCATAACAGCTTGGAATAACTTACAGCTTGAAATGTCTTCAACTGATTGAAGAACATCATCAGGAATAAATGATTGAATAAGCGCGGTCGCATCTGGATCAGGTTTTGAGAGATCCATCAATGCTTCATCAGCACGTGCCAACAATGGACACTGTCGCTTAATCATATCACAAGGCTCAGAAAGCTGAAAAAAATCATATTAACTGTCATATATTTCCACTTTTTTATTTTTTACTGATGAATTTACAATTGTTTTCATTTGCTTAAATTACTTTTCCATGATAGTGGGTTAATTAAAGTGATCTATCAGAATTAATTCTAATCAACTTAACATTTAAACAGTAAACCACCATACCAATTCCTGTTGGGTCCGAATCTGGGGATGATGCAGATGTAAAGGATAATTCATATCCATTTGCTGTTGAATCTGGGCTAGTATTTGATTTGTATAATATTGCGGTGATTTAGTAACTGCACTGCTTGTTCCTTCAACAGTTCCTGTTGTTGAAGGAATATGTTCCAGGTATGGCTGCTGTTGTAATGCCGCTTGGAATGCAACGACCGACTGTTTACGTACGTTTTTCCCCTCCTTCTTCCAAGTTGGTTTCACCTTTGGACGATCGCTAATGGCTGTCCCCTAATGTGGATTAACAATTAGTTTATTTAAATGTTTTAACAATATTTGACACTTTTTTATATAAACCAAACTAATATTGTTTTATTATAAGTTATTAACAATGTAAAATATATATTTCATTTTTTAAAGATATAAAATCATTTTTTAACCCAGAACCAAGTAAGTAACACAATAATGTTAAAATTAAATTTCAACTTTTAGGCTACACATAATTGCCCAAATCTGGTAATATTTAGTAAATAATTTTATTTGTATTTTTCACTCTTCTTTTTCCGATTGTTGACTTTTTATCTTGGGTTTTACTTCAGGAACTAGTTTAGTTCTTGAAAAGAAACACAAGAAAATTTTTGTTTATGTATAATTAACTGAAAATGTTTACCTGCACTACCTCACTGGGTGTAGTAATTGGCTGTTGAACTGATGTCGGAAGTTGGATCGGAGATTGAGATGTAACCGTGCTGTGAACCATCAATCCTTGATTGTGGTTCCCAGCATGAAACACACCAGTTGATGCACACATCATACCTTCGCAGAAAAGTTGAATCAGGTCACCTGCACCTCCTACCCAGCCAGAACCACAAGAACAACATATCTTCAGTTTCATACAGTGGAATAATTTAGAAAAGATAATTAGCAGTCCCAACAGTCTGTTATTTGACTACAAGCTCATTTGTTATTGTGGTTATAATTCTCTTGTTGGCTGGTTAGAAGGCTAAATGTTACAAGAAAAATTCACTTATGAAGTATATGAATTAAGCGCTTTCTATCACATTTTATTACGTTACATTCCAATGTAATGAGAAAAACCTCAATATTAAGCATCACATAAGTTTAATTTTAAGACTAAATTATCCTACTTATTTTAATCTGATTATAGTTGGCTGACAAACAAAAGACCATGCCCAAGTGTTAAAAAAAAATTGTAAATATTGGATTTGATGGAGAAAAGTAATAAAATACTATTATTATATATTAATCTGCATAGATATTTTATTTGTTAAATAAATATTAAACCAGCCCAATAATATTTCAATGAATGAATTAATTTCAAAAACTTAAATGATTAATGTATGATTTTTGAGACAGATTTAAAAGTAAATTTTATTCATTCCATATTTATTATAACATCAATCCATATATATTTATTGAGTAGTCATAATAGACTGTATTAATTATTTTAATTAATTGTATTTTTTATCTAAGGTCTTGGTTGAGATGAAAAAATCACACGTGGGATATTTGCTATAGCTCAAGTTGTTAGAGAAGTGATGTATTGAGCCTAACGTTGTGGGTTCGAAACCGGCTCGTCACACCAACTTTTTCACCTCGACTAAGACCTTTGACAAAACGTTAATTCAAATGTATTATAACATTTTTTTCTGAATTGGTTCAATCAATGTTTTGTTGCAAAGTAAACATTAAAAAGGCTATCTGATAATTACAAATAGTCATGTTTTCTTAGCATCAGATATATTTGTGGATATGTTTAACAATGGAATGAAACTTGAATACTTTAACATTAGTAAAATTAATTCACTTTTTCAATACCTCTAATTAAAAACATTTCATCAACCAAATTAAAAAAATAATGTTTTTTTTAGTTTAAGTTATATTTGATTTAATCCAATTAATTATTAAGCAACTCCAACCTGGTAACATTATTAACTTAATTTAACTGCCCTTGTTTTTCTCTTTTTTATGCCATATCTTTTTATACAAATGTGAGTTCATAAATATATTTTTTTGAAACCTTTATTGTACTTATTTAATGCCATTCCCAATTATAAAATTAAACAGTTTGCATTAATTTATGATTTCCATAGGTTATTGGGTGTGTGCATTGTGCATACTTTTTTTTTTTTTTTTCGACTTTCACTCTTAGGCAATCTTTTATTATGTGCTAGCCCCATTGCGCTTCAAGGTGGGAAAAGCGTTATTGAAAGAGATTGTTAAGATAGGGGTACTTGAACACAAAAGCCCTAGAATGAACTGCGATTCAGAAGAAAATAAAAATTATTTAAGATGCTATATAAACTTGATTTCAGCCATAGAGCAGCAGATGTGAAATTTATTTGCAATTTATGGTGATGATAATAACCCAGTAACTGACATAATAAACATAATAAACTGATAATAAACAGTAATGTTTGTGACATTTGGGAGATGCTTCAAAGACCACCTCATTGTATAAAGCTTAAAATCGACGACAGTGATTTTGGAGGATTAGGTTAAATTAACTGATAATTAACACAACAATAGAAAGAAGAGGGGCATCGGTGGCCGCAACGGTTTAGGTGTTGACACGGCGCTCATCACTGTAAGGTAAAGGTCCCTGGTTCGAATCCAGTGGCCCTGCATCGAACCCGACATACTTACAAATGGGCTTTTTTCAAAAACACCAGCACCCGGGGGGGGGGGATAGAAAGAAGAATCTTATCTGGGTTTCATTGTGAAACTCGATCCTTCAGGAATATCAAATAACTTGTTGCATTTCACAATCAAATAGAATTAAATCTGAAAGGTTTATTTCCTATTTGGTCACTAGGGTTAAGAAATGCATCCTTTACAAAAATTTTAAATGCTGAAGAACCATTTACAAGAATGAACTACAGCGGTCAACGTATTGCACCCTTATCCTATTGTCTATTTGATGGGATATTGAATAATAATTTATTGGGATCTTACGCAATGAAACCCTCACGGCAGAAGTATAGTGCACACAATTAATTAGAGATTAGAGAGACAGATTTAAAAGTAAATTTTACTCCCCCCCCCCAATATTTCATAATTGACCATATTAATTATTTCAATTAATTATTCTTTTTATTTAAGGTCTTGGTTGAGATGAAAAGTGTCACGAGCGGGATTTGAACCAACAATCTTCGATGCTGCTCTAACCACTAGAGCATCGTGACTTCAATCCGCTCAGACACTAACTCCTCATCTGTCTACAATCTTTCAATTTTACCTCTTTTTGCTATTTTTCAAAGGTCATGTAATCAGGATTCGAATCTCAGTGAGTTATGAAGTGGCCACGGGGAAATGTGTCCGAGTGGATCTAAGTCACGATCCCACTCGTGAAATTTTTTTATCTCAACCAAGGCCTTAAATAAAAAGAATAATTGAAATAAATTTATACATGAAAGTTTAAGTTTTCTGAAAAACGAAAAAAACTCTATATTACTCAATATATTTACAACACATCCAACAACTTTAGACTTCCTGCTGTTTTTACTGACAAAATATCTATTTATGATATTAATGTAGATAATTAGTTGATATGGATGATTTCCCCATTATCAATTTATCCCAATTTATCTATTTCCCTATTAAATGGTTGGAATTTAATTTTTTTTTAATATTTAATACATGCTTTGTCTAAAAAAAAAAAAAAAAAACCGTTTTGTAAGGGGTTTCTGCTTAGAATATCAAACTTTCTAATAACCAAAATTTTCAAAAACTAAGGAATTAAGATAAATCATCAAGCAAAATTGCGAACAATGCGAATACTCAGATCTGTTTTTACTAACCTTGGGAAATAGAATCAGGAGGTGGTCCTGGTGGTGTAGTAGGAGTTAGGAGATTATTCAAACCACTTGTAGGAGACAGAGGTCCATGTTCTTTCAATTCCTGTTCTACCCTCTAAAAAAATAAAACATTTCATCAAATATGTGTGACAATATTTTTGAAATATGTCAATAATTTACCTGAAGTTCTTCAACTATTTGTTGTCTTTGAAAAAACTGTGTTTCCAGAGAAAGAGGTGTGGGAGGTTTTACTATCATAGCTTCATCTTTAGCATGTTCAGAAGACTGGGAAGGTTGATTTCTCACCTGTTGAATTTCAGGCGATGTTAAGTTGTTTGACTCGAGAGGTGGTATGAGTCTCGCTTTACGAAATACTTTTAGGCCAGTTCCACTTATGTTTGTACTGTTATGTTTGCTACTTGCACCTGAGGTAGCATTACCCGCAGGATTAGGTAGTTGAGGTGGTGGAACTTGGTCCGTTACCCTCCCTGAAATTAATTTTGTTTTAGTGAAAATAACAATTAATAGGATCAAAGGAATAAATCATACCAGTATGAGGCTGTTGAGGTGGAGGAGGAGGTGGTGGAGGTTGCTGCTGTTGCTGCTTAACTTCCTCTTGACCGGTAACAGTTCGTACAGCATCAGGTACTTCCTGAAGACCGGGAGTTCCCTGCTGCTCTCCTCTCATCATTATAGAATGAGGATAGTCAAGAAGAAGTTGAACAACATTAGTATGACCTCCTTTAGCAGCTTCAATTAACATGGTCGAGTTATCCTAAAGCAAATATTATTGAAATTTTTCACTAATAAATAAATATTCAACTAATGATTATACCTTTAACTTATGAAATGGATTTGCAGATTGGGACAGCAGAAGATCAACTACAGCAATGTGACCACCTGCAGCAGCTAGCGAAAGTGGGGTATGGTCGTTGTTTGTCGTCTGCTTATTAACGTTTGCATTTTGAGACAAAAGGAACTTAACAGTGCAAACATGACCAGCCCGGCAGGCTTTCATTAACGGAGTTCTTCCTCCTTCACTTTCGTGCTCCAAGTCTGCTCCATATTGAAGTAACAGTTTGGCAACTTCAGTATGACCATTTTCACAAGAATAAGTTAGTGCTGTATCCCCGGTTTGTGTTTGAGCATTCACATCTGCATGTACTTCTAATAAATATCTATTGACAATGAAATTAAAATTAATTTTTATGCATCAACTATAAAATTGTTAACAAATTACTGCTCTTCAGTATATCAAAAGTATTTTCTGAGATTTTACAAACTTTTTTAATGTTGATATAAACTAGCTTAGTAGCACATAAGTTTATGTAAACAAAATCTTAATTTTTCAAAGTAAATAACTTTGGGAAACAAGTTTCAGACAGAAACTAAAACACAGTTGTGATGAGAACTAGTGTTTACATTTAGACAATAAGAGAAAGGAATATTAAAGACTTTTAAATTTAACAAGGACAAAAACTAAAGGTTTTGTAGTGCATTTTTGTAAATAAGATTCGGGCTCTAAAAAAAATATGTTATGACGATAATCAGGGGCAATTTTTTTTTTTTTTTTTCTTTGCCTTAGGACATACAGCAATCGTCCGAGTAGGGCAAATTTTTGATGTTCAACATCATAAAAAAAGCCATGTCCTTTGTGGAACCAAGTGAATAAGTTGAGCCATTCTTGAGAAAAAGGAATATTAATTCACGGATATTTTTGAAATGCACTTTCAGACAGTTTATTAATGCTAATCAGCTCTTAAAATAACTATTCGCATTAAACCTTATAACAAAATGTTTACAAGAAGGCTGTGAATAAAATGAGACCAATCATATTGTGATGTGGTAAACATTATTAAGTGAATAGCACTTACCTAACAAGCTCTAAATGGCCTTCTTGCGCTGCTTCCATTAGTGGGGTTGAAGCACCTAGTTCGATTTCAGCTCCATTTTTAATTAAAAAATTTGCTACTTCTAAAAATCCTCCACAACAGGCCAATGTTAGAGCTGTTTCTTGAGTTTCTTCAGTTTGAGCATTTATGTTCGCTCCTGAAACAATGTGCGACATTATTTTAAACAGTAGAAATCGAACATACAGTTTTGTAAAACTGTTATGTAGTCATGAAAAATTTGACCAAAAAAAAAAGGAAAATTATAACAAATAACAATTTCTATGTACCTTTTACTAATAAAATAGCAACCATATCTTCATGCCCTTCACGTGCAGCTTCCATCAATGGAGTATAACCTTCATCATTAACTTCTTCAATATTTGCTCCTCTTTCGATAAGAAGAAGAGCAAGGTCAACATGCCCTCCACAAGCTGCTAAGGTTAGAGGTGACTCAAAACTGTCTGTTGGCATATTTACCTAAAAAGGTAAAAAAAAAAAAAAATTAATAAAATAAATACATTGATTGTAAAGTTTGTTTTAAAATAATATTTTAAAAATTGGTTAAGAATGAATTTATTTGTTTGTACTAATTGTGAGGATTTTATAACCCATTGAGAAATGTGAGTGTAATATTTTACCCTTGCTTCCCCGAGTGAGTACTGAGAGCATGCTCACCTTCAAAGAAGCAATACGGTAAATAAGAGCATTATATTTTCTAAATTTCATACTCTAACTAGTGCTAAAATAAATAAGTTAAACTGCACACTGCTTCTATGAATTTGAATTGAAAAGTGAAGAGAGTAGAGCAAGCTCTCAGTACCTGTGTTCAGGTTATCATCACATTCTGAGTACCTCACTTGGGGAACGAAGACCATTCTGAACGGGTTAACATATGAGTGACATGACTTACTTGAGCTCCAGAATCTAGTAGTAGCCTAGCTACTTCAACATGACCATCCATTGAGGCTTCCATGAGAGCGGTGTGCATCTCATCTGTTTTATGCTCCTAAAAACAATATGAACATTACACTTAAGTCGCTTTTACAGAATGTCAAGAAACAGCAAAGAAACCCTTTATTGTTTTCAAATGCAGTTTAAAAATTAAAATCAATTACATCACCCTATCAATAATACATCAGAAAAACCTTAGATAAGACCAGGGGAGAATTTTGAGATTAGACAAATAGGATATTCACCAATTTTCTTATCAAAATAATAACTAACTAAAAACATTGACAAATTGTGAAATGAACTTCAAATAGATATTGTGTAAAGCAAACAATCATCCCATTATTTATATTTTAAAAAATCCTACTATCTTTCACCAAAGGAATGCCTTTAAGATAATCTCTAAACAGTATTGAATTAAAATTTTCACACTGCTACTATGTCGTAATATCATGACGCTTTTTGTTATGATTATTACTTTTTATACCTAATATTAATAATTAATTTACAGTTCTGTCTGGCTTGCTTATTAAAAGAAATTACCATTTCTAGTTAATGAAAGATGAAATTAACAAACCTGATCAGCTCCAGCTTCAAGAAGAAACCGGACCATATCAAGATGGCCTTTGTAGCATGCAAGGGTAAGAGCTGATTCTTTAAACTCATTGGAATGGGTGTTAATTCCAGCCCCTCGTTCTAATAGGATCTGCAATTCATTGTGTACATAGGTTTATGAAAAGTTTTGTTTCAAAGACAATATTTGTGTATTGAAAAATATTTTAACCTCTGCTACTTGGACATGGCCAGCACTGGCCGCTTCCATCAAGGGAGTGTGTCCGTTTTCGTTATGGTCTTCTACATTGGCTCCGGCATCCAACAGAACTCTTACAGCATCAAGATGACCACCAGCACATGCATACATTAAAGGTGTATTTCCTACAATTTATTTAATAACGATATAATAAAATTCTAATGTGATTTGTGAAACATTAAATAAAATGATTACCTGAAGAAGATTGGGCATTAACATCAGCACCATGATGTATCAATAATCTAACGATATCAACATAACCAGATGATGCTGCTTCCATTAAAGGTGTACAATCTCCTTTAATGCCCCTATCCTCCACGTTAGCATGCATTGCTAATAGAACCTATAACAACCAAACATTTTTTTAGAAGGGAAAATGTAATTCGACAAAATTTATCCTATTAACAATTTCAAATTTAGTAAATTTACCTGAGCTAATTCATAATAGCCTGCCGAACAAGCCAAGGACAGAAGACTTTCTCCTTCATCAGTTGTTTCATGGACACTTCTACCTTCTGTTAGGAGTTTTCTGACAGTGCCAACATCTCCATCAGTGCAAGCTTCAACCAGTGTTCTGAAATATTACGTAATTGCATAGTTCATTAATTAATTAAACTAACAAACACAAAACCAATAACACACCTTTCTGGTTGTGGTCTTGGGTTTTCTGTTCTCATTCTGGTAAGTGCAGCAGCTGCTTCATCAAGGGCACAAGAGACACTTGATGTTAACCTCCGAAGGACCTCAGGGTCAGCCAGTTGTTTTCCATCCCCTGATGCCAGTTTCCCTATACCTAAAGGTAGTAAGTTTCATATAACATTTAAAGGCGAGTGCAAATTAAATATATTAAATGTATTGAATTTATTTAATTTCAAATGTTTAAATGTAGTGAGTACATTATGATAGAAATTTTCTTTCTTTTTCAGCAATTAACGAAACAAAAAATTATCTAGCATTTAATGGTTCGCCTTCTGTATGGTTATTAATTCATACTATATCATTTCTAAAAGTATTATACAAAGACCTGCTGCTTCCAAAAGCGCTTCAAGTCTTGCTTGCGTTTCAGGATCCACAGAGTGTTCGGGATCTTCCTGCGCAAGAAGGAATTTGGATGGCTGTAATCTTGCATCTGAATCGTCCAAATCTGCAACTTGGTCGATCACAAAAGATTCCACCTGAAAATAGCCCAATAATGAAATAGAAATATGTTACTGGTAGAAAATTGAACACAACCGACCAGACATCTTCAACTAGTTAAATGTATGAGAAAAATTGTATTCTTTGGCAATTGGTACCCAATTTAATGTTAAGCATTTTTTTAATGAAAATACACATGGCGTAAGAAAAGTCTATAAACCATGAGCTAAATGAAATTATATAAGTTTACGGATTTCCCATCATTTTGATGACAGCCTATCCTTGCTGTTTTGGAGTGTCACACACATTTCAACTTCTAATAATTTTCATTGGTGAGTTTGACAGAACAAACAAGCAAAAAGATTGAACGGAAAACAGCAAGAAAAAGAATGTGTGAGTGTCATATGGGAGACTCTAGGCAGAGGAAAAATAATGAGAAAAAATAGAGAGGAAGTGGAGAAGAAAGAGTGAGAGACAGAATGTATTTCTTCTGTTTCGAAGAAAACACTTGTCCTACCGACTCATTAATGTCAAGAAACTTACATGATTAAATTGGTAAACACAATTTATTATAATAATGAGAGTTGTGTAAATAAGAAAGAATATACAGGAAAGAAAAACAAGGAAAGAATAGGTGATTGAGTGAGAGAGAAACTAAGATATGAGATAGATAGTGAGGGGAGAATCAGATATAGGACAGGGAAAAAAAAAGGAGAGACAGTCATATGAGAGAGAAAGAATGAATAAACAGAAGTTGATATAGATTGGAGAGAAAGAGAAAGAAACAAAAAGACGATATAGATAAAGAGGGAAGAAACAGGATAGATGGAAAGAGGAAACATAGAAAGGGAAAAGAAAGAGAAGATAGAGAAAAGAAAGAGGAAAGGGGCTCAGAGAATATGAATAGATAGAGAGTGGAGGAACAGGAGAGATAGAGAGAGGGAAAGAGGGGGAAGATAAAGGATAGAAAGAAGAAAAAGGAGAGAAAAACAAAGAGATGTGATAGATAGAGAGGGAAGAAACAAGGGAGATAACGAGAGGGGAGAAAGAAAGAAAGAGAAGTGAGAAAGAGAGAGAGAGAGAGAGAGAGAGAGAGAGAGAGAGAGAGAGTTAGNGAGGAGGGGGAGAGAGAAGAAAGAGAGAGAGGGGAGAGAGAGGAGGTACAGGAAAGAGAAGAAAGAAGAGAGACGCAGAAAACGAGATAGAGTGGAGAAAGAGGTATGAGATAGAAAGAGTGAATAAACAGTAGAAGTAGAGAGAGGAAACATAGAAAGGGAAAGAAAGACACTCAGAGAATGTGATAGATCAGAGTGGAGAAAGAGAAGAAAGATAGTGAGCGGGCAAGTGAGAAAGAAAGAAAGAAAGAGAGAGAGAGAGAGAAAAAAGAGAGAGAGAAAAGAGAGAAGAGAAGAGAGAGAGAGAGAGAGAGAGAGAGAGAGAGAGAGAGAGAGAGAGAGAGAGAGAGAGAGTGGCTGACTGAATGAAAGAGAGGAAGAGGAGAGTATGAGAGAATAAATGAAATTTAAGAAATGTGAAAGATAAAAACAAGGATAAAGGATAGAGAGGTTGTGAAGAGGAGGGAGGATAAAATGGGAGAAGAGTGAGAGCCTGAATGAAAAAGAAGAAGAGATAAGATAGAGAGAGGGTGTGAGGGGGAGAGATGGAAAGATAAAAAGAAAGAGAGAGGAGGAGAGATGGAGAGAGTGAGTGTGAGAGAGAGAGAGATATTGAGGGTGTGACTGGGAGAGATGGAGATGGAAAAGGAGGGAGGGAGGGAGAGAGTGTGAAAATAATTTATTTATAGTTGCAGTGATTTGGTTAACTTTAGCCAAAGTAAGAGAGAAAAAAAAAGAGTGGAAGAAAAGGTAGATCTGAAGAGAATAAACTGTGTGTATGAGTAGTGGGAGTGAAAAAAATGAGACAGAGGAAGTAATAAAAATAAGTAAATAAACAAAACGACAATGTTATCAATGTTGATGAATTGTAGACAAGCCCTTTGATCCTATTTCACAATTTATGTCAAATATTAAAACCAATAATGATTTGCCTACCTCACAGTCGGTTTTTGCAATATTACATTCTTTAAAAACAAATGTTCAATATTCAGTAGGTGTAAATCCCTGTCATTTTTTACTCCACAGACATTTGTTTTAATAATTAGAATTTTTAAAAATATTCAATTCATTATTATTTTGGTGAAAAATGTTCCTGGTGGAATTTATTGTTTCCCTACAGATTCAATTGCAAAAGTGGTGTGGGAAAGTAAAAAACATAATTGATATTTTGTTAAATGTATAGTAGTATGTAAGGTAGCACTACCTTGCTTGTTTTGTAATAATCTTTTATTGATAAATACAGTTTTTTTTTTACCAAAGTGCGCATTTATTTAATTATGAGGAAGCCCCTTAAAGCATAACAAAAAATGCTTTCTTGCATAAGTATTTTAAAATTTTAAAAAATTGAATTAAATTACTATAAATTTGTATTTTAAAAAAATGTATTTTTTAGTATAATATAGTTGTAACTTATTTTACAAAAAAAAAAAAAAAAAAAGAATTTAGTTTTACAATATTTAAAATGGAAATGACTGAATGTTTTTAATTTTTTTTTTTTTTTTTTGTGACATTCAATTTTATTATGCGGCCGACGTTGACGATTTGACTATTCTTTACCAGGTTTAAGCAGTAAAAATGCTTGCGAGTCAGAAAGCCCAAGTTCGAAGCTCTGGAATAAAAGTGCTAACCAAAAAAAAAGTGGACAGTTCCTCCCTCACAACGCCGGACAAAAGAGGCGAAACGCACAGAGGCCAAAGGACGAAACGACCAACAGAAGAAACGTCCATTCCCGTTTCTCATCCTCTTCAAATAATCGTCCAAAGTGCAAATGAGAAAATCCGTAATCCATTTTCCCCGTCGGAAAGTGTTAAAAATCTAAAATCCGATGAAAAGACGTTCCGAGCTTACGTTATTAGGTCAACCGAAATAGTACAATTTCAGACGGGTCTCGAGAATTAATCAATATTCCGTATTGGTGTATAAAGCCTGTCTAAATGAAATAAACCTCATTCAATGGAAAAATGATAAATAACAAGTTTCAATTGAGCCCGTGACTAAGTAACAAGATGTCTGGTCGAGCAGGGTTCATTTGGGCCTGTGCTCGGCGAGGAGCTCGCGACCCGACCAAAAAGCTTTGCCCCCTCGCTCTCATTGAGTACCTACCTCGGAAACGTCCTCTTCCTCGCTTTCCGACGAATCCGATAAAAACCTTGGATTGAGTTCCGAGAACGGGTCCGAATCCGATTTTGTCGGACTAGAATTCGAAGATTGGGGAGTAGACGATTTCCCTATTTCGTGTGAACTTACTTTATCAAGTTTTTGACTTTCCGCACCCGACTCTTGTCCAACATTCTGCATTTTCACTTTTCATTAACTTCAAACGCAAGCTGAGGAAACGAAATTGTTCAACAAATACACTTTCGGCACTATAAAATAATAATATCACGCAATAATCGTCATTCACCCAAATTAACACTCGCCATGTCTCCTGCTATACATCCATACCCCCACCCCAGGAGTTCATAGATGCTTCCGCTTCAGCCGATCGTGCTTCTATCTGTCATCGTTATTTCGAACTCAAAATCGAGAGCCAAATTCAAAAAGTCAGTGATTGGAATAAATCTTCAACAACAATGGAAATATTATCATCACGTGTTCCTTCATGCAATAAAAAAAATTTTTCTTGTGTACAAATGAGAAAAAAAAGTGAACAACTTATCTGATCAAAATCTATATCTGCAAACGCAGCTCTAAAATATCGGTAAATTTCTGGTCAAAGGGTACATTTTGTATTGTATATTTTTATTTAAACCAATTTTTTAAACAACTACACTTAGCTATGCTCAATTTGCAATAAGTAAATATTATGAATAACCAATAGGCTTGATACACTTATGACAGTTGCCCAATGGCATACCACACAGATTTAGTTAAGAATTTTGCTGGAAGACTGTCATGTCAACCTATTGTATTGACCTGAAGACTTTGGTGCTGATGATCAAAATCAGAACCTGTAAGCACAGCTTAAAATGTACGAAAATTGAACTTAAAACATTTTGAACTTAGTACTTAGTAATACTTAGTTTTTGCTCAATGTCTCCAATTGTGCTGGAACTACTGTCACACACACACAAACACGCACATATATATATATATATATATATATATATAATTAACCTAAATACTTTATTAAAAAATGTACTGTTGAGCTGAGAGGTATTTAAGGTACCATTTGAGGTATAAATGTCATGCTGATGACCCATTAGGTAAGGATAGTTGAACTGAATAGCATTGCAAAATGAATAGTAGAGCTGAAGATTTTTGAATAATGAGGAAAATTGAGCTAAGGACTTCTAGGTTGGAGGACAGTTGTGCTGAACAGGCAGATGTCATGTGAGGACAGAAAAGCAATTGTCCTTTGGAGAGTAAACCTTTCTTTTTACATCCAAAGTTGAATGTGAAAATGTCGAATTAATAACAAAAGATTGAAATTTTTTAGAAATATTATTGCTTATTGATAATTTTGGCTACTACAGGGCCCCCCTCAGGGCTTATAAGAGCTAAAATTATACTCCTCTAAACTTTAGACTTATGAGGGCGATTGGGCTAATGGCTTTGGAGTTACAGTGTGTTGAAAGAACACATATAGATGTATTGTAGTAACGATAATTCAGCTGAAAGGCTGTTGAGCTATGGACAGTAATTGAGCCCAGTAGAGCTGCGTCATTCAAGTTGCTAGGATATTTGTGCTGAAAGGTTCATAGTACAATAGACTGCTGTAGTGAAAGGACCATAGACTGATCATATGAAGTACATCATATTTCTTGTATGCATTATAATTGTTTAATTCCTGTGGAGATACATAATAAAAACATAAGAGAAAGGAACAAATCAAGAAATAAATAACAAAGGAACAATTGCGACATAAACATAATAGAAAAACTTGTTATCTAGGAATTATACACAATATGTTTTGAATAGATAATATTCCTCCTATCAATGAAGCAATTAAACCAAAAAAACCACAAGTATCTAAATCTAAAAATATTATGTTATACATATAATAACAATAGCCTAATAAAAAACCTGAAGTGCAAATAAATGGAAAAATGGCGCATTAATTTAATGGTCCTGGGGCGAGTAATTCCAACAAACCTGATAGATACAGATCATGAAATAGCACCGAAACATGACATTACTTATGATAATAGAGGGTATGTAATTTAAAAAAAAGATTGGAAAAACTAAAAATTCTTCTTAGGCCTGGTGTGTGTGAGTGCAAGCATAGGAACACACACAAATTGACTTTTTACTTAAACATTTTGAACCATGTTTAAGAATAAATAAACACATTAATCAAGTTGTAAATACTGTTCTTACCTTAAAATATTAACAAAAAATATATTTTCAAAAATAAAAATAGTACAAAAAAGTTGAAAAAGCTTGAATAGAAAAATCACCCAAAACCAAAAAAAGGATTATTTTATTATATTTCACATCATTTACTTGAAAGATGCTATCATTTCTTCTGAAGAACATTCTAGTTTAGTGCAAAGGTTTCACGTTATCATTTTTCAGTTGTTTCAAAATAAAATAAAATTTTATTATTTTACACCTGAACTTGTGACATTTAATGACCTTGTGGTACCCTGAAAACAAAGTTTACAATAAGCTGTTGCTCCTCTGATACTGATCCATGCAATATTTTATTTTTCAAAATGAATGGGCAATTTTTTTTTCAAGCAAATTCTCAAAACGACTGTTGTCCACGCTTAAATCATTTTTGTCCGTAAGTCCTTTGCTGTAAAGTTTACACCTTCTCGACAAGGCAGTAATTCTTCCAAAAAATAATTCCTCGACCCATTTCTTTTCTAAAGCCAACGACAAAATAAGAATAAAGATGGTGGTTCTTTTCTTCTATGAAGCATGACAAGGGAAGACATGAATGTCCAATAACCTTGGCGATACTGAAGTTTGATACTGATCCTGTGTGAGACTGTGTGCAAGGTAGATGTGACCCTGGTTGGGGTAGTCCTTCAAGTTGGATTGTGTATGGGTTGTTTTAATAGCAACCAAGGGTTAAAAAAAAGAAACATTCCTTTATCCAAAGTGAAAGTGAATCATCATTTTCCCCACCCTCTCGAAAGGTCAAAAGTAAAAGAGGCATTCAAGGAATGTAATTTCAAGGTGTGTGTAGTATATGATTTATCCTCCTTTAATAAAGCAAGAGAGGATCTTTAGGAATAACATAATTTCTTTTGTAAACATAGAACTTTACATATTTTACAAAAGTTAAGTGATTAGGTATATTCGTACATTTTTTCTTAATAGTTTTGATAGATGTTCTTCTTGTTGCTAACACTGAAATCATTATTTGAATGTCTTAAGGATATTTGGTACAAATTATTGAAGACAGGTTTAACCATTTATTGTTTTTAATTTTCCACCGCTCTTGGTTTGTTTTAAACAAACAGTTCCACATTTAATTCAAGTGCTGAGCATGGAAATTTAAGTTCAAATCCTTTTATCACTTCTGGGTGTAGAACGCCTAATATTCCAATAGGTTTTCCATTCAGTAAGACTTGTGCACATCTTTTTGGAAAAAAGGTTTCATCTGAAAACAAAACAAAAACACAATTATTTTACCTAACTATAAATAGATTTTGTTAAAAATAATTAGGCTTAAAACAATAGTACAATAAAGTAAACCTTTTGCTGTTAATGTACATACGTATGCTACAATAGCAAATTATAGAATGTGATTTAAAAGTAAAAGCTGAAATAATCATTTTCAAGAGAAAAATAAAATTACCATCAATCCCATTTAAATAATACCCTCCTTCTTTTGACCATGGAATCTCCAATAGTTGCATAATTCGATCTAGCAACCCATGCAGTATTTCAAATCCAGCTTTCTTATCGTAATACACAGCACATAAGTGGCGAGTATTCTTTGAACACTGTTCTGAAATTTAATGGTTAAAAATATTATAAAATATTTTTAATTTATTATTAAAATACTTTAGTCAAATTTTCTATAGTTATATTTTTATTTTTAAATATGAAAATTTTCCAATTCTATCCTTTACAATAAAATAGTGTAAATATTTGTAAGTTTTTCTTTTTATTCTGAGGGTATTCTCCTTTATCATCATATAAATTTTTAAAGTATTGACACATAAACACATAGAAATGCAATTATTAAAAGGTTTCAAACATTTATATGAATAAATTAAACTTTTGAACTGCTGTTATTAATTATTATCATTTTTACCTGCATCCTTGTGGAAGACAACCACATCAGAAATCTCAAATATTTTTAACGGGACAGGTGCATTTTTATTGGACGCAATCGATTTAAGTAGACCTGGAATTAGTGTAGTTCGGACAACTTGGAATTCTAGAGTTTTTGGATTACTAATCTGAACTACACTATCCTTGTCGAAAACTTTCCTCAGTTTGGTACTAATATCATCTCTTGAGCACTAAAATAAAAAATATAACTATTGTTGTTTATCAGTATGTAACTCAGAAGTTTTACATTATTAAATATAAAGTATGCAAGTATTGTTTTCTTATTTACTATGCTTAAGGCACGATTTTGCTAATTGAAACAGTTTTTGTTTACACATTTCAAATAACTGATCCAATTTTGCTTTGCAAACTATTGAAGGTTCTTTCTTATACATGGTTCTACCTTAATTTTATTCTTCAAATGAATAATGTACGTTTGGAAATTTTTATATCTTTTAGGAAAGAACTCGATTTCTCACACATTTTTATTTTTATCACATCACGTCATGTTATCATTATTTTTTTTTTCCTTGCTATTTCAGTATTGGTTACAAGGAGGAGTGTCAAGAGACTATCAACCACTGAATTACCCTCTATGCCTGAATGGCCCTGAACCCAAAGAAAACGGATGTCAATGTTTTTCGTTTGTTTAACTTCCCATACCTTTTGGGCTACCCATATTACTAAATGATTTATATCAGATTTTAAGTTAAGGTTCCCTAAGCTTTGTAACACACTCATTGAATCTGACAAAATTAGTATGGTCTCACCATTGACTTCATTAGCGCCTTCATATTCTACTGCTATAAAAATTGCAAAAAGTTCAGCTGAATATATACTAAACCCTGGAGGAACCTTATCATAGCGTTTTTGTTTTTCTGTGGGTCAAACCAGGCACATCCCACACCGTCTCTGGTCTTTGAACCATCAGTAAAAATGAAATAGCGGTTTGAAGTATGTTATCATTATGCCATGGGGTTTACTTTTGTGCCAAAGTTAATCAGAGTCAAAAGGCATATATCTTAATTTTTCTTTTTGTTTATCCAGTTTTTCTTTTCTTTTAATTGCTTTCGAACCAACTCTTGGCCCATCCTGTCTTCTGTTCATGTGAGATATTTTAACAATATGAGTGGTGGTTCGAAAGCTATCAAAACAAAATAAAAACTTTCCCTCTCTCTCTATCATTTCTTTGTTTCTCTTTCATCTTTTGTCTTCTTTCTTTCTTTATCTCTTCTCTCTCTCTCTCTCTCTCTCTCTCTCTCTTTTCTCCATCCCTGTCTCTATTTTTCTCTAAAACTATTTCATCTCCTTGTTTCTATAATTTCTTCTCTATTTCTCTCTGGAGGAGAAGATATACTCTCTCCCTCCCTCCCTTTCTTTCTTTCTTTTTCTCCCTCACAGTATGACTTTTGACTGTTCATAAATTTTACGTATTTTTTTTAATTTACAAGTTTTTAAAATTTATTATGAACTACTCAGAAATCTTTTAAATATGGAATTTTTAATTTTTTTAAATATATAAAAAATCATACCAGTGTAAATGATAAAATCTCTGAAAATCCAACTTGAGCAATTTGTTGTCTCAAATGATCTGTTAATTTGTTCAAAGGTTGCTGTAAAAATAATTATAATATTAAAAACAATATTTTCCATATTATTAACAATATTTTTAGCCTACTTGTTGTGCAACTGAATTTGTATTGGGGAAAGTCTTTAAAATGTTATTATATCCAAAAGCGATAGCAGCATCTTCATAAATGTCGACAACGTGCAGTATGTCATGCCTCGTTGGAGGGATTTTGACGATGATATCAGAACCGCCTGTCGTTTTTGCCTGAAGGCACATCCTAGTTAGCAATGATGCTAGCTCACCTGCTTCAATTCTACAAAGATATCAAAAAAACTTTAATTAATACAAAGAAGTATAAATACATTTTACATGAAACATACTTAGTTCCAATGTATTTATTGAGCTTCTTCGAATTGACCACTTCCTTCCTATAAGCAAGTTCTGGGGTTCTGTGCTTTGAGCCATCAGCCCATACAACTTCACAAGTTTCTGATGTAAATGTATTTTTGCAATAGTAAGAAAAACTAGTTACCAATGTGTCCAGGGCAACATGAGCCTTTATTAACATAAAATAAATATCATTAACTGTTAAATGTTGGCGTATGTCAAACAAATTTAATACCTTGTTGAGATCTGTAGCTGTAATTTCAATAAAAACATTTTTTGTATTTAAAGTGATCTTTGAGTGTTCACTATTAATAATTGGCGGCAAAGAAAGAATTACTCCATTCTTGTCTTTTATCACAGGATAAACTGGGCTGTGTTTAATAATACCAACGTACTGTTTCAGTTGCTGGTGGGTCTATAAAAATAAAACCAAATTAAATCTACAAGTTATAATTTGCCAACAAATTTTAATTCTTACTGAATAAAATTCCATGAGCTCTTTGGCCGTATATTCCCTTTTTTGGTTAAGTGGGACAAATTTGATTTCTTCTGGAGGAAGGGCTTCATATGTAAAAGGTCCTGTCACTGTATCTAAATCGTGAGTCCCAATAGAGACTAAAGTTCTTTTCCTTCCGACATTTTGATGCAGTTTATCTTGCAAATCAATGAAACTAGCATAGCTTTCAGGTGTGAAAGTAATATCCCTTAAAACTGCTGCGACAACAAATGGCCGGATTTGTTTTGTCTGAAAAATTTAAAAATGAAGTACACATTATGGAAAAATTCAATAGTTGAAACTATATTACAAGAATAAGTAATTCAATATACGCGTTGAAATGATCAACCAAATTAGCATTCATGTTTTTTCTGATAAGAGTGCAAATCTAGATACTAATTTGTCTGTATGTAAACTCAAATCCTAAATAAAAGGAAATGAATTGAAAACATTGGGTAAAATTGGTAACAATTATGCAATTAAAGATTAATTAAATTTGTAACAAATTGTTATACCTACTTCAGGTTTAACATGCAATCGTTGAACTTTCTTGGGATCTGAAGGAAGGATGGATTTATAATGAGGATAATCCATTCTAGAACAGTACAAATACAGAAAAAAATATTTACTATTTTATTAAACGTGTACTAAATAAAATTGTATAATGTAAATTTAAACAAAAATAACAATTTTTTACTATCTTTATCTACTACAACTAGATATATGTAAAATAGAAATTTGAACCTGTTTTGAAAAACGAGCAACGCAATGGAAAGCCCCTCAAGACACAGTAAGTCATATCGATTCGCTGGGATATCAATACGATAAATCACATCATCTGATGCTTCTTTTGCAGCGTTTTCTCCTTGTTCTTTCAATAACATTTTCTTTTCACTGGTCTATAACAATTAAGACCGAGTGATAAATATAAGGATAAACAAAAGTGAATAAACTTACTTACAATATCGTCCAATTCAAGGCCATATTCAAAGCATAAATATGCAAAATTTTCATCGGCTGTAACAGAAACAACGTACTAGATGAGAAACCACCAGAAGTGTATTTAATGTAAATTCATAATTGCAAATCTGACATCTTCAGTGGTGGATACTAAAACGGACAGGAGGATAGGTTGACTAAAATGTTAGGAAACAACCGAACTACAAGTTCAGCCTGTTCAGAACTGCAAATAAAATCTTGCCACCTATAGCTTTGATGGTACGAATCATCCTGGTCTGCCTATCTTTGCTATTTTAGTCTATAATACAAGAATTCACAAACTGCAGTTTTTAGTACTGTTGCAACTGAAGGTGGAGAAATGCCATAATGCATCACAGACAGACCAGGATGTACAGAACGACTGAAACGCAGGTTCATAACCCTGTCTCGCAGACCTCTAGATAAAATATCAAAATTTAATTTTACTTGTATGTAGTTTAGTATTCTATCTGACGGCTCCTCAAATTCTGGAACAATTTCCCAGGAAATTTATAATATTTATTATCTACCTATTTAATTCCGTCCTCCCACACATCGTCACATCATGCAACTTCCTACAGGCCCATCAGTGTGTTAGCGATTCTAGGGGAAGTTCTAGAATGGCTTATGTTAAAATGAATCCTCCCAATGCAGTGCCCAAAATGCATCTGAGGCAAACCAGAATGAACAAAGATGACCAAACTGCAAGTTATAGTCTGTAAGACAATTTGTCAACTTCAGTTTTTAGCTTTGCTGCAACTGGAGACGGAAAAATGCCAAAATGCATCTGAAGCAGAACAAGATGAATGGAAACACCAACGTGCAGGTTCATCACCCTGCACCCATATACCTATACCTATATTTAAAATATCACATTTAATTTTACTTCTAGTTTGTATATTTCCAATCATCTTGGTTTTACTATCCAAGCGGTTAGTTTGTCAGACAAGAAGTTGTCAACTTCACTTTTTAGTTTTCTGCAAATAAAGATGGAGAAATTCCAAAATGCATCTGAGGAAGACCAAGTTGAATGGAAACGACCAAAGTGCAGGTTCAGCACCCTGCACCCGAATACTTATAGATAAAATCTCACTTAATTTTACTTCTAGTTTGTATGTTTCCAATCATTTTGGTTTTACTATCCAAGCGGTTAGTCAGACAAGAAGTCGTCAACTCCAGTTTTTAGGTTTACTGCAAATGAAGTGGAGAAATTCCAAAATGCATCTGAGGCCAAGATGAACGGAAATGACAAACTGCAGGTTTATCACCCTGCACCCTACCTACAAATAAAGTCTCACACTTAATTTTACTTCAAGTTTGGATGTTTTCAATCATCCTTGTCTGACTAAACTTGCTATTTTAGACTGAGAGACAAGAATTTGCCAATTCAGTATTAGCTCTACTACAACTGAAGGTGGTGAAATGCCAAAATGAGGCAGAATAGGATGAAATGAAATGACCAAACTCAGTACATCCTCCCACTTATTAATAAAATGTCTGACAATTAGGTTCATTCTCCTGTGCTAATCTGAAATGTATCAGAAGTCAATGGAATTTTGTCTTTGAAAATATAGTAAATATACTAGCTTGGAAAACGTAACGTTAAAATCCAATTAAACAATGAATACTTTAAGTATATTGATTCATCAAATCAATAACATAATATATCTTTAAGGAAATGAAAAGGGAAAGGATATAGACTTTTGAAACTGAGATGATACCATATTAACTTACTGTATTCGGAGCTTAAAGCCTTTAAAAGCAAATCCTTTTTGAGGGAAATAGTCGGCATGGCTAAAGTGCTATCCAATAACTCCTGTTTACCGTAAAATAGTTTCAATCAGGGTTAAATGAAAAAGAAATATGGATTTTTCACAAGACAACAAAATTAGACACATGTAAGCTTAAATAGGAACAATAACCTGGAGGATAACCGTGACGTTGGAGGTCTATGTGGTCTTAACCCTCCAACGCCATAGCGTAGAGAACATAGAAAGTATTTCATTATTTTTTTCAATTTTCTGTCTTTGGTACTCTAATGGTACAGTAAATGTATACTTTTGATTTCAATTATATTATATTCAAAAACGTACAGACCTGTCACCTCCAGGTGACACTGGGCATTGCAGGAACTCAAGAACAAAATATAAGACAAAAATTCAATTTATTTTAATATTTATAATAATTCTGTTGAACTAACATAGTCATTAAAAAAATAATAAGAATATAGCTACTTTATACAAGATTTAGAAGAAATAACTCCTTCAAATATATAGATTTTAGGCACTCATTGTGCAAACACATTGCTAAAAGTATGCTAAGGAAAAAATTAGAAATCCAAAAATAACAAATGTACCTAAGACAAAGAAAAATATAATAAAATAGGTCACAATTGATGTTGAAAGCATTGTCATAAAAGCCACACACACATCTATAGGTGACTCTGGGAGTTGGAGAGTTAATTGTATGACACCGAGGTAAGCAGTGATGTCGAAGAATGGCAAACTAGCCTCTTCTCACAAATTTGTTTCAACAAATAATAAATATATCACTTATAATAAAGAAAAGGAATAAATTAAAAATGTATAAATACATTTTCAAAAAATGGATGAATGTTAAGAAAAACAATTTTTTTATTAAATTAATTTAATCATTAAACATTAATAAATATTTAAGAATTTTATATTATAAATTTACATTAATTTAACACACAACAGTGAATTTTAATACAAAATATTTAAGTTTAAAAATGTACATTTTATTTTTTTAAAGTACATCAATATATATTTACAAATTTATTTATCCCAAGTTTATTCACAGGATAAAAATCATCACAAATAATTAGCGAAGATTCCAGTTTGACATTTTTCTTTGTACAATAGGGAACATAATACTCAACATAATTAAAACTGGGAGGAACATAGGAGGGGAAAGACTACCAGTATCACTGAGGAGGCATCATCACTTGATGCGGCTGACCGATGGTGACACCTCCGTACTGTCCGGGAATGGGTGAGTGAAGCATCGATGCTGGTGATTGCATAGCACCGCCCTGCCCCATCATAACGCCAACTGGTGATGATGCAACAACCTACAAAAAATATACATATAAATAAGATAATAAAGGAATATTTAGGAAGGACTGTAATAACGTAGATCAAGAATAAAAATAATAGTGCGATGGGATGAAATGACTATCTTAGAGTCTAATTTGCTAAATTAAATAAATGTCAAGTGTAAACAAATAAAAATAAAGTAAATTGATTGTTCGTACTTGTTGAGGTGGTTCAGACGGTAATGTTAGGTTTGCAAGAAGATCTCTCACTGCTGGAAAAAGTGAGCATTCTGCATGAATGTTTGTGCACTCTAAGAATCTACGTAATAGCATTGATGCAGATGAAATCGCAGAAGCAGGACCAGTGTCTCTCTTTTCAGCGGGTTGGATCAAATTTGTTGATACATCATACACCAATGGTAGTACTATGCTGCACTGATCCACTTGGCTGTAACTTCCATTACGCGTCAATTGCAACTAAAAAAATAAATAAAATAAATACATGTAACATTTCTAAACACAAAGCTAAATATTTAAGCGATCCCTTACAAAGAATAGTATTTTTTGTTTGCAGACTAATATTGCGGCCATTCCTGTTGGAACAATTGGAGTTGCTGCTGGAGGTATTCGGAGACACCACTGTACGGACCACTTGAGTTGCTGTTGTTGTATGATACTTGGATACTAAAAAATATTGAATTAAATAATAATAAATTAAATATACAGACATCATTATGCGGATTATATAAACTATTTGGAATATCAAAATAATTGAATAAAATGTGCTATTATAAACATACCATTTCAAGTTTAATAATCTGTATAAAATCCTTGAGTACATTTTGAGGCACACTCAACATCCTACCAAATCCAGAGAGAGCGTTTGGTTTGTAAGGCGGAGCAGCAGCTTTCGTTTCAAAAAATGTTTCCAAGATCTTTAAAAAGAAATGTGTAGTTAGAACAGGGATGAAATTTATATATGAATCAAGAATAAATACCTGAAGTTCTTCTAGCGACCATAGATCTTTGTGTTCTGGCAATGGTGAAATTTTTACATGCAATGATTCTAGATGCTGTGGATTTAGAAAAACTTTGCATTGAAGGGTTTCAGCTTTAAAATGAACGACTCCTGGTTCAGTTGTTAACGGGATCAACTTAAAGGAAAAAAAACGTTGTTAACAAATTCACGATCCGGTAATTTATCAGTATCATAATACTTACACCATCCTCACTCTGAATGTAGCGCTGAAGTTGACGTCTCATGTATACACAACCGAGAAATCTTTCTAAGGGGGCAAGTGTAGGTCCGTGAAGGCCTTGTGGGTGAGGTGAAGGTGTACAAAGAATCTCTAAAGCCTCATGAGATATCAGAGTTGGAACTGCCCCAGCCCAGGATCGTTGAGGTAAAACCCTTTGCCCTCCTAAATCATATTAAAGTTAATTTTGCAATTTTGACAACTTAATGTGTGTAATTTACCAGTTTTGGAATCAGTAGGGCTGTGTAAAGCAGGGTGAGGTGATTGACCTGGTCTTGGCGAGGGCCTAGGGACGCCTGGAGATCCTGGCCAATTGGAAGCACCAGGAGAAGCCATGCTTTGACTTGATGGAAAAGGGCTACCATCAGTATGTGCTGAAATTTTTTTATTGATTTTATTATTATTAATTTACAAAATAAGCCAAATTAATACTTACAGGTATGCATCAAAGATCCAGCAGGAGAATGTCCCAATGGAACCGAAGGCCCTGGTGATGAAATCGGCATTGGTGAAGGAGCATGGAGAGGGTTTGAAGGAGAATTAGCAAGGAATCCTGAACCAGGTGAAGGATGAGGCAACATCGATGGAGAGGGGTTAATGTTGGGTGGCAATGAAGGTGGTGAAGCTAGATTGAAGCTTGACGTGGTAGCCGGACTTGATCCGAAACTCTGATGCTGAGTTGTCTGTGATATGTTAGCAGTTGTATGTGGAGAAGCTGGTGTGTGAGGGTTACTTGGTGGTGTGAGTGGTGGATGGAATCTGAGACCGCCCTCACTACCACCTCCTCTGGCCGGTGATGATGGTCCTCGCCCACCACTAAGAAATCCACTAGTGCTTCCACCCGTACTGCCAGGTGTGCCTACACCACACTCCCCTGAATCAAGAGTGACAGGTGATGGAGGATTATCATCCTCAGACTGAGATCTTCTTCTAAACATCACTGTTTCATCTACATGCTTGCTGAGGAAAGACTGAAAACAAAAATATTGTGTTCTAACCTTGATTTTACCTAGGCACTTAAAAAAAGATACCAATCTCAAAAATCATTACGGATTCCATGTTTTATTTCCAATTTTTAGAGTTAAAAAAATTAAAAAAAAAAAATCAAATTACCTTAAGGCCTTGTGTAGGAGTGAATTCATTTACAACACTTGTCCGATCAAATCTGCTGTAAGCAGCGTCCCTGATGGCAACAAGGCGACCTGCTCTCAGTCTGATCTCAAGACAGTAGAGCCCTAAGTAGGCCACTCGGATGATGCTTACTGCTTCACAAATCACAGTAAAAGTTTGAACGGGTACTTGTGGTCTCTAAGAGAGGAAAAAATAAAAAATAATAAAAAGCATGTTGAAAATGACGAGAGCAGATAATTATGAATAACTTACACTATTATGAACACCAAGTTGTGGTATGGTGGGTAGCTTACTTATTGCCACAAGGGGTGCGTATGTATCATTGAGGAGATGAATTAACTGTACCAGATTCCTCTGCTTGTTTAACTCTCCCTCTAACTGCTCACGCATCACACTGTGTGCACTTACACAATTCCCGCCACCGCCTGTAAAAAAAAATTTTTGCCATTAAAAATATTTTCTTTGAGGAAAACAAAGATATAGTACCAAAAACTAATGAAAAAGCCTTAGATGAAGGATTCCACTGTATGGTTACAGTTGCTGCTCTGTCAGGTCCGTAACCAAGTGTCAGTTTGCTATAACTGTAAGACTTTACAGTCACCATTGAGGCGATATTGTATTTTTCTGCAAAAAATAAATAAATAATTACAGCAATTAAATTCAATTTAATAAATTGAAAACTTACGTATTCTAAAATATTCTGCAAGGTCGTCTACCAGGGTGTAAAGGTGGACAATCTGAGCCCAGTCACTCAATAAAGCATCGACTGTCTTTGATATATTCTCAGCTTGAAGCATGTCATATGAAAAGTAAACAGGGCGTCTCATACCTATAAGAAAAAAGTAGTATGAATTGTTTTAATGCGGCCAATCAGTTGACCATTTAACTGATAACCAGTTTTAGAAGTACTAGATTTTTACAACTATTTTTTTGACATGCTACAACTTCTAAACCCCTAATTTTTTCAAACCTTGTTCTTTTGGATGTTGTGAAGCTAAAGGGCTCCCATACATAACAAATTCAGCAATCCACAGCTTATTCATGCCCCTATTGCCATGAGCACGAAGAGATACGGATAGCAGTAGCTTGAGCAGGCGAAGGTACAAAGGTGAGTTATGAGTGAAACCTGCTGGGGGTGGCATCTGAACAATCTTCAAAACGAGGGCTGTAGCATTAGCTTCAACTTGAAGACCTTGATGAGGTATATCCCTTTTTGTCAACTGTAACAAACATTTTAAATTAATATAAGTCAAAAGGAAAATATAATTTAGCAACAGGTACCTCTTGAGCGAGAGTGATAAAAGGAATCCTTTCGTCGCATAGGGCAACAACATGAGCAAGCTCTGGAATGAAATAAGCTGGATTCTTTGCCTTTTTTGCCTGACTTTCTCCTTTCCATACCAATTTTCGTTTTGCATCTGGTCTGTCATTATCTAAAAATTAAATATTACTGCAACAGTTAACATAAAAAGTTATTTAAATAGAAATACCATCTACTGGTGTAAAAGGTCCGTGTGTGGTCACAAAACTGTGGAATTCTATTAATGTCAACACTTTCAGATACATCTTTGGTATTTCTGCTTCGATGGAATCATCATGGGGGTCATCTTCAATAGACGACTGTTTTACTACAGCAAGATAAAATGTATAGTCTATTTCATTAGGGGCATTTTCTTTTTCTTTCATCTCAACCACCTAAAAAAAGTCATTCACTTTATTGTAACATTAATTAATACTAACTAGTAACTTACCAAAATGGTCGTTCGGTGACGATGGAGTCTGATAAACATACGATGTCGCCCAAGCTTTGACATTGGGTGGTCTGGGTAGTGCAAGAGAGGAAGCCGTTCATATGGAGTTGCTGGTAGATGCTGCAGTGTCTTTTCACACCTTCTCTGAGTGATCCAAAAGCGTAGCTCTGATATGAGCGTGGCAATTTTCGAGTGGTCTGAGTTAATTGCAGATTCCAGTTCATTCACCAATGGCGCTTCATATTTTGGGACATGACACTGCAGCATTCCTGTGTGTGTATCCACAGTGATTAAAAGCTGTTCTGCTCTTAGGCATGGTTGAACAACTGGGACCATGAGCACTGCAGGCGAACCTTGAACTACACCTAATACAAAGTTTAATTAGCATTCATCAATTCATCATGAATAAAACCTGTTAAGAAGATTAATGTGCTTACATTGAACAGCAGGCAAAAGGGTTTGCAGTTCCAATTTAAGTTCTTCCAGACGCGCCTTGCTCCTTGTGTATATTGTATGAACAAGAAGCCTTTCCATGGAGAGGAGCTCAGATCGGATTGCCCTGTCTGCCAAGCGAGACTCTTTTTTCCCAAGGTTCGGGACATGACTGACAGACAGTGGCCTTGCTGGATCATGGCTGTCCACCTGAAGTGTCAACCTGTATCCCAGCTCAGATTTGGGATCTTTACTAGTCAATTCCCTGAGAATAAATAAATAAAGTTAAAGTGTGCAAAATTAAATAAATTATGGAAGTACAAATAGGAAAACAGCAGTACACAAACCTCCAATAGGATATTGAAAGACACCTTCCAGGGGAATATTCATCCACATGTATATATCCATCTAGACGATCTTTACATAATCTCAATGTTTGAGAATACAACACCTGGTATAATATTGACTTACATTTTAAAAAACTGAATGCTTAACAAAATGAATATTTGTTTTATAAGAATTAGTTTACCTCTAATTGTAAGGACTGGCAGAAATAATGAAGGAAAGAGTAAACTTCCGTAAGAGGGTTAGGGTGGTCTACAAGTCTCGCTTGAAGTACCTGATGAATATAGTTGACCTGGAGGGAATGGACTAAGGCTTTTCCATCTAAAAATGATTTTTCTTTGGTTAATTTTTTGGAATTATTGTTGTTTATAAATGAACTACACTATGAATTAAAATAAAAAATACTAATAAAAATGCTAATATCCAATTACAAATAATTATGACAAAGAATGATACATAAAGCTCACCTCCTGTTTCTTTGTCTTCAACAAGTATATCAATATCTAGAAGCCTCCAAGGAATGTTAGGCCCGTCGCCCATCACTGTCATACTAACTTCAAATTCATTTTCAACATGGAATGTCACTCTTCCACTTTCAATCTATAAAAATAAAATTAAAAACAATAAAAAATTAAATAAACAAAGAATTGCGAATAAATATTAAGCAACCACCTTGAGATTCCGCATTTGAGGCATTAGATTTCCAGTGACTAGTCTGTGCTGGATGACTTGGTTCAACCGTTGCAGAGTTGACTTCTTTTCGCTCAGTGTAATAGGATCAGGTGGAACAATTCTGTCCTAAAAGTATCATTGGATAGTTACTCAGAATACAGATTTGTAGATTCATTATACACCAACTTATCGATTTATTTGACCAAGGTTTACTTGCTAACAGAAGGAAAAAAAGACTGGTTTGTTACCTTTATTGGGATTTGAATAAAGTATTCAATTAGACATTTTTTTCAAATGGAAGAATGTTTATCAAGTATTACTAGTAGTTGTCTTTTGAAAGAATAAACATTAAATTTAAATAAAACTTTTAATTCATCCTCAAATCAAGCATTTAACTATTCAACTGAACAAAGACTGTCATTTCCTATCATTCTGGTTTGAAAATCCTTACTGTTTCAGGTGTTTCAGCATTTAGCCATATTTGTGGCAAAACAAAGCAAGAATAGGTAGAGAAAAAATTATTGGCCTCATAATAGTAACTTACTCTAATACAAGATGGAAGGCGAGAATATGTGCCTGTAGTGAGGACTTCCACAGCAGCTGGAATATGAAAGTTAGGCAGCCGAGCATGTACCAGCGTCTCTCTTGACATTCTTGCAAGCATGTCAGCCGTTTCGACAAACAACATAGATTGTTTATCCAGAAATGCCATGATGTGCTAAAATTTCAAATTTATCATTAAAGATAGAGGAGATGTTTTTTATGTGCTGAAGGATAATTACAGCAGACTTGTCAACTTTTGAAGCACTGTTAGCCCATTTTACAAGAGCCAAAAGGCGAACAAAAAGCTGGCGTGTTCTTGTTGAAAAATTGTAGATTTCTATTTTTCTTTCCATGTCTGTCTTCCTAGGAAGCCTGTAATATTTAAATAATGACATTAGATGTTTGAAGCTCTGAAAATATTTCTAATATACAGGGTGAATTGCTACTCGTGCTACAAACTTCTCCAGTAGATTCTTCACCCTAAAATGAACAAAAAACTTCATATTGTCCATGGTCCGATTCTCAACCATTTCAGAGTAATTTCGCTTTTTATCGATTTTGAAAGATATCACGTCCTGGCGTCGGAAAATCGTGATATCTTTTAATCTAAACATTTCTCTGAAAATCTAATAGCACCGTTGAAATTCCCGTTAATTTTTCAATAAGAAGATGACGGTGGCAAAATGTTTGGGCTAATTTTTTGTGTTTTATTTCAGCCAGAACTACAAAAAGAGTGGAAAATTGTGTAAATCGGAAAGTGTATAAAGTAATCCAGAGTTTCTAATTTTAGTCTCAGAAGGCAGCAAATTTGAGGAAAACTACCTGATTTAATAACGCTTCCAACGCACTCGTCATTTTCTTATTTAGTGGTTGTGAGACCAAGATGTTGATGACAAAAAGAGAAAAAATGGTGGTTCAAGGATTGCTAATGTTTGAGAGTGACTTGCTACTCGTGCTACAAACTTCACCAGTAGATTCTTGACCCTAAAATGAACAAAAAAGTTCATATTGACCATGGTCCGATTCTCAACCATTTCAGAGTAATTTCGCTTTTTATCGATTTTGAAAGATATCACGTCCTGGCGTCGGAAAATCGTGATATCTTTTAATCTAAACATTTCTCTTAAAATCTATAAGCACCGTTGAAATCCCCGTTAATTTTTCAATAAGAAGATGAAGGTGGCAAAACGTTTGGGTCTTTCTTCCTTGACCTTCTAGCTGTTTGTAAACTTCTTAAGCATTACATACTAAATGGGCATTAAATTAAATTAAAAAATTTCAATGGAATTATGATTTTGATTCTCTCTAAAAATTAACGGGGATTTCAACGGTGCTTATAGATTTTAAGAGAAATGTTTAGATTAAAAGATATCACGATTTTCCGACGCCAGGACGTGATATCTTTCAAAATCGATAAAAAGCGAAATTACTCTGAAATGGTTGAGAATCGGACCATGGACAATATGAACTTTTTTGTTCATTTTAGGGTGAAGAATCTACTGGAGAAGTTTGTAGCACGAGTAGCAATTCACCCTGTATAATTATTTTTTTAAGACTTAGGAAATAAATATTAGTAAAAGTAATTCCTGTCATATAAGAGGGTATAATATCCAATAACTGTTGGTGTCGCGGACAAGAGGTTAAACCACTTAACAATACATTTTTCATACTGTTAAAAACCATGGGTTCTACCGGAATTTGAGCCAAGAACCACAAGCATGTTAAACGAGTCAGATGTTTTAACCACTTTGCTACCATTGTCCTCTTGAGGAAATACTGTACTAGATGATTATTTTTAACAAATTTTATTCACACAATGAAACAATTCTCATTGTTAGAACCCCTGAAATAGTACAAAATTAATATAAAAATTATCAGTTTGCTAATCTAATTAATCAACAAAAATTATTGGTCCATATCAATAGAAGGGATGATGAAGGCAGCTTCTATACCTTTATCACTTGGCCATAGTATGAAACTTTTTTTTCTTAAATTTGGGGTTACTTATGTGCCTACTAGTGATAGAATACTGTTAAGTTGGTAAAAGATCGAGTGAGCCCCAGTGCCCCCCCCAAAAAAAAAACAAAAAAACAACAACAATAATAATAATAAAAAAATAAATAAAATCTTTCTTTTTTAAATAATTATTTTAAATCAGCTTCTCACTGGAGGTCATGGATAAAAACCAAATACATCTACACACCTAATGTCTAGATTCACATTCTCAAGTCAGCAGATGCTAACATGCTTTGCATCCATCTAGTCCTCCACCCTGCATGAAACTATGTAGGAACTTCCCATTACAAAATTTGGAATAAGGCAGTACATTTTGTATGTGGCATGTGATTTTAGTTTGGGAAGTGAAACATTGTGCTAAACGTTAACAAATGCCAATATCAAGAAATACTACAATAGTGGTGATAAACTATGTTTTCAGTGATTATTTCGAGGTCATGAGATGTGGTCTGGTGCGATGTAGGTTTTAGAAAAAACATTTTTTTATCATGCCAATGTTTCGATCTTTATTGAGATCATCTTCAGGGCTCAAAGTGTTTGTTTTCTGTGTAGATGTGTCATTCTTATCTGTTGTGTTGAGAGACAGTAACGGTCACTAAACACCACACATATGTTTTCAGTATTTCAACAATTTGATGGAGCTGCCATGTTAAAAGAGAAGTTTTTTTTCCCAATATGACTCTTACAAATGAATAGTAAAATGGGAATATTTTTTATAAAAGTGGTTCTCAGCGTTCTCTATGCTGAAACCGGCTATGGCATTTTTAACTATGTGGAAATAAACAGCAATTAGAGTGAAAGCGCATACATTTATTATGGAACTCAAAAATATAGTTTTAACAGCTACTACCAGTTTACCAGAAAAGTACAAGTGGTTTTTCATTTGTTATTAATATTATTATTTAGTTAATTTATTTACACTTGAGGATTAGGTGTTTGCATCATGTAATAAAACAAGATAATGTGTCAGTACATAAAAAAAATTGTCTAGAACAGTTGTATGAATTTTAACTCGGTACTAGATCGGCCGAAAAATTTGCGCTGCATTAAGTGATGAAACAAAATGTGAGTGCACAGTCCAAAAATGATTGAAAAAGTTTGAAGAAGTACTCCACCAAACATAAAGCATCACATCAAATAGCACATGATTAACAATTAATTACCTCATTCCCAGAAACAACTTTTAAGATTACTTCAGCCGCCATAGATCGAGCCAATTATAGATTTTGAATGAAGCCATGAGAAAGAAAATGTTTTATAAATTTATAGTGAACTTTTCATAACACTTGTTTTTAATGAATTGAAGCTTTATTCTCTTGGTGTTACATCATCTGGGTATTGTTGTGCGAGTTGGTGAACTCAAGCTGAACCAGCGCTGTTTCACTTAGTGGGTCCGTCTTGCTCATGGGTTTATTGAACTACTCAAATGCGTTTTGGCATTGTGCCATCCTCAGTGAAGAATTGTCTGTCATTTTCTCTGAGTATGATGCATATAATGTGCCAGCAAAGTAACAGACTCCTTACTAAAAATGGCGCAGTGCTGAAATGCGACAGAGTAGTCCAACACACCTGCGTATGAAGACAGATCCAATAAGTGACCCGGTGCCAGTCAGCATGAATGTTAAGTTATTAAAACAATAACAAATGAAAAATTGCAAACTTTTCTGGCTGCCTAGTAGAAGGGTCTTCATACACTGTCCAGTGAGAATTATTAACACAACTGGAACAACATTCAGTTCAGTTCATTCTTCCTATACTGATTCAGGCAACTTACAGATTTATCGAGCGTGTATGATACCCTTCTATAAATCGTTAAAAATCATAGAAAATGATCATATTTGAAAAATACTTACAGTTCCGCAAGCACAGTCAATTCGTGGTATGTCCTCTGAACAATAAATTCTATGAGTACTGCCATCGAAATGGATCCGCCCCTGGATCCTTCCTGACCCAGCGAATTGTTTATCGGCGTCTGATGCCCTTCCAAAGGCACGGGAGGCATTTTGAACAACTAAAAATACCTAAGACGAATCACAAAGCCTATTGTATAAACAGAGAAATGATTCCAAAAGGATTCGGTTCACTCACCTTTTTTATTTCAACGAGGATGAAATACAAGAGATTCTTTTTTCAGTTTTCTAATATTATTAATTCATTTTTGTCCCAGAATTACAAGATAAGAGCAATTGTTTACTAATAAACACAAACGGCTCGCTCAAGTCACAACTCGTAACTTCGACCCTCTTCTTTAACCTGCTCGCCCTTCGTATTTATCGATGCTCAATACAGAAAAGTATCGATACGTCAAAGGGAAAAAAACTCTTGCAGTAGGGTTTATATTTAATTACTCTTTCCTTAAGTTATATAATTATTCACTTTGGATTTGTCCCTTGGGTAATTTCAATTATAATTATATAAAACATAAATTAACTAAGTTAATTAAAATTAATAAATGTGTGTGTATTTCAATAATATATGAATCAATAGAAGTATATTAGTTCATAATTACATTGACCCAATGAGAAAATCTAAAAAAAAAAAAAAATATAAAAAGTATAAATTGTTTAAAAATGGCAGAGTTTGGGCTGCCGATCTTCTTGGCAGTTGGCAGTGATAAGTCTAATTTATAATGAAGTGTATATTGTCTTTGAACACAGTTTTTTCTGTCCATGAAAAAAAAAATCACAAATAACATTTTCTTCAACAATAACGACGTTAAAAGGTTAAAAATTTGACATAATCCGTTCCAGAATGACTAAACAATGACGTCATATCAACAAAGACGAATTGGACGCGGTTTAAAAATCAATACAGTTATCATCACAATATGAAAAAAAAATCTAAACAGGAATTACGCAATTTAAACTATAAATGTGCAAATTATCCGCCAAACGAAAAAACGACCCGTCAAATTTTGCCAGAATCGAATAAAACCCTTTTCAGGCTGAATATAAAAGAAACAAAGGGTGTATGAAAACTAAATAAGATGGTCGATATTAAGAACGCAGACGGAAACAAAGGAGGAACAACATAAAACCGATTTTATCGCAAACCGAATAATTATTATACAACAGTTAAAAAAATAAAAGACTGTTCGAGGGGGTCTGGAAACGTGATCTTTTTTTTCACGTAGGCGTTTGAATTGAATCGAGAAGGCGACAAAAGGCCGAGCCCTCGCGGATTCACCCCCTCCTTCCTGTTGCTAACCGGGCGAGCGCGGATAAGCACCGATTGGGCGGAACTTCTTCTGTCCGCACTTTTTCCATTTGTGAGTATCCTCAGTTTTATCACAGGCCGTGAAGATTATTTTATTTTTTTGCTTTTTAGTTATTTCATTTTTTTTATCGGCCGTTTTTGAGGTCCGGGCTCGGGATTCGGGAAACTACTAGCCGCCGGGTCATATTTGTTGATACTAACCTCTAATTTTGAAAACAACCCTCCATTATCATTAATTTGGTCCCCTTTATCATTTAATTTTTTTTAGGAAACGATTGATTCATACTGTACGTTCACGGCAACCGGCAAAACTGGCCATTAATGCGGTAATACATACTTTAAAAAAAACATTTCTCGACTGTTTTAATTAAAATACTGACTTATTTGACAATTGATTATGAGAAATTATAGATTAATCATAGCATCGCATTAAAACTCTTTGTTTTAGCACATCAGTCAATCGGTCTGTTTATTTAAAAAAAAATTACAGACGTTTTGTCTGACAAAGGATTACATGTGTAACTGATTTTTTTTAAACGATTTTGATAATTAACAATTGTTAACGATTTAATAATTTTAACTTATTGTGAATAATTAAGAATAGAAACAAAATTCACAATAATATCCTTTATTATATCAGTGCTTGGAAACTATTATACAAAAATGAACATGAAGACAATTTACATTATTTATGAATGGATGTTGCAACATTGGTACCTTAGTTGTTGACAAGCTTCCTTATACAGCCCCCCAATAACGTCGTCACGGAACTGAACAGGAAGATTCACTCGGTGACCAACAGGTAGTTTGCGTCGGCAAAGGGTCTGTAGAGACGTTATTGTTATGCTGTGTCACCATTGAAAGGGGTGTCGTAGAAAGAAATTGTCTCTTTTTCAGATAGTATGTACGCTGGCTTCAATCTGTCTTCAATTACTATTCTTATCCCTGATGGTAATATGATATCAAATGTTTTAAGGTCTGCTCTCCTTACAAAGTATGGACCTGAATAGGGAGGTACTAGGTTTTTTTAACAAATTCATCTCGTATAAAGACTTGCAAGCAGATTTTTAACCCTTTAGAAACAAAAGTGGATGAACTGGTACTGTAAGAAGCCACAGTTCAGGCATCTTTCTACTCAGGTTTGCCACAAATTCTTTTGCATTTCCTAGAAGTGTTGCTAAAGAAAACATCTCTCCTGGTAATCGTAATGGCTGGCTGTACACCATGTCGGCAGCACAAAAACAAAATACGCAATAACATCCTTTATTATATCAGTGCTTACAAACTGTTATATAAAAATGAACATGAAGGCAATTTACATTAATTATGAATGGATGTTGCAACATCGGTACTGTAGGTATCGACGAGCTTCCTTATACCCGAACAGGACAAATGATTGTAATACACTGAGTCTTTTTTAGGGAAGGTCTTTTTTATTTTCCCTATTTCACACCTCATAAGAAGAGCGCTTAGCATCGGTGTTCCACCAGACTGCTATAAACTTATCATATTAACTTTACACTCCGCCTAGACTTGTTCTATCATATACTTATACAGTGAACTGTTCTTCAGTCTAACAATGTTGAACCTTTAAGACTTAGATTTGATATAAGACTAACTGACGATCAAAATCACTATTAAAATCAAAACTTTTGACACACATACCTACTCTAGCCTATTTGGATGTGCGAGTGTCCAGCTTATGGATCTGGCAAATATTCCTATATTCAATAATTATAAAGTTTTCAATCCAAAACTGTAAGACTAATTGTTTCTGCCCCTTCTTACTTAATATCACACTTCACAGAGATCTTCACATGCCAAATGTTTTTTCATCTATCAAAACATATTAGACGTTTTCACAGTAAATTACAAGAGCACACTAACACATAAATACGATTACTCGTAGGCGACTTAAAAGAACATGGATAAGATACTTTTTGAATGATTAATATCATATTACTAATACAAATTGCTGCTAATGGGTAGATTTTTCTATAATGCCCGTTATGCCTCAATCACAAATTGAAATCTAATCTGCCGGTTGTCTATTACATATGAAGTAAATGCAAATAAATGAAGTAAAAAAAAATCCTGTTTAATTTTTCTACAGTGTTTTAATTTATCAAGAAATTTCAGTCTTTAATGAATGTGCCTATCAAAAAATATATAAATACACAAATAATTTTAAAAAGACAGATGCTGAACTTGGGTCAGTTATTGCATGTTTGAGTAGTAAAAAAAAAGTTTTACAAAAAACCTTTAAAAAATTGAAAACTAATCCAACCAATAAACTAAGCATTGAATACCATTAAATTTATAATTATTAGATTTATGTAAAAAAAATGAAATTTAAAAAAATAAAGAACAAAGTACAGTCGTGTATCGTACTAACAGCAATAGTATTTAATTATCAACTTTACAGGAAGAGATCAATAAGCATGTACACTCAAAGACAAAAAAAACCACTTGTATTTATTTGTTTATTTTGCATAATAATTTGGTATTAAGATCAATAGTTGACTTAAAATGCAAACACAACATTAATAACTTGTTTATCTTTATATCCTTTTACACTTTTTACATTAAAAATAAAGAAAATCAATTCAAGAACATCCTTTCTAGCGACAATGCGTTAAGCAAGTTAATTGATTTTTTTACATTGTTTTCTTTGATGAAACAATAAATTTTAGTAAAAAGTTAATTATTAATTTTTTTTCTTAAAAGCATGGTTTTAAGTTGAGATCTCGCCCAGCAGATGCTTGGTCATGGATAAATGTAGCATCTGTTACATAGCACAAGTCATGGGTGTGCTGTGCTTCACCATCCATAATGATCTACAGTTTTTAGGGCCACTGGAAGAGCTGAACAATGGAGCTGTTCTCTTCACACATAAGTGCCAGTTTGGTGATGACCAGGACTGTGTGTGGAGAAGACATGGAAAATGATTTGCTTCATGTGCCTTTTTTTAAAGAGGCAGTTACAGTATTGGGTCGAATCGATGTCCATGCCTGTATTGAATTGATTATCATGCAGAATGGATCTTTTACTACAGAATTGTGGAAGTTCTTTTGGAAGCTGTAATCCCATTTGCTCCATTTATTTGGAACAAATTTCGGGTTAGTTCATGATAAGGCTCGACCCCATGTTGTCACCCATTATGAGAACGTAGGGATTGCCACAATGAATTGGCCAGCACGTTCTTTTGACATGAATTCTATAGTACATTTATGGGACATCATGATAAAGATATGGATTAGACAATGTTTGCCACCACCAACAGGCTTGGACAGCTTCAAACTGCTCTTGTTTTGCAAGATGAAAATTAAGTAGTGACTGTGATAAATCTATATCTCACAATTTTGTATATGAAGACATATATTGCAATGTATTATTTGGAGATTGTGAGATGCGGTCTGGTGTGACGTAGGTTTAGAAAAAATTCCTTTATTGTGCCAGCGTTTCGATATTTATTTAGATTTTCTGCAGGGCCTGGGATTTAAAAACATTGTTTAAATTATACAAAAACATATAGGATGTGAAAAAATGAATTTATACAATGTTGAAATTTTAGACTCAATCACAGTATTTGTACTCACTCAAAGTGTTTGTGTTCTGCGTAGATGTGTTGTTGTTGTGTGTGTCATGTTGAGAGTGCCAGTGAGATATTGATGTTTTATGTTTATATTTTCTTTGGTGATTGACCAGCCTTCTCAGTTTAAATATTTTTCTTTCCAAAAGGTAGATTGGCCTCATCCCCAATCTACTTTTGGAAAGAAAAATATTTTATGTTTATATACATGGGATTTTGAAAAGGGGTACTTTGAGGTGAAAGGAGCCGACAATGGGAAAGAATAGGTAATGGTTCGGCCTGATTATCCTTTCAGGATTATATAGACGGGGATAATTAGGGAAAGGAAAGCTAAAGCTAGCGTAGCTTTATTTGGTGAAAACTACATAATTTGCTTTTCTGTATGGATTGTGTTATTTTAATTAATTATTTACCTTTTGTATGATTACATAAAATAAAGAAAAAATTATTGTAGAAAATAGAAATGGTTTTTATTCAACTACACACCTAAATTGAACAAATGTTCTGCGGGTTGCCTACTTCATTTACTTAGTGCAACTCTTGTCATATAATTTTTATCACTTTGGTATATAAAAAAGTACATTATTTTTAAATTCGTGAGAGCTATTTTATGATAAATTTGGTTTTGCCATGGGAAAATGGTCAAGCAGTCTCTGTATTAAGGGAAATGATGAATTATTACCTACCGTACATCAGTTGTTCAACAAGGTATTCTCTTTATTTATATTTTGCTGCTAGAACATATTGTGCTGAATATGTTCTATATTCTATATAATGAATATATATTAACAACATTTTTAATCACTTTGAATTTTGTCTGCTTTAGTTTGATGAGTTTTATTATGGTGTAGATACACTGAATGACCATTAATTTTAAATTTTTGTTTGCTATCTTTAATTTGTATAAATTCAAATTGCACTAATGTTAATTGGAGAAATTGGTAGGACTTGGATTGTGAGTAACTTGTGTGAGTCAGTCTGGTGTACAGTGAATCACCACAACATGATAGATTTGAACGTTTTCCTTAAACTTGACAAATGAACTTAATGACTTTTTTTTTCTAGAATGGTGGACAACCGGACAAGAAACTAAGCATAACAGGAAACAATATAAAATTCAAGGTAAATTATTAATACATTAATACAATTATGTATTTGTTGTGCAACTTTATCATATTGAACACACATTAATATAGTGTCGTTTGTACTTTTGTTAGTCATCTTAGCCAAAGTAAATTTTGTTTTTAACTAATTATTCTTTGACTGAAGTTACAATAACTCAAGTGGTAGAAATCCGGGGTCATAACTCAGATGACATGACACTAATTTTTCATCTCAACCTCACTTTGCATAAGAATAATTAATTAAGTAATCAGAAATAAAACTACATATATTTTCTATAAAAAATTCTCAACAATGTGGGCTTGGTTACATAATCTATTAAAATGTGTAGAGATTAGTGACCGTTAATCGATAGTTATTCAGATATCGTGAGATGCGGTCGGGTTTGATGTAGGTTTCAGAAAAACATTTTCATTTGGCACGATAAAGAAAATGTTTTTCTGAAACCTACTTCACACCCGACCACATCTTACTATATATGAATAATAATCTATTGAGTTTGAGATGGTTGTAGCATGAGTGAAAAATTATTATTTGTTTATATCGTTATGTTTTCTTGTATGAGCATGACTTTAAAGTGTTGTTTAAATGGTTTGTACTTTACTTGTAAATATGAGATTGATTTATTTGTTTTTAGATGGCTCTTCTAAAGTCTCCTGTGGAACAAGATAGCGCGTATGATTCGCCTTCCTCATGGGAATTCAGCCTTTCACCGTCCTCTCCAAGAAACCAATCTTTACCAAAACCTCTTCACAGTTCTCAATGCAGTATTACCTGCACTGCTTGCAACAAAACGTACACCAGCCCCAGGGTGTTGCCTTGCTTGCACACTTTTTGCACAAAATGTCTTGAAACGACAAAAAAGACGGTGAATTGCCCCATTTGCAACATTGATTTTTGTCTGCCACAAGCCGGAGTACAAGGATTGATCCCCGATTATGGAATGATGAATTTTATCAGGTCCCTGAAGGGGAATTTGTACTGCACTAGTTGTAGGACCGACTCGACGGGAGCAGTCGCAAAGTGCATTAATTGTGACAATTATCTTTGCCACAATTGCCTACTTGCTCATAGTAATATGCATTGCTTTGAGGGCCACAGAGTTATTCAGTTCCCTAAGGATTTTCTATTCCATGAAGAGGGAGAAAAACAGGAGGAAAATGAACTTTTGAACATGTCAAAAGATGAAGATGGGACAGTGCAGTGCATAACACACAAGGAACAATCTGTGAAATACTTCTGTTTGACATGTAATGAGCCAATTTGTCAGGTTTGTCTTACAGAAGAACATGTAGGCCACAGGAGCGATCCAATTGATGCCATCGGTGAAGCTTTGCTCTCAGTCATGTCTTCGACAATGGAAGAAAACAAAAGCAGATTAGAGGATCTCGCCATGAGCATCAAATACTCTCGGCACACAGATTGGTGGTTGAACTCGCAATACCAGGAGATACATAATCGCATCAATGATGTTTACAACCAATACAATTCTATGTTATTGAGATACAAACAGCAGCAGGTTCAGCTGTTAGAAAGCTCATTTAATAAACTGAAAGGAGCATTACACAATAATAGTAATTTATCTCAAGATACATATGAAAAAACAAACCGTCTGACAGACTTTTTCTCTAGGCTTACAAAATTTGGAACTGTGACACAATGTCTGATGTTTAAAAAGTTATTAGAAGGCAAGCACAAAAGGCTTGCCACATACAAACCTAAACCTCTACAATGCCATCTTAAATTTGTTGCTGACGCTCAAGATTTCAACAGTGTATTAAACAGTACTTTTGGCCGAGTAGTGAGTGACATTTCTGGTCATGAGTCTGAAATACCTGTACCGAGAATCGGACAATTGCTCAATATCGCCAAAGAATATTTCTCTCAAGGTGGGACGTTCCCGTTTAAATATGACCGTTGGTCCAACACTTGTTTGGAGGATTTGAAGGCGATTTCAGAAATTGGTTTGTGCTCTGAAGACACTGGTTTATTTAGACCATATAACTCATTGAAATCAACTGTTTCAAGACAAGTGATCACCTATAACTGGAAATTCGGCTGCTACGGTACAATGCAGGGACAGTTCACGGAACCAAATGGCGTTGCAGTTAATGCAGAAGGTGATATCATCATAGCCGATACGAACAACAACAGAGTTCAAGTTTTTGATAAAATGGGCCGTTTCAAATTTTTGTTCGGCGAGGGCTCGAATAGCACCGATGGTGGCAGCCTTCTGTTTCCAAACAGGGTTGCTGTTATGGAGAAGACAGGTGACATCGTAGTGACAGAACGTGCTCCAACACACCAAGTGCAGATATACAATCAATATGGTCAATTCAAAAGAAAATTTGGTGCTAACATTCTACAACACCCCAGAGCAGTGACTGTGGACAAAGACGGTTATATTATTGTGGTTGAATGCAAAGTAATGAGAGTTGTTATTTTTGACCAATCTGGTGAAGTCGTTCACAAATTCACCTGCAACACAACCCTTCATTTCCCCAATGGTGTCGCTGTAAACGATAAGAGGCAGATTTTCATCAGCGATAACAGAACACATTGTGTTGTCGTTTATGATTACCGTGGAAACTTTGTACGACATATTGGAAGAGAGGGGCTCACCAATTATCCGATAGGTGTCATGTTAAACAAAGTTGGACAAGTCATTGTGGCCGATAACCATAACAATTTTAATTTAACCATTTTCACTCAAGAAGGCCAGCTAGTGACTGCCGTAGAAAGCAAAGTCAAACACGCACAATGTTATGATGCGGCCATCTCTTCTGACGGCACAGTCGTCCTCACTTCTAAAGACTACAGGGTTTATATTTATCTAACTAACTTCTAAATAGTGAAAAAGAAATACTGAAAATGCCGACCATGTTTTAAGACTCCCCGAGCTTACTTTTGATCCCGGTTTCGGACGGCCAATTTTCTCGTCCCCTCTCAACAAAATTTCCTATTTTCCTAAAATGCCAAAGTAAATTTCTATTTTTTATACACTTTTCCCCTCTTGGAAAGGCTAAAGACTGAAAAGGTAAATGATCTGACTGTTTTTTAGTTTCTAACTTTTTTTTTGTTTCGAAGTTGTTTCAGAGAAGAACAATATTTTACAAGAAATTTTTTTTAAAGATGATAAAAATTAATTTTTGTGATAATGAATCAAGACGGAGAGTAACTAAAGCACTTATTTTGATCTTTTGAACTGATTGGACCAAATATTTTTAGTGCCATTTTTTGTTTGTATAACACTAGTCGGATTTTTGTCCTATTTACCTTGGGAGGTGAAAAACTTTTAAAGTTAACTCTTGTTAATTAATTTATAGGTCGGTACTGATAGATTTCTAATTTTTCATAGTTTTTCTTATTAAGACATTGATTTAGGAAAAGAAAATCAATTTAAAAAGTATTAAATAAATTGTGCCCCCTTTTTTCTGAAATCTTTTCTGTAGTTTTCTCGTAAGTCAGTTACTTGTTAGTGGGGCTTCTATATTATCTATATCTTGTAATTGTTGTTTGACTGTTGTTAGAAGTTTGTTGAATTTTTGTTTTTGTTTTCTCTATTCCGAAAGGATTTAGCAGTAGGAAAATCTTGTAATATTAAGAAAAATGATTGGAAAAAAATGTTGTCTATTTGATGTTCCTGTTGGAGAAATTTATCTGTTTTTAGAAATGACCAAACTGTTTTTGTTATTATTTGCTTTGTGTAATATCGTTACTTAATTGTTTTAAAAGAAAGCTTTTTCTCTTCTTTGTTTTATTTCTTATTATTGTGATATTCAAAGTATTATTTTGTTCTATTAATAAATGAAAAGTATTCTGGTTTGTTTTTATTTTTTTGTATTTTGAAGTTTGTATTATTTTTATAATTTTATTATTTACAAGAATATATGTATTTTCTTTCAGAAAATGTTAATGACAAAAGTATTCATTTTATTTTTTTGCTGTAAACAATTAATTATTGGTTATGTTTTTTATATACTATTATACACTATGTGGTAAAACTGTCAATTGTTATAAGATTGTATTTTGTTTCTACATTTTTATATATGTTAATAAAGTAATATGACAAAAAATATAGTGATGTATTACTCTTCCCTTTATCTGCAGCATGAAGAAACAGGATTTGTTATCATTTCAATTTAACTATAAATTGATTAGTAGTAAATAATATGGATAGAAATAGAATACACTTATACAACAAAACTTTAATGTGATGAAAATAAAAGTAACTTTTTTCTTTTTTACAACATAATAACGCACAAAAATCAACTTTCTTAAACTAATACAAAATAATTGATAGGAAAATTAAATAAATTAGCTTCTGCTTAATTACAATCGATTACCTTTTAAAAATAAATAAGCAAAAAAAATTTAATACTGTGGTTAGGATCTATATGGTAGACAGGAATTTTACACCGTCCAGGACCATTTTTCATTTAAAGATGAATTAGGTGATCTGTTTTATCTGGGTGTAGACAATGCTTATGGAACAGGAAGCATCGGCAAACTTTCAATATTCTACAAATTAAATACACTTTAGTAAAATGGTCACAATTCTTAAAAATAAAATCTGTTAATGAAAACAATTGAATATAGAAAGTTTTTATTGTTGACACTCATTCTTTTTTTTTTTCAGATTATTTTTACTTCTTAATTACCAATAATTATTGTCAGTAAACAATTAATTAATTAATTAATAAGTGCAGTCTGGGCAATTTTTGCAATCATTGGTTCAGATTACAGACTTTATTGGATGTAGTATCTAGAAATGTTTTAATTAAAGATAATTATAAAAACATGCACTGATAGAAATAAAAATAATGGCCTGCTTAATATACTTTGATATTAATTTTTTTGGATTCAAAGAAAAATCCTAACATAACATTTTTATCGTTTCTTTTCGTATACATATTTCATTATAAACCATTAAAAATATGGCAAAGTGAAAATAATTAGGTTTCTGTAAAACGCCCTTAAAAATTAATAATAATAATAATAATAATAATTAGGTTTCTGAAAAGAATTTATGTATTGTACCAGGTATGTATAATAAAAAATAAAAATTTGAATTCGGATTACCGAGACTGTACTGTACTAGTGACATTAGTTTTACTACTTATTTTACATTAGTTTTTTGTGTATTCAATACCGTTTCTCTTTGGGTCCTTTTGATCCTTCTACAAAGAATTAAAGCTGTATAAGAAACAAAGATAGTCGTCGAAAGCGCAATTCCAGCCACCCACCATCCTTTAGAATCAGACATGGTGAAATTGTCATTATTAACAGAATCTGAAATTTCAGTGACATCGCATGCCAATGGGGTATTCCACAACACCTCAAAACTGCAGTCTGGAACCTAAAACAAAACAATTGTAACAGAGTGATATTCAATAGATCATTTTGAATTAATTGTTCTTACATCACCCTTTAAACCTATATCTAACGTAATTGAGGGTCTAGGGATATGCAATATTCCACCATCAACATACACTACCCATTCATGCTAATAAGTACATTCACTTTCAACACATCCTAGGGACACAAAACTATCAGTACTTTATAAAATAAAAGGACCCTGCTGTTTTCTCCAAGAATCGAAACAGGTTACCTCGGAAAAATATAAATTTGTGATTTGCAGAGATGCAGATAGGCTTTGTTTTTGCCATGGCCACAGCTTGGGTTAGTAGGGCTATTATTTTGAATGGCGATGTATTGGGAAATTGTTTTGGAGTAGTATTTTTTTTTTGCAGTTTTCCACTGTTATTCCCAGTACTTTAATGTTTCCCTTCTGCAGAGATATTTATTTGCTTTCTTGGAACCATGTGACAGGTAATTTTTGCATTATAACTTTTTGCAGCAGCCTTTGCCTGTGAAATCATCCTCTAATTTCTTTATTCCTGGCTGTACCTAAGCGGGCTAATGCTTCACATTTATAAAGCGGGGAACAAACTTACCCGATGCAATGCTACCCGATGCTACCCAACACCTTGACTCGTTTTGGTAGGGTGTGCATATCTATTCGACATGTACAGTCACCCAACATGTATGTAAATTTTATGAGCACAACCATGCAATACATTGTTATTTAAATTTAATTGTTTTAAATAAATGAAAAATGGCAAATAGGAGGGAAAATTCAAAAGGTGGGGTTGAGATGGGAAGTTAGTGCCCGAGGGGATCGAAGTCACGATAGCTCAAGTGGTAGAGTANTATATATAGTTCGAAACAAACTACAAAAAATATGAGTGTTCGGTTCTGAGGCTACTCAATGAAAATGGTGTAATTTTATGAGCAAACCAATGAAATAAATTGTTAGTCAAATTGTATGAGCAAAACCGTGTAATAAATTGTTAATTAAGTTCATTATCAAAAAATGGTATTCTGGTGTTTTGATCAATTTTCAACCAAACCATTAAAATTAATTTTTTTAAATAAAAACTAATGAATTTTTAATCTCGGTTAATTTGGTTTATATTAAAATAAGTATGTTGTAATTAATATAATGACTGTAATACATGTAGTTTGAATAAAAATATGAGTGTCCGGTTCTTTTGTCTTCGACTGTACTAGATGCTACCCGACAAAAATCTGGACAGCGGGGATCGCATAGCGTAGAGTATGGTAGTGTTGCGTGGCATCGGGCAGATGTGCACGGTGGTAATATAATCTTATGGAAAATTGGACTTTGGATTAGCATCGGGTAAGTGGTTCCCCACTTTAAGAACACGTGTCGATGTCTATGGGTCCTCATGACCGAGTCGGCATGTTTCTGTATCTGCTTTGCCTATCTTTTTCAGGAGATAGTTAAGAGGACAGTGGCTGGTATAGAGGCTTATAATTTTCTCAAATCCTGTCTGCTGGGAGAGAGAAGTTCCTTCGCCTTCCTTTCTGAGAGATTTATAAATCACTTAGCTTGCCTTATACTTATTGCTTTTTCCAGTCTTGGGGTTTTCTTTCTTAAGCCATTTTACCAGTTCTTTTTAATGTAATTTAATGTTCAATAAACTAAAAATATTGTAAAGTATTCTAAAGTATTTGATGGTATAGAATTTAGTCATACAGTATTTGTTAGTCAAGGAAATTGTGGAAAGACAAAACAAAACGAACTATTAAACTTTTGAAAAATAAAATCGGCAAATTCGATCTTTCAAGTTCATTAGCAGCAAAAACTCGTTAAAATTGTCCTATTTCGTTACATCACTGTTTAAAAGAATTATATTTTTGTTAGCCTTTGGTCGTAGAAGTTCTTGTACAAGTTTCTTAGAAGCAAGGCAAGTGTTTTATGAAGTACATGGCGCCGTGTTGCTTCTTCAACATTCCATTAAGCCTCCCGAAAAAACAGGAGATAGCTTTAAAACGTTCCCCTTTTTAAATGAGATCCTTGTCTCATGAACACGGCCCCGAGTAAAATAACATCAAGCATTAATATTATTCTATAAATATTATAAACCACGTAGTTCATTAACACGAGTACAACACGAGCCGGCCCCTCCACGGTGACTCCCTTTAATAAATGTTTTGACATGTGAGATGACACGGTTATTCTTAGACGTAGATAATTACTTAGTCTATTACGGCTTTAACTAATGTTTAGGGGGTTTAAAGGGTAATAAAATGTAATAATAATGTTACGGAAAGAAAACGGTAGTTAATGTCTTTACACTATGAATTATACAGGTGTTACACAGGTACTGCCATTATGGATTCACTAAATCAAACGTAGTTCAGTGCCACCAGAACGAGGTTCATACTCATTCCTGAGATGTTAACATTTTTGTCATTTTTGTCTAAAAGCAGATTTTTTAAACATAAAATCGTAAATTTCTCAACTTTAGCGTCAAATTGTATTAAATTTCCCACGAGACAACATTTTCGTTGAAAAATTCGTGCTTCCGAATACACCAGAGCAGCTCAAGTAATGGCAAAATCCAGAGGGTTTTTTGGAATACTTATTGCTCGTGCAATGACTTGTCCATAAAAATTTTCATGATGGTGATGAAATTTTTTTGACCAACCTGATCTAGCTCTACTACGGTAACACCATCTGAATAGACACACTTTTATTCAGTTTTAACTATTTCGTGTAAAGATTTTCCCAGTTTTGTAACCATCAATTAACTATCTTATCTCTCGGCAAATTTCCATTGTGGTGAATTGAACCGGTGTTTCACCTTTCACGTTAAAATATAAAGCAGTATTGGACGGCATATTCGATGGTTTTGTACATATAATGTTGCATATTGGAGGGCTTTTTAGTGCTTATTATATGACATATTTTAGAATTTTTCTTTCATATAAATCCAGGTTTTTCTTATCATCAACTGGGGCTGTTTCTCATTATACCGATACTATCAGCACAGACTCAATTATGATTTTCCGCTGTTTTTACGTAGCGATCCTATATGAAATATCACTTTTAAAAATGTTAAAGTCCATTTTACTAATTATACAAATCTTCGAAACCAGTAGGAAAGAATTCTGAACTTATGATATATAAGTCAAGGAAGACCAAAAAAATTTCAGCCCTGTTGTTGAAAATCCAAAAAAAGTTCTGCTAATTTAGTGCAGGATTACAAAATTGACTTAACACCTTAAACTCTACGTAATATATTAAAAAATAATAATCTCAAATCGCGATCTGCCCGAAAAAAAGTACTGAAATTATGAAAATGAACTGAACTAAGGGGCTTGCATTAGCAAAACAGTACCTTGATAGGCCTACCTTTT